GTATAGATTTAAAACTATTATGATCGAATTTCAGCTGTAAGGTCAATTCTGTGAAAGTATTTATATTCACGCGAGCTTTCCAAGCAATTTCCAAGCATCAATAAAATTTATTATGGATTTTTAGCAAAAATAACAAATAGAGTTCTATAAAAGTAAAAGGTACGAAATTAAGAATCAAATCGTATACAGAAAATCTTGATATTAGAAAATAAAATTAGGCATGACATAATCTTTTTAGTATGAGCGTTTTTGTATAAGCTAAAAGCGCAAAAACTATTCGCCTCTATAAATGTGACTATATAAACAACAGCCAAAATCCCCGAAACCACTCCCTGAATAATTTATAATTTAACTAACAACTTGTCACGGATATATTTTGTGGACTAAGTCTACATCTACAACCCTGCACAAAATGAATATTTAATTTACGTTGTTTGGAAATAAAATTACATTATCTGTGCTGTATGTCATGGGTCACTAGCCTGGACGGTTTCTTGATTTATCCATACCTAAAACGCGTTTTTATTTTTTTTTATTTCTATATTTTTTCTGCATTATAGAAACGGATATACACAGCAACATTTTTGATTTTATAAAGAAAATTTTTGATTTTATAAAAACGATATGAAGCATAATGTTTATTGTTTATACAGAAAAATATAATTTTCAAGCAAGACTAATTTTCAACCAACGTTTATATACCTTACATGTATCCCGAGAAAACAAAAAATTCCCACAAGACAAGGGATTCTAATAAAAATTCTAATACTGTCTGAAAACTAATAATAACAATAGAACAATAGACTTTTATTGTAAGTGTAGAATTGAGATTAATGTGATATGACTTTTACTTGTACCATCATTATTAGGTGTACATTTTTCTTGTATGTATAATGTATATATAAGTACCTACTACTGTAAGGTTGCATTTTTATATATTGAGTGTCTTAATAGAAAATAATATATTTGATTAATTGACCTTGGCCGATAGGAATGTGTTTTTAAAAAAATATAAAGGGCGCGAATATTCATTTCTTTTCCCGCGCTTTTGGGCAGAGATGTCGGTACCACCCTGAAAATTATTATTATAAATTATGTAACTCACTGACGTTTATAAAAGTACTGAATATAAGAATATAAGCAAGGAATATCACGAAGTTTTATTAGGGGCCCCAACACTACGTACAAAATTATAAAATATTTATAACCTATACATATAATAAAATTGTAACTAAGCCGAATCTCTACATTAAATATTTTTTGGAAAAACTTATTTCATGTCGCTTTTTGGCTGTTGGTGTGCGCGTGCATCGTAAAAATGTTACTCTCATATTTTTTTCAAACGTGCCAAAAGAAGTTTACTTCAAAAATATTAAAATCCGTTCGTTGTTTTTTAGAATTAAAAAAAAATTAAATGTTTTAAAAAAAAGTAAAAAAAAGCTTCAAGCAAATTAATGTCATAAATATTTGTAAATCTCTATAAATAAAAGGCGAAACTATTTTGTAATAAATTTCAGTCAGTATTAAAGCATTTAAACTCCGTAAAAGATTATATCCCATTGGGATTAAATCGGGGCCGAGATTCGCTCATTTTTCCAATGTTTAAGTAAGAATATCTTTTCAACAACCATATTTTTATGTTTCACATATATGCATGTTATAAATAGGACATTCACTTTTTTGTGAAAAAGTTTTTGTTTTTTTTTTAAAAAAGAACCCTCCGACTAACTGAAGTGTTTTCACCTCTCTTGTCACTTTGCTTTTAGAAAGTTTACCACAAGCTTTTATTGTCAACTTACGGTATCCCTAGTAGTCTAATTCAATGTTATACTTTAAACATATAGATAGTATCGATTAAGAACTGTTGGTATGAAAAACCTATCTAAAAGCATTTTATTTTTTCATAAATGTTATTGCAAACTTGACACAGTTTTGCTAAGGCATGAAGATGGCAGTGCTCAAAGATACCAGACAAACATTGCTCAAAAACATTGCTCAAAAATAATATTGAGGAAGTATACAAATGTAAAAAAAATTCGTTCGATGGAACGTTTTTTTTTCTTGGTGCGTGCACGGGGCCCCTAGTCGATGCGGGGCCCCTAGGCAGTTGCCTAATCCGCCTTATGGATAATCCGGCCCTGCTACCAACTTTGACCCCGTTTTTTTAACAATAAATGAAATATTATTTAAAAAGTTAGAATTAATATCGAATCACTAAATTAATTTAAATACTAGCAATATCCAAAAGCTAATCTTAATATATATAATACTTCTATACGCGTGTGTGTGTGTGTGTGTGTGTGTGTGTGTGTGTGTGTGTGTGTGTGTGTGTGTGTGTGTGTGTGTGTGTTTGATTTGGATGAAATTTTGCGTGTATATTTCAATGGGCCCTTGCAAGGTTTGATAACACAAATGGGCCAAGTCGGTGTGTCACTATTTTTTTATAAAAGGCTCCATTTTACGAGCAATAAATATATTTAAATTGTTAATTAAATTAAAAAAATCGATGCGTGTACGTATGTTTCTTATGAACTCCAAAACAGCTAGGGCTATTTTGATGAAATTTTCAGGTAATCTTCAGATTAGCCCAGCGGGTGATCCTGTGAATTTTGTTAGCGATCGGAAGTTTGGACGCGGGCGAAGCCGCGGGTACTGCTAGACGCTAGTACATTATAAAATATGAGAGGCAAAGTTAATTATAAACGGAATTAATACCCTTTGGTAAACTTTGACGGATAAAGTGAAAATTGAGTTGCTAATACAAAGCTGAAGTTGCTTTATCATTGAATACTTTTAAATCTATACAAGATTTAAAATTTGTTAGCTTTTCAACGATAAATGTCCACAATTTCGACATTAAATACTTAAATACATATTTTAAGTTCGACGGTGCAATTCAGTGTCTTGTAAGCAATCATAAAATTACAGATATGTAATATTCAAGTAAACATAATATATTGCACATTGGATTATCGTAATTAATTATAATAACTAAATAACATAAATTACCTGATATAATGACTTTGCATGGTTCATTGTTTCGAAAATATAAATAAAAAATATATTTAATATATTATCAAATGATTGTGCAGTATATTAATATTCGAAGAGCCCTCTTTGTGTAGATAGAAGATAATAACGTGAGTCATAGTTACAGTATCGCGTTTTCGCGAAGCAAAAGAAATTTTTATTACAATTTGTAATCAATCACTTGTCCCGGAAGCTTCTTTCATAGCATATAAGGAAACATGCCCGTCATATACATTTTATGCACGGCGTAATTATTCTGTTATACATATATAAATTTTATGTTACATACATTTAAAAATACCTCGCATGGCACTTGCACAGGCCTCCCTTCAATACGAGGGGGATCAGGCCATAGTCCACCGCGCTGGCCAAGTGCGGGTTGGCGGACTTCACATGTCTTTCGAAAACCTGCTAGGTTTTCTCAGACATGCAGGGCTCCTTATGATGTTTTCCTTCACCGTAAGGCAATCAAGTTTGAAATGACTCACAGTATCAGAGGTGCGAGACCTGGGATTTGATCCCGCTTTACTCGGTTTCCCAAGAATACTGTAGTTCTACAGTGTTGTGCAATTTCTGAAATAGAAACAGCTGCATATTATAAATATGAGTGTGCCAGAGAGTGTGAGTGGTTTTTTCGGATACCTTATGTAGTTTTGGTGGAATATTAGGTTTTTTCAAATAGGGACTCACGACACGCCATAATATCTATTTACTGGTCAGTAGCCATAATACCTACCATGATAAGTTTAAGGAAAATAGTCTATTTTTTATAATTAAACAATATTTTTATTAACCTTTACCTAGTCGTTAAATTATAAAAAATTAACGACATATCATGCTGCTGTCCAGTTTCAAACTATTAGAGTGATTTATGTGAAGGCAGGACGCAACTGCATGTACAAATTTTACGAAAATATCTTCAAGACAGTTATTTTACACTGCTCTTAATTCATATGTGTATAACTTAATGGCGCCATTGTCCTACAATTTGAATGGTACATTTTCCCATTGCAAATTCGATTTGTACCTATACTATCTACAATTTTCGTAGAGATTTTGAGCATCTCTTAGAAATGAGGTTACTCACCAGAACTCAGCTTGAGTCGAACCATTTTCAAATAAAATAAATAAAGTTTTCATTTACAAAAGTATAAAAAATTATTCTTAAATTTTACCTAAGTACATCCAAGGACTCTATCCGCGTATTTGTTTCTTTTTATTTGATCCCTAGACTGAAACCACTATACAAGATATCCGATTTATACACGAAGCACAAAATAAATAGCTCAGGCTATATTTTTCTTTAAAAACGTATTTTTATATGACATCCCAAATTTTTTGTTAACCTACGTATATATGTATTACGTAGCATATTCTTCTTTGTGCCCTTTTCACTCCCTTTCTATATGGTACAAACTTCAGCTCGGAAGTTCTCGTGGTTTCCTCTGGGCGATGAATCAGTCAGGATAAACAGCTTTAATGAAGCTTATAATTTATTACAGTCTTGGGAATATAAGGGAAAATAATTAAGGCTAGAATATACTACTTACTCTTGTAGAAAAAGTAATAAAATAATTTACTATTTACGTAGAGCTGACAATTGTCACGATCCAGACCAGCATATATTTTGTTTTATATTTGTGACGTAATTTTCTTATATGCATGTTTTTCATATTTACATTGTTTGTAATACAGGAGTATTACAATAGCTATATAGAATATTTACCTTACTAACTCTTCACATCGCTTTCCGCTTTCCGCTAGTATTGATTCTTTCCGCCATTGCGTATTTGTATAACGCCACCCTTTATATCACCGGTCAAAATAAACATTCCCCCCTTGTGTTTGAATTCGATCTAGCCATCTGCAACGTAATAACCTCTCCGATTGAAACACAAATATAGTTAAAAAAAAAACGAAAATTTTCAATAGGTCCAAGTGCAAAGTTACAAACTCGAAAATATTTACAGAACTTGAAGAACCAAATTATGACAACAAACCTTTGGGTGGAGCAATCTTGGTACGACTACAAGCTGCGGTGGGAGCCGCGGGAGTACGGGGGGGTGCACATGCTGCATGTGCCCTCCGACCACATCTGGCGACCTGACATCGTGCTCTACAACAAGTGAGATGGACATCAAATTTTACATTTAAATTAATAACTTAAAATCATAAATAAATTAAGGCAATGGTGAAGCGATGCGAGCAGTTTTAAAGAAGGAAGAATCTTTAGAAAATTTTGTTAACGTTCTAGTGTTATCCTAAAATTTGTGATAGTTTCAAACAATAAATTCTAAAAAAAATATCTTTCAGAATATATAAAATATGTTTTATACTCGTATATTGTCAACTTTTATATAACTTTATAGTTATCTTGTTGTAACAAATGCGTTTGTTAAAAATTATTATCATAAATAACATCTATTTCCAACATTTTTTAAATATAACGGGAAATAAACAAAACTGTTCCTCTGAGCAGATGTTTAGTATTCATCGCCCGACTCAACGCATCGTTTCTCTATGTGCCATTAAAAGTGCACTATTACCAACTGTATAAAACTCCCCGTCTAAACTTTTCCCTCTATTTAACTTTAACGAAATATCCAAAACATGTCCTTTACACTAATTCGTTTCTGTAAGAGACTATATTTTTATTTCATTTTATTTAATCGAATTATCTATAAAAAAATCAACTAAAATAAATCATCTACAAAATTACAATCACGTGTAACTAGAAATATTAATACACTTTTTAAAACCAATACTAAAACTGTAGAATAAAAATCACGTGCTTTAAAATAGAATGTGTAATATAGAGCTCTTTCATAGTCCCGTTATCTGTGCTTAAATGCGTTATTGATCGTTGTGCTATTAGTATAGATACGTACGTCAATTTATTAGACAGTATGTATACCGCCTACAGCATCAGTGACGTAGCAGTAATAAAAACTCAGTTACGAACTGGCTTTTGATCGCATACATTATCTTACTGCATTATTCAACGTTAGATCATTTTTAAGAAATTCAAATGTGATTTAGTTCAAGTAGCTTTATACAAAGGAGTTTAAAAATAGATGTAGTAGAATTTGAATTTATTATAATAAAAGTCTTATTTAAAAGTGTCTTTAAAAAGTTTTTCATTAAATAATATAAAATACTAGCGGACCCGACAGACGTCCTGTCTACACGTCTTTAATTTGAAAATTTCAAACTTTTTTTAATAATTTTTTTGATGAAAATTATTATTCAAATTGTGAATCTAAACCATTCCCAGATCCCCTTGAACACACACAAAAAATTTCATCAAAATCGGTCCAGTCGTTTGAGAGAAGTTCAGTGACATACACACTCACAGAAGAATTATATATATATAAAGATGAAGCCAATATTTACACAGACAAATCTATTACCTTTTCAGAAAATTTGTCAGTTTATGTTTATTTTATATATATATATATATATATATATATATATATATATATATATATATATATATATATATGTAGTTATGTTTATAAACGTTTTGTTTGACGCTCGTTAATTGTTATTCTGAAAACGAAGAGAACCCCTAATACTAATGGGAACAAGTACTAATGGTTTTGTGTGACGCGATAAACTTTATTTACAAAAGTAAAATAATAAATATTAATAATTATGTACATACTACTGTACTATGCGTGACCTTTTCAGCTATCTGTAGTAATTGCTTACCAGTTGTAAATTGTAAATGCTCAGTGTCACAGTCATTCACGTAGCAGCTCACTAATCAGAATCATGAAAATAATAATAAGCGCTTTAATTATATATATTACGATTAATCTGGTACTGTTCTTGAAAAATTGTATATTTTTTTTTTTTGAAAAATTTAGAAGTGCTATGTAATAATTTATTTATTTTTAGGTTAATTGTGACCCAGCATTCATAGATGGATTTAGTTTCGTGTTTGACAGTGTTAAAGCTGGAATAAGTAAACTTGTTAGTGATGTGAGAGACGACTTTGATAACGTTTATAACTGTACCATGAAAGCTGTGAATATCTTGATACATGGGAAGGTTACATAAGAGGATTTTATTCGTGATTTTTTTATATATATATTGACTACAAATAGATGAATTTACAAATGAATTGTATCATTTCTCTCTGATTGCTTTTCAATATAAACAAATTATTTCAGCTCGAGCGGGTTAGTGTTAATTCTGAGAAGGCACTCGATTAGTCCTTCGTGTCAGCCTGAAATGCCGGACTTTGATTAATGACGTCGGCAACAATAGCTTGCTTATTTCCGGCCCCTCCCTCTTTAATTCGCACTAGGTTGCCCAAAATATAACCTTTTTACTTTATCCTTAAAAACCATCAGACTTGCTCTATCCTCAATTTTATAACAATATCCACTTGTCCATAATATTAAGTATATTTATATTTAAGTAGCAACGTTGCTTACAATCGAACTCTATAGATATTACATACGTTTATTATAGAAACTGTTCATATCCTTAACATAACTCACTCTTTTCATTTAACATTGCACACATTTAAAGTCTTCATTGTAACACTTGAGCATACAGAAAAACCTAACATTTACTCAGTACAGAGCAAACGATATCTTATTATCAGTATGTACTAATGATTTATAATATATATAGGTAACAATGTACACTTTCAAATCCAAGCACAGGTGATCAAGTAAACATCAATCGACGACGCCACAGATGAACACACAATCGTGAATTAAGGGGCAATCGTAGGGCGCGTGCCGGGTTGTAAATATGCCTTAACATTGCAGTGCCGACGGCAACTTCGAGGTAACTTTGGCGACCAAGGCGACCATCTACCACCAAGGGCTAGTCGAATGGAAACCACCCGCAATTTACAAGTCTTCCTGCGAGATAGACGTGGAATATTTTCCTTTCGACGAGCAAACATGCGTTCTTAAGTTCGGTAGCTGGACGTACGACGGATTCAAGGTAATTTATCGGGCTATTCCCACCGCTGTGGCTGACCACTTTGTTTGTCCGCAGCGCCGACGGCAACTACGAGGTGACGCTGATGACCAAGGCCACGGTGTACCACAACGGCATGGTGGTGTGGCAGCCGCCCGCAGTCTATAAGTCGTCCTGCTCTATCGACGTCGAGTTCTTTCCTTACGACGTGCAAACCTGTGTGCTTAAGTTAGGCAGCTGGACGTATGATGGCTTCAAGGTGACGCCCCGCTGTACGCTTGGCGCCGTGCGCGGGCTGTAGCGTAGGGCCCGCCGCCCCGGCCCGTGTCCATGCAGTAGCTTGTTGGCTCGAACGTTTTTTCGTCGTGTAATTAATATTACTATTCCGTCTGTGTGATACATTAATACAGTTACAAACTGACTGTTTGCGTGGAGGTGACGAGCGAGCGTCGTAAAGCGCCGCTCGCTGGACGCCTATACTCGCTCTTTAGCCATAACATGTTGTTTACATAACTTTTGCGATGGTGATGTTTTAAGTATGTGGAGTAGCAGTTTGTCAACGTGCGTGTCCACGAATGCTCCAGAATAACCTCGATCGGTTCCACTTAGTTCGATCGGCCTTCCTCGCTCGACACGGAAAGGTATAAAATTATAAATGTCAGGTGATATGGGATGCAACGTAACTCAACTCGATCCTTATCCACACTTCCTACGACTCACAAAACCATTCTACTCTTTTTTAATTTATATAAAAAGTAAAATAAAAATCATGGAGTGGAACGGTTTCTCCTGTTCTCTTCCTCCAGCTGGCTCCGCTCGCGCCTATACACACTTTGAAACACTAACAGCTGACACATGTGCTTGCTGCATGCCTCCTCGGTGTTACACACTGCACTCACTGCATGTCTCTGGCTTGGCTCCAAACCAATTGCATTCCCGATCACGACGGCTCACCGCCGAAAACCGTGACCACGTTTCTTACACAGCTTCACACTAATTACACGCGGACTACTTGAGCACAACACAGAAAACTTAAATGGACAATTAAATTACCTTCACATTTTGATTCGTTCTATTTTGGAGCGTTAACGGTCATCTTATTGCATATTTTATACCTTTCCCTTTTAGCGACTTTTAGTGGCTGTAAGAATTTGGTGTCGCTGGTCATTGCATGATGCCATTGTCATTACAAAAACAAAACAAAATAAGACGATACACAGTTAAAGTTTAGATATCAACATTAGAGTGATAGTTTCACCGATTGATAAAGAATATGAGGATAAAAATCAATCTGCGAAACGATCCTGCATGCACTCGCTACACAAGAATGAAGCTCATGCTTGATACCAACAACGACTCTTAGACTGTTAGCTTGTGTTAAAGATTTGTGTTAGTGTTAGTTGGGCGTTGTTGCGATCAGACATGAAGCGAAAGGACAGCCGCGCGGCTTCGCCTGCCGGCGAATGACACACTCGCGGCCCCGCGCCGCATCGCGCGACACACACACGCGCGGCGGAGCCGGTGCTTCCGTTCTCCTTGCACTTTGACGAGTCACAGACAATGGAGTGCGCCCTCGTTGTGTTTTTCAATAATATACCAAAGCAAATATTTAACATGGCCATCCATTATTGCTCGTCGAAAGTTCAAAGCTCATAAATTGTTCTAGGTGTTGTGTTTCGCGTTGTTGTTATTTCGCATGATTCGACATCTTGTTATTCAGTGTCGTTAAAAAACAAAATTAAAAGCGATCTCATACAGGTACTTGGCACACTTTGTGGTTAGATCACTTAGTAATTCTAATCTTGAAAGGAATTCAAGAATCACGTCGATAAGTTGGACGACTATTCTATAGACTCGTTTTTTTTGTTTTTAGGTACACATTGTGTGACAGGGAGCATGTATTAAATAAACAAATATCTTAAAATATAATAAAATATTTAAAATAAACGAAATAAAATATATAAACTAAATAAAATAGTTTAATAGTTCTTGCTGGACAAAAATAGAAATTACATACAAAAAAATATAAAACATGAATTCTATTCTTGCTCCACTGGAACACCGATAACATCTTAAGTTAAACGCAAATATTTAAACTAAATTACCCCTTAAACTGTTCCAGATAGTTGTCTGTTTTTGTGTTTATAAATGTTTTGTATCTTGTTATTATTAATGAATAATATTGTTAAAATTAAATGTAAGATTTAGATAATGAAATAAAGAAATTGAAAATTCAATTCAAATATTGGAAGTATAAATAATAATTTGCCTTTTTTTAAAAAAGAAAAATATTTAAGTCTTAAAAACCTAAATGCATAGCATTAAATTGATCTGATTTTATTAAATGTATAAAGCACCATACATAACGCTTATTTGTAAATGTGCTAGAACTGTTTTATGAAAAAGTTAAATTCGCTTAAATTGTGGAATGAGAATGTGTGCGCAGGTGGACTTGAGACACATGGACGAGCAGGCCGGCAGCAACATAGTATCGGTTGGCGTTGATTTGTCCGAGTTCTATATGTCTGTTGAATGGGACATACTGGAGGTTCCTGCGGTCAGGTGTGTATTTACCGTCTATTTTCATATTATAAAAATATTAACCCATTTTCTTTAAATGTCACTAAAAACTAAAAAGTATTTATATATTACTAGCAGAATCCGCGGCTTCGTTCGGGCTAAATGCACAAAAAAAAACTACAAAAATAGGTTTCACACAAACTTTTATTTTATCCCCTTATAGGATTATTAGATCCCCTATTTTATCCCCTTATGGGATGAATTTCGAAAAATGCTAAAACACATATTTATTTAATTGTATTGTATTGAAGAGCATTAATACCAAGTTTCAAGTAAATCTGATCATAAATATTTTTTGGGTTGTATTATAAGCTATAACATGTTTTCCTGTGGGAGTAAGATAATCTCCTGCGATAAAAAGTAGCCTATGTCACTTTCCAGCTCTCCAACTACCTCCACACAAAAAATCTCGCCAATCCGTCACTCCGTTTCGACCTGAAAGAAGGAAAAACAAACAAACAAACAAACAAACAAACAAACTTTCACATTTATAATATTAGTATGGATTACTCAGTAGGATTTTATGAACGATGCTACAGTGTATCTTATGCTAGGCTATTAAAATATAGCAAGTTGTAGCAAGTCTTTTACTTTTAGTAAGCTACTTAAAAGCAAAGCGATGTTCTCGTAAAATTAATAAAGATGCCAAAGAATATAAAAAGTCATATATAAAAGTTTGTGCAACAATTGTAACTTTATGAGAATTATTTTTTAAAAGGTTACCAAGTTATTTTTAAGTTCTATAATTACTTTTAAGTGAATTCTTAACATTCTATCTAAACACTGAAGCAATCTATATATATAATAAAAACTAAAAAAAAAGTAAATGAAAAATACCATTAAGTTATTTTTTGACTTTTTAGTCTTTTTTTTGAAGTCGGTTTTTATTTTCTTTTTTTTATTTTCTTTTTTTTCACTTTCAGTGTAGACATAGTAGTAGCAAAGTAAGAAAGTACTTTAATAAAATAGCTCTTTAAGTTAGTTTGATACCAATTTTTATATAAAGACGGAGAAACTAAAATTCACTTTTATTAGTAAAACTAAAAAATCCGGCTCTGAAAGATAATTCTAACGTATTGGGCTTGTCAAATCAAACAAAATAAACCCAAACTCAAAGTATCTACTATCAGCCATTGAAGAGTTCCACATATTATATAGACCACTGGAAATAGAAACACTTGCAAAATTTCAAATCAGTATGACAGTGAAGAAGTAGATTAAATTCATCATTAGCTATTTTTCCATACTTTGGGGTGGTATTATTTTTTCAACATTAAATGAGACCAAATTGGAAATATACACTTTCAAACAAAACTAAAATTGTCCAAATCGGTTAATAAATGACGGAGATCTGAGGTAACAAACAAAAAAACAGCTGAATTGAGAACCTCCTCTTTGAAATCGGTTGAAAATAGTCCCAAAGCGAAATCTACACATTAAATATATTTTAAAAACAATAACTGTTATTGTATTGTAAACAAAATGTAGACCCAAAACAATATTTATTGAAATTTTTGTCTGTTTGTCTGTATATCTGTGTACGTTTTACGCAAAAGTACTGAACTGATTTTAACAATATTTTGTGTAGTGAAATATATCTAATAGGTAATACAAAGATCAAAACTTTGCCTTTAAAACATTTTTAATAATAATAATTTTAATATTTTTTTATTAAAAGTGCAGTTTGACTACTAGTTAACTACTTAGTTTTACTTGTTCATTTTCTAAAATGAACAGTAGGGATAACTTTACGAAATAAATGAGATTAGATTTTATCTCTCGCGTAGGAAAATCAGCAAAAATGTTGAGGAACGGGCTAGATACGAACAGCATGACAACTTAATTAAGCTTTGTAAGCATCTCTTTATTAACGAATTATACCCTTAAAGTTTAATACAATCAAATAACTTTATTGCTTGTTAAAAATATTTTTTTCGCATTCATTATTCGTTATCTTTGCAAAAATATTTAATCCTTAATATATACTTCAGGCTCGCATTCTCGTGCATTTAAAATTTTATATACATATGTAGGTTACAGTCACTTTTTTTTAACGTTGGGAAATGCATTTACGCACGAGGTGTTGGACTCACCGGCAAAGCCAGTACTACCCACGAAAACCCAACAAAACCTTCCCCCGTCTTAATGGGGCGTCGCAGGATCGCTTACGCAGACCACAACAACCACGGGGTTGCTCCAAGGTCCCCTATGCTATCAGAGAAATACCAGAAGCAACCCGCATGGTACACCGCCCTCCGAAGAGGGCCACCTCCAACCGCCCACCGAGGTGGGCCACCGGGCCGTCTCCCTGTGCGTTTCTTGGCTTTGCGCCCGGCTGTATTGCCGGGCACTACTGAGCCCCGCACCACGACAAGGTGAACGCACGTTAGGGGGGAGGTTACAGTCACTCAACTCAACATGATCCAACCCTCCTACTAGATAAAAAAGCAGAACGAGTAACTCAAATTACATGAATAAGTCTTATCTATCAATTTATCTATGAATCATAAAAAATAATCAAGTAAGAAGAAATGCTTCGCAACTTTAATCGCTTACAATAAATACTGCATAAATTCAATACATACTAATATTATGTACATTACTATGTCGATTGTCGTAGCAAATAATCTATAGTAATATAAAGGTATCATCACAAATAAATACATTTATAAAGAACGATTAAAATAAAAAAAATCGATTTCTTACACAATCACTTAAAATACATACTATTTATCACATAAAACATTATACGATATATAACCCAACAAATCACTACTTTCGTATCTTACGGCTTCAACATCAAAAGGCTCATGATGATAGGCCGTTGTGTATCCATTACAACCGCATTCATCGCAGAGTTATCGTTCATTTCGAATCATGATACAAAAGCTCTTCAATAATATCTTACAATGTAGACCGTTCAATCCATTCTTTGTTATTACTTCTTCAGCCTTAGCCATTAGGGCTCCGATCTAACCCGTAGAGCTTTGGCAACGTATGTTTATCGTTACTTTACAAATACTAAGCATGTTAAATGTAATTTAAGAATAAGCTTCATTATTATTTTTATCATACTCTTATTATTATTTTTTGTTCTGATTAAATAAGCTCTGTAATCGTAAACTTAGTAAAAACCAAAATTTTCGGTCTATGCATTTTTTAAAGTATTCTGATACTTTCTTTAACAATTATATTATTGTCCACCCTGCCCGGACAGACCTCCAAAATTTCATTTCAAAATAATTTTTAAAGAAAAATTGAAAAAATTGTGCCTAAAAATATTTTATTAAAAAAAGTTTTATAATAAGTCTACGATGGGCTTTCCTGTAAATTGATTTAATTTAATCTTCAGTGAATAGATAAGCGGTAAAAACTGGCAAACTCAAATTTGGATTTCTTACAAGTTTTACGCTACATTTACTATTCATTGACAAAAGCCGTTAAAGAGCTTTCATTGTAGTGCCTTTAAGAGTTTTCGTTGTATGAAAAGCTAAAAGACGAGTAGGTGAGGTGACCTCACTCTGAATAACCGGCTTAAACTATTTAAATTCTTCTAACACTATAGCTACTGGCTAGATTTAGTCAAGGCCATTTAAAATATCAAAGGAGAAAGGTTAAGAACTTTTGAAAATATTTCAGTCTATAAAGAAATGTTTATCTGATTTGTGAAACAATATTAGGCGTGACGAATGAAGGATGAATGATGAATGAATGACGCATGCAAATTATGAACTTGCGAAATAATAGGTCTGAAACGAAAACATCGCGTCTACTCATATAGAAAAACCTAAACTTTTATATTTTATGTTTCCCTTTACCTTATAATAACTTCTAAAATTATGTCGTTAAAAATACATATTAAGTATTATAAATGTGAAAGCTAATACAGACAAAAAGTAAAAGCAAACAAATATTTATTTAGATATAATTATTAATTATTTGCCCAACAATCTATTAAAATTAATACTTCATATCGTAGCTTAGAAGAAACACGATCTACGTGACGTAGACTAATTCTATGTGATTTTGCGGTTTTGCCTTGTTTAACAGATGCTGGGGGATTGCAACGGTTTTGCGCCATAATCATTTGTCGTGTAATTTGTTTTTTTTGGGATTCGCTTTTTGTTTCATAACAGCAAAAATATACAAATATGTAAAGTGATAATTTACATTACACAAATACAAAAAACTTTAAAAATATATGTAGTGACTCATGACTGTCTTTGGAAGTTATAGTTACTTATGAAGTACAGAAGAAAAGGAGTGTTAAGCAAGGCGTGCAAGCCAATAAGTATTCATATCAAATATTGAGTACTGTCTATGCATTACAATGTAATTTTACAATTCACAAATCAACCTGCTAAGTTAAGACTTTTCTTTGTTCGGTGCACAAATTTGAACTAAATGATTATAATCACCATGTGCATCTCGTCTCGTCATCTCATATTGCATCTTTGGCAATTCAACCAAGTTCCAAGATCTTATGATTTTATGTTTTGCTCGCTTTTCATGATCCATGTAAATAAACTGCATACGCTTAATGTCTTAAAAGTTACTATAATCAGTAAGTACCATCCATATAATTAAACTCTATTTACTTATGTAGATAATCAGAGTCGGAGAATTAGACGTCCATAAAAACCTTTGGAAACCTTTTTACATAATAATTAAGAGAACAAATTAATAATATTATATCCAAGGCGTCCATTTTGAAAAAAAAAACTTGTTAGCATTCTAACACATTGGTACATAATACATATTATTAAACATAGCTGTTGGCATTGACAAGGGTGAAGTGTTATGACATATTGGAAAACGATGGATATTTTTATTTTTGAAAATAGCATTAAATTACTCTTACCCTAACGTTTGAGATATTTTTACGAGGCACTCTGCGAAATTGCTCCCACATGTATACATTTTATTTGCACGTCTCTTGACATAAAATGTAGGGTCACTCACATGTAGAGTATATACGTAATACCTATAGTTTTACGCATATTACTATAAATTTTTACTATATGTCTCAGTTCAAATATCTATATTTAATTCAAACTTAATAAATATATTATACTTATATATTTTAATAATACATATCTATACATATAATAAAATAGTAACTAAGCCGAATCTGTACATTAAATATTTTTTGGAAAATCTTATTGAAATAAACATTATTATTGATACAGAGGCCGAATCTATAGTTTTTAGAATTTTTGTCTGTCTGTCTGTATGTCTGTCTGTTACCGCATCACAGAAAAACCACTGGAGGGATTTTGATGAACGGGTCAACATATAGGTTACTTTTTACCGCAGGAAAATCTCTCATTTCTGAGAAAAAATACAAAACTACAATGTAAGAGTATACTAATATGTAAAACCTAATAGTTTAGCTTTTGGTCATCTGAACGCGGGCGGAGCCGCGGGCAATACTAGTACGATATAAACTTTGTAGATTGTATACATTTATTAAATAGCGACGCGCAATACTTTCTATGCAGTATCTCCCGTGATCTGAAGTAATTAAATATTTTATGCAAAATCATGCATAATCAAAAAAAATATAAGTGTATTTATTATCTATTTTTCAAATTATTATTTTTATATATATTAACTTTTATTCAAAAAATTATGTTTATAATTAAATTAAAATATTTTATTAAATTAGAATTCTTTCTCATTTAATATTATGAATTGAATTGTTGTAGTTAGCTCCTTCAGGGGTGTTTTTATTGCAATTAAAACGTTTATTTTTATTAAAGTAAATATGAATATAATTTCGTGTCGATATACGTAAATTTACACAAAATTGTTTTTATATATTTCATCGTATAATTTAAAGTTCATTTAAATAAGAGAATTGTTTATTTATTTTAAATCAGTGTTAAAATTATCCTACTCATTCTACGAGTACTCATCATTCGTACTTCAAATGGTTGTGCGTAATGGAATAATGTAGTAAAAGTCTTCCATAAACATAAATAATACCTATTATCTGTTGTTAATAGAAATGAAAAGTTCTACACGTGCTGCGACGAGCCCTACCTGGACATAACATTCAACATAACGATGCGGCGGAAAACGCTCTTCTACACCGTGAACATCATCATACCCTGCATGGGCATCTCTTTCCTCACAGTTCTCACGTTTTACTTACCTTCAGATAGCGGGGAAAAGGTAATATATCAAAGATATAATATTACAAAGGTAATTGAGTTAGAAAATCGATACATGTAATATTTTCTTAAATAATAAAGTAAGATTAAAAATTAAAACTTTATATAAAAATTGTGCAATTCATATAATATATCTAAAGAAGAATTTAGTTGGAATTTCTGATAACATATGTTTATATGAAAATAAATAAGACATATTCAATTATTTCTTACTGATTACTATCATTAGTATGGCAGTAGCTGCGATCACTCGCACGTAATCAGATCAAAGATATCTGTAAATCGAGCATCGAAAGCTAGAACTCAATTAATACGAGGAACTTATCGTAAACTAAACCGTTCAATTTAGCTTTTAGAACTAGCTTAACTTTAATATCTTGATAATTATATAATATATAATATAATATTTTTTTTAATTATTACATATATATACGAATGCATATATATATAAACGCTAAAGTATCCAAATTGTGGATAAACTAAGAAATATTGTAGTGTAATCTAATGCTTTAAATAAAAGAATTCTTGATTTATCCGGCAATAAATTGGTATCGTTAAGGAAAACAAGTCTTTTTAAAGTTTTATTTTAGCCAAATGTAAAAGCATTAGCACCACATAAAAAACGATAACGACATCGCTACGTATACGGTGAAATATTGAGTCATTTTTATCAGTACTACCTTAACATCTTAAAAATTCTTATAAATTATATATCTGCGTATTTCGCAAATAATAATATAATAACTTTTTTAGCAAAAATGAACCCACATTGTTTTAATTCCATACAAATGTTGTTAAAAATAATGAAATCAGAATACTGCCAAATGTCAAACAAAATTGAAATATAATAAAATTAGCAGTCGCAAAATACAGGGTTCAATTCTCTCGCCCGCCTGGTTTTTATATTGGACGACATTAATCTGACTGAAAACCATTTTGTAATTTGTATGAAAATTCATTATTTTAGAATATTATACAAATGAGAAACTTTTTGCACGGGACAGCAATTTCAATATTGATAAATTTTGATTTTTTATTATCAAGGTCTGTTACAAAATATTACAATAAGCTTAAAAAAGCTTTAAATAAACTTTAAGTAAAATAAATGTTATAAAATACTTCTATTATTACATTTTGATTGACTGTATCGTTGCTCTAGCAATTATCTCATTGAATTACGAGCTCCTGTGTAGCCTCAGCTCGATCAATAAGTACGAGTTATGTGTACTGTACTTCTGTCTCATAATTTTGATATTTTATTTACTTTACACATTGGTAGTATGTATGCCCTCTGCCCTTTTCGGAGCATATAAAACATGTAAAACTGTGATTGATGCGTGTGAAATATCTTTGGATTACCCAATACATATAAATATGAGCATATAGAGAATGCATCAATATTTATCTAAGTTAACCAACATAGGAGAATGAGACTGATAAATTGTATAAGTATATAATTATTTCAACACGTACAATTGTACAATTTTAATGTTTGTATTTGTATTGTAAATTAGTTAATTATAATATACAGATACGCATTTTTATATCCAGGTAACACTTTCCATCTCGATCCTGATTAGCCTCCACGTGTTCTTCTTGCTAGTAGTGGAGATCATACCGCCCACCTCGCTCGTCGTTCCCTTGCTCGGGAAATATCTCATTTTCGCGATGATATTGGTGTCGATAAGGTAATATACCTATATTTATAAATATTATTAAATTACTACCCTTAGATAATGTAATCTAAGGGTAAGGTATATGGCGTCTATTTTACAAAATGTTATAAAAGCTTTAAGTTCTTTAAATATAAAGTCAATATAATCGTAATATTTACTTAATGATGAAAGAATTATTATTAAATAAATTTTGATATACAAATAGTCGTATTAATTTAAAATATATACAACAAAGATAAGTTGTATTAATTTGAAATACATATATACACTATACGCTAAACACATCTAGTTCAAGAGGTGCAAGTTGTTATTCTTGGCTTCGCGAGCATCAAGTTGACATTTTCACTTCCATAGTAAAATAAACAGCGTGGAAAAATACTGAAATTAAAAAATGCAATTAAAGACGTACGATATTCTATTTATCAGATTGGGACCACTTGGTTACCTCCTTTTTGTAGCCTATAATATAATATCAATCATAATTGTTAGAGTCTTTGTATAAAAATTGCATTCCATATATGATGGGTGTAGATACAATGCGACATAAAATCAAATACCTAATAACACAAATGTCTATCTACTAAAACATAGATACATATTATGTACTTAATTGAGGCACGAATACGTCTTGCAGTACAAAATACCAATAAGCTTATTGAGCTCGTATAAAACTTATTCAACTACCTATGGCTGAATCCAGCGCGGTAACAAGCCGCAGAATTTCCATATAAATTAGAATTTGGCGTTTAAACCAGATATTTGATTGCATAACTTTGTACTCAAAGAAAATGATAATCGTCGGCCTTCTCTTAACTTTTCCTGCTGTTATCTCCACAAAAGGGTCCCAATCTTTCTAATTGTATTACAAAGGCAAACTTTGAATGCTATACTCTATTTAGTTTCTATTAAAGTATTTCAGGAAATAAATACACTTTACATCTGAATATTTATTTAACTTTTTTTTTAATTTAGTAAATCTTAGGTTTCATGTGAAGATACTTAATCTCATTACATTCGTTAATAAATTTTGTTTAAAAAAATTAAGCAAGGATGATGTAGAATAATTAAGAAATCCAAGAATGAAATAAAAATTATATATATTCATTTTTTTAATAAATACATAATATACTCCATAAATACTTTCTAATAATAGTTACAAACGATAAGAGCCGTAGCCATACCGAGCATTCTAATTCGAATGTAATCAATTCTACTACATAATCAGCGCCGCTCGTAGGCATACTATCCACATACCGATGATAACATGGCTACTTATAGCAATTTTGGAGCGTGGATATGATCACGTAAAGCCGTAATAAGATATTGGTCATATCGTAAGGAAAGTAAATAAGTAAAGTGCTTACTCAGGGACTTGGGGCGCCCAAACATAATTCTATCCTTACCGCCCGTAGGATTAAGCCCATATATCTTGATTAAGTGCCTTCATTTAGATAGCGCTCACACCAAACTCAACATAGAAATAGATTCAACATCGACATTCAAATCATTAATTAATAACTAGCACATTTAAATTTTTTTACTATCAATCAATATTAGTGTATTATTATTCAGGCAAAAAATAATACAGTATATTATTGTAGAATTTTTAACGTATTTTAGATTAGCAAGAGTCTGAGATAAACTAGAATTCATTTCTTTATGTAAGTGTTTATTTGTATCATTTACCCCAGTATATGCGTGACGGTGGTGGTGCTCAACGTACACTTCCGGTCGCCGCAAACACACCGCATGGCGCCGTGGGTGAAGCGCGTCTTTATTCACATACTTCCACGCTTGCTCTTTATGAAGAGACCGCAATACAAGTTTGATACGACGAGGTAACTATCCTATTATGTTATCTGTTAAATAAAATGCTATTGTATTCTTTTTATACAGTTTTTTAGCTATTTTTTATTATTCTATTTAAGTAAATGTTGTAATGTAAAGCTATACTTATCTTTTAAACAAAAGTAAGATAAAATATGGTATCACGGATTTTTTGTAAAAGTATCAGTAGACAGGGCTACATATTTATCATAAATTATCTTCATTTATTTACAACTGTTTATATAGCCACACGTCCATGAAGCAACACCAAGCAGCATTCGACTCTACTAACTCAATTTGACAATAATTAAACAATGCTCAATAAATTATCTTAACACTTATAAGAAATAAGTACTTACTAGGTCAATTTTTAATACACTAAAACCTTTCTGGAGAAATACAGATTAGACAAGCAAAAACCGCATCCAAATTCGTTTAATATTTCTCTACATTAACGCACACTGACGTTCAGATAGGATTTCGTCGTTGATTTCCCTTTTTTTACAGAGTATATAATAAGATAAATAAGATAAGAGGTATAAATTTATTAAACTATGTTGCCTTAAAAAGACAAAAAAAATACAGATAGACAAAAAATATACAGATTTTAATACCCAACACTATACCTACTCGTATACAAATTGTAAATCGTTTGAATGATAGATATGGAAAGCCGTTTGAGCCGCGCACTAATGGTAGCCAAACAATATGAAAGCAATAAAGTACTCTCGCGCGATTCTTTTGTGTCGATCGTGAACAAAACGTTATTGTTGCGATATAGCGCAATGATTCCTTAAAAGACAATCGGGCAATAATTCAACAGTACAATCATTAAAGCTTCTTTTCTTATAAATTATACCGATTTTCTTAGAAAATTATTACTTACTACGAGCACTTTAAACTAAAGTTTATATCAAGAAAGATGAGTAATAGTAAATATTAATTTCTTATATGGAATTTATAATTTTGCGTGTTTATTTAATCAGATATTTGTTTTCCTGTAAATTTTATTCCGATGCTTCTTAGAGTTCATCGCATATAAAAAATACTTTATACCAGCTGTTAGTTGCAACTTCATTCATACAAAGTTCATAATTTATGTAATTTTATAAGTAAATGATAATTTAGTTTTGTACCTACCTAAACCAAACGTCAACCCGAATATTAATTTCCGATTAAATATGTTAAGACAAAAGAATATTTAAATTGGGGGAAACCATGTACTTCTCCATTTCACTTAGAAAACAACTTCTAGCCATAGTGTATTGTCTCTAACAGCAAAACAAGTGCTACAAATGAATTTATAAGTTTGTTACTGGTATTATGCTTACTTACATATTTATCATTGCAGATAGGATCTTATATATAAATTTTAATAATATTAATTTAAACTTAGACATTTTAGTATTAAACGATAGTATCTATACATACACTTACATATAATAATATATATTATAAAAATTATACATATAATAAAATAATAAAAAAACGAAATCTGTTAAGTATTGTTTACAGAATATAGGCACCAAAAATATAGTAGTTAATTTATTTTTCTGTTTGTCTGTATATCTGTGTGTATTTCAATCAAAAAGTACTGAACAGATTTAAATTAACTTTATGTATCAATATTATAATATATTACTAGGGTCAACATTTAGGATAACTTATACTACAGGCAAATCTCTCATGCGTACGAGAAAGCACATTAACAGGTTCTGCCAAGTTGTTCTTCATACAAAAATTTCAATAATCTATTACACAAATGACTATTATTAGCTGAGTTGAAATCAACGTATTTAACGGTTTAGCGCAGTAAAATCCTTCATTTTCATGGGAAAATGCAATTCAAAATATAATTTGAGCATAAGTCGCTCATACATACTCGTGGTATAAAACAAAGTCGCTGTCTGCCTCTGTGTGTTTTTCCGCTAACTTCTTTTTTACACCAATGGATTTTGATATAATTTTCTTTACTAATAGAAAATTATAATTAAGGGATTAAAGGAGGAAATTTTATGTAAATAATTTGTAAATATTTTCTACAAAATAGCTGAACTATGACGCTTTTTGTCAAAAAAAAACTATTTTCGTATGCTTATATGACCAACGCGGGCTAGCCCTTTAAGAGATACATCAAAACAATGTATAAGAATATTGTATTCCTTAAAAAGACCGAAATAGCATGTTTCTATCTCCTAAGGTACACTAAAAATAAATATTTTTATTTATTCAAAACGTACCTACGGCACGCACTCGAACGAAGCGACTAAATAATAAATAATACCTATAGCTATTTGTTTGTATTCAGCCCTTATTAACGTCCCACTGCTGGGCACGGGCCTCCCTTCTATACGAAGGGGAACAGGCCATAGTCCACCACGCTGGCCAAGTGCGGGTTGACGTACTTTACATGTCCTTCGAAAACTTGTTAGGTTCTCTCAGGCATGCAACTTTCCTCACTATGTTTTCCTTCACCGTAAGGCAAGTGATAATCATGTCATGTTGGAAATAATTCACACTTAAAAATATCAGAGCTTCGAGACTCCGGATTTGAACCCGCTTCTCTCGGTTTCCCAAGCGAGCGCGTTACCACTGGGCTACCACTGCCTTATATTATATAGCTATTTAATTTACTATATTTCTGGCAAAAATACTTTATATCAGTGGGTACGGAGTCAAGCTTCGCCTCGAAAAGTAATAAAATGCTTAATTGGGTCTTCAGAAGACTTCCTCATTATTTTTATATATCATTGAATGTAAAAATATACATTTCAAATTTACTAATGATGTCATTGGAGATGAAGATCAAATTTCAATACAAAAATTATTTTTTATGTGTGCTAATAAAATATAAGGTAGGTAAATGTATACATTTGGTGGGGGGGCTAAGTAGTGCCCGGCAATCCAGCCGGGCGCGAAGCCAAGAAACGCACAGGGAGGTGGCCCGCTTCGGTGGGCGGTGGGAGGTGGCCCACTTCGGTGGGCGGTGGGAGGGGTGGCCCTCTTCGGTAGGGGATGTACCATGCGGGTTGCTCCTGGTATTTCTCTGATAGTAGAGGGGACCTTGGAGCAACCCCGTGGTTGTTGTGGTCTGCTTCGGCAGACCTACGGTCGGGGCGTCGTAGTTGAATGCGTAAGCGATCCTGCGACGCCCCATTAAGACGGGGGAAGGTTTTGTTGGATTTTAATGGGTAGTACTGGCTTTGCGGGTGAGCCCTACACCTTGTGCGTAAATGTATTTCCCAAAATTAAAAAAGAAGCTAAATGTATACATTAGTTTCTACCTAATAATACACATTTTTTATAAAGTGTTCTTTTCCTCAAACATTTCAGAAAAAGAACTCATATGTAGGTTACGGTTTAAAGCAACTTTTGGTGTACAAAAAATACTGACAATAGCCCCGAGCTTTATATGACGCATCGTTGGCTCTCTCAATATTTTACAAAATACTAACTAAAAAACTGCAAAATGCACTAAATATGTTTTAATGTATTCATGTAACATTTAAAACACAGTTTTTTCCTGTACAAGTATGAAGTATTAATAATAAAAATTGGAATGTCTATACTGAAATCAGCTTAAGGTAAGCTAATATTCGTAGTAAACTTTATCCCATCAAAAACATAAATGTAATAAATGGGAGCCAAGTTCTGTAGTTAATCCTGATTTTTTTTACATAAGAACATACAACATTCTAACATTACAACACAATTTGTTTTTTTCTGCTACAAAAGTGTTTGCTATTTAAAAATAGAACTTTTTAAATTTGAACAGTCGAATTATTTACACAGAGTAGATAACTTAGAATAAATAATGATAACTTAGAATAAAATAATAATGATCCGCAAAACGTTTGCAATCTTTTCAGTGATTATTTTAAATCTAAGTTTGAAGTTTCTACCCTTAATCCTAATCAATCTTCTGAAACCATTATCATGCCTCCTACAATAATTAATTGAATTCATATAACACCGGAGTTAGTTATGAAATATCTGAAATCCCTTGATATTAGGAAAGGAATGGGACCAGATGGGATACCTCCTATTTTTCTTAAGTTCTGCTGTTACCACTAAGCATATCCAATTTTTCTACTATTTTACAAATCACTTAAAACCGGTGAAATACCTAGTATTTGGAAGAAATCATTTGTGGTTCCTATATTAAAATCTGGTAATAAACACGAGGTTCAGAACTACAGGCCAATTTCTAAATTATGTATATTGGGTAAATTTTTTGAAAAGATTGTGTACGATTGCATATTTCCCAAATTAAGACCTTTTTTGATTAACGAACAGCATGAATATGTAAATAAAAAATCAACCGCAGGAAATCTCGTTGAATTAGTCCATCGCGTTACTGCTTCCATGGACCAGGACTGCCAGGTATATGTAGTCTATACCGATTTCGCGAAAGCTTTCGACAAGGTTCCCCATCATGTTCTTATCCAAAAACTTGCAGGGATGGGTATACACGGAGATCTGCTACGCTGGATATCCTCATATCTTCGGGACAGAAGTCAGGCTGTAACTATTAAAGGCCATACGTCATCTTTTGTGCCTGTTTCCTCTGGTGTTCCTCAGGGTTCTCATCTGGGACCATTGCTTTTTAACATATTCCTGAACGACATTAAGATCGTCTTTAAGAATAGTTCATTTCTTCTTTATGCTGATGATTTGAAAATTATTAGAAAAATCTCATGTCTCTCAGATAGCGCTCTACTAGAGAAAGACTTAGACAGACTTTACTCATATTGTTCCAATAATTATCTACATCTGAATATTAGAAAGTGTTCCGTTATTTCTTTCTCTAGGAAGCTTTCTACCTTAGATTTCCCATATACACTTGGTTATGAAGTATTAGCGCGAGTTACTGAAGTGCGTGATCTGAGTTTAATTCTAGATAGCAAATTGTTGTTTAAATACCACATAAATCAAATGACTTCTAAAGCGTTTAAAATGCTGGGTTTCATACTTAGAGTGAGTAAAGACTTTAGGAATATTTCTACAATGCTTTTACTGTATAATACCTTGGTTCGTTCGATTCTGGAATATGGATCAATAATATGGAACCCCAACCGTAAAACTTACATTGAGGAAATCGAGAGGGTCCAGTTTAAATTTATTAAACATTTGAATTTAAGGTGCCTCTCTCTACATCAAAGCTGCCCTGCTGTATCTTCTCTCGCAAGCCGTCGTTTATTTAAAGACCAAATGTTTTTATATAAAATAATTAATAATTTTGTTGACTCCCCTTATCTTTTAAGTAATATACAATTCAGATGTCCCAGCTTCAACACTCGTCGAAGAGATTTGTTTTGCATTCCTGTCACCAGGACGAAATTCACTCAAAATGAATTTATATATAGGTCCTGTCGTGATTACAATGTTCACTTTAACGACATTGATTTAATGAATTGTACTGTAGAAAATTTCAAAAGGAAAATTAGGAATGTACTTCTCCTAAAAGATTTATAATTTAACTTCATATCTTATATTAATGCATGTTCTGCTAACATAAATTCTAGTGTTGTTGTTTCGTCAAATCTCTACTCTTTTTTACTATATGAATTTTTTGTGAAAACTTTATTGGTGTATGTACTATTTTCATTGTTATATGTTGTTTGTGTTGTAACACTGTATGTTTCCCTAATAATAAATTTAAAAAAAAACATTGAAGTTCAAAATTTGATTTGGCTAGTTACATAGTAACGCTAGTTAGGCATAAATAGTATATATGTATGTGTGCGGATTGATCGAAGTAAGTCATTCAATAAGACAGATATTAAATCAATTTGTGGATAGTCTGTTATTATGAGAAGAGTTGTAATAGACAAGCCGTTCCCGATGCGGCCACAGATCGTTACGTAAATGGCTCTCTGGTGGAGCTTTGAATGCGACTCGGCCTCTTTAAACATTCAGAACAAACCTTCATAAACAATCTATTAATGAATACGAATATACTCTTTAAAAGAGAATTTTAGTACAAATTCAATATATTTTTTAAAAAATCAACAAAAAACAAGTCTGCGGAGCATGTCTGGAATTTCATGCACAAAATACAAAAACTATAACAAGTTTGAAGTTTGAATACAAAGCTGTCAGTATGAAATTCGCTCAACTTCTCTTGCAGGTACCGTAGAGCAACTATATTTTTACAACTAGCATTGCCCGCGGCTCCGCCCGCGTTCATATGACCAATACCAAATTCTTAGGTCTTACATATTAGTATACTCGTATTAGTATATTAGTTGACCTGGATGACCAGCTATTACCATAACAAATTTCTTCAAAATCCCTCCAGTGATTTTTCTGTGATGCGGTCACAGACAGACAGACAGACGACAGACAAAATTTCTTAAAACTATAGGTTCGGCCTCGGTTAGCGATAATAATGTGTATTTCAATAAGATTTTCCAAAAAAATATTTAAAGCACAGATACGCCTTAATTAAAATTTTAACGTATCTATAGATGTAACTAATTTTTAAAGCCAAAAATATTGTTTTTTTTAATAATTTGATCACGGGTGGGCCGCGGGTAGTAGTAATTCTAATAAAATCATAGAAAGGTCTAATTTGTATCATTTTTTTGGAATTGAAACTACGTATTTTAAAGACACACGGCGACATCTATTGACAAATACCTTAATAATACAAAAAATAATATTCATTAAAATATTTTTTTGAATGAATAAAATAGTGCTATTGATACTATATACTTTTTCAAGATTAGCTATTTTTAATAGTTTTTGTCATATTTAGTAAGTTAACTTGCTAAAATGTAAATAGTATCATCGTTTTTTATTCTAACCAGTTTTTGTATTTTTTCTCAGAAATGAGATATTTTTCTATGGTAAAAAGTATCCTATATGTTGACCCGGATAATCAGCTAGGACCATACCAAATTTTATCAAAATCCGTCCTGTAGTTTTTCTGTGATGCAGTAACAGACAGACAGATAGACAGACAGACAGACAGACAGACAAAAATTCTAAAAACTATAGATTCGGCCTCTGTATCGATAATCATGTCTATTTCAATAAGATTTTCCAAAAAATATTTAATGTACAGATTTGACTCAGTTAGAATTTTATTATATGTATAGATGTCGTTATAACATGCAGTAGGTTAAGGTAGGTAATTAGGTATCAATCTTTACATAAAATTAAAAAAATCCTTTTCTAGTAACTTTCCAATAAGTAGAACATGGAATTAGAATGACAAACTTTAAGATTATATGCCTACATGTATATTTTACATAATATATAGGTATACTAAGAATTGCAATTATAAATGATTCATACATAACAGATTTATCAACGCCTTGATCAAGCTGCTAAAAGGGCTAAAATTTTAACAGCCCTTCTCTACATTGACCTTAATAACTCAATCACTAAGGAAGAATTGTTTGTTTGGAAAAGGAGTTAAATAAAATAGCAGAATTTGTACAATATTCAGCCCCTTTTAAGCGTCTCAGTGCTGGGCACAGGCCTTCTTTCAATTATGTCTTCCGAAAACTTGGATTCCGTTAGTTCGGTTTCTCATAGATTTTGTTCACCGTAAGGGAAGTGGTCAATCATATTGAAAAGATATCACGTAAAGGTATAAATGATGTGTGATCCTCGGGGTTCGATTCACATATCTTAGTTACAAACAAGCGCATTACCACTGGGCTAGTATTGTCAAATGTAAAACTATATTACAACTAATCTGAGCACTAATATAATTACACAAAGTTTATGTGTATGTGTGTATATTTGTTACTTCTTGACACTAATATGGCTAGACGGATTTAGATGAACTTTGGTATACAGATAAATTATGACCTGAATTAATATATAGGCATCACATTGACACCTAGGGATGCACGAGCGAGCAAGGTAAAGCCACTAGTCAAATATAGAGCTATAATACAAGACGATTAGTGTCAATTCCTTCAGTCTGTGTAGATCGCGGTACACGACGTGTGGGGTAGTAGTGCGGTGCGGGGGCGCCGCTCGACCTCTCTACCCCTATCGGCTAGCAGCCGCAGACGACGACTGCTGCGCGCCCGGTGCATGGCCGCCCCCCGCTGCCCCCGCCAGGCCCCTCACACGCACCCCCAGCAAAGAGGACCTCACGCATACTACGTATGTCCAGTCTGGGTAAGTCTTGCTAAGTCTTTTATAACATTTTACTAATTCATACAGTATAGTCAGTCTCTTGCCTATGTATGTCACATGCCTTAAATTCATACTATCTACTATCATATAAAAAGGGTTTAAAATGTACACGTTAGATCTTTTGCTACCCAGTTAAAAGTAAATTAGCATTTTGTACGCGGTTAATAAAAGATGAACGCTACGCCGCCATACGTAACCTTCTGTCGGGTCGAATGTTATGAGAAAAGTTCCAACGTGAAACACAAAACCAGTCCTGTATCTATAATAACAGAGAAAGTTCAACATAATAAAAGATTGTCCTTCGGGAAATAACTGCCCAAGTTGATTAATTGCTTTATCGGCTAACTTCATATAATACTTATTCCTTCCTTACCTATTCATAAACGTCTTATCCACAACAACAGTAAAACAAAAGATAAAGAGTTTTAGTCTTTTTAGTATAATTTTAATAGCAGAAAAAATATCAGGTACGCTGCACTAGAACGAAAGATGATAATAATCATTTTCGTTATCCCCTTTTTTCTTTATCCGCAACGTTGCCTTCTCTCGTCTGTTTTAATAAACGCTAATGGATGTTTAATGTCTTTATTCTGGAAAGTTTTAACCTGTCATTGTTAAGTGCGTATCAATCACGATATTTTCATAATTTGCTACTTTTGATAGATATTTTATTATACCTACTTTAAAACTGATCGTTTTATAAAGAAATGTTAATGTGACCGTAAAATAACCTCTTTTATATTGAAAATGAATATAATACACTGAGGCACGTTTTTTTAAATATCCACAAATACTTACAACATACCAGAAAAGTATAGATAATAAAACGTTGTTTGCAACGACATCTACAAACATCTTTTCTGTAGAACAATCGAAATGATCTCACGAGATAAAGAATCTAAAACATAGTTACTCTGCGCCATGCGGCCCTTACAAGCCAATAAATGTAAATAAACATGATATTCAATTCTACTTTTATGTATAGATAGCTTTATCTAAAGTTCAATTTACTTATGTATTGTATTCATGAACAATATACAATACAATTCATACTAAAATACGATACGATTCATAATAAATCTGGCCTTTCGCGTGTCTCACCGTGTTTTGGCTTAAACAGACCTTTTGGTGATATTGAGAATACCAACATTCGAAAAATGCTGAAATAAAAAACCAGACACGTTTACTGCAGCACGGCGCAGTGGTCGCTTTTATCAATAATTTTTATTTTGCAATTTTATACTTTCCTTTTATATCCCAGTAGACAAAAGACTTAGATAACCCTTTGTAAAAAGCATTTTGAACATATCTTACATAAAATATAGATGTTTTTGGTTTTAAACGGTGCTAGTTTTACATTCAACCTATATCGTAAGTTCATTGTCGATACAATATTTCCATGATTTTATTACTTAGATTGGGGGAAAGCAATCGTTTTGGAGGCAGTTGCGTAGTGCACGGGTCCAGCGAGGGAGGTGCTCTGCCCGTACCAGAGGAGGAAGCACTGAGTCCCGTCCCTGACCCTCCCCCGGGCTTCAGCCACTCCGCCTGCCCTCCTGAAGTACATAGGACGTGCTTCTGTGTTCGCTTTATAGCTGAACATACAAGAATGCTAGAAGATTCTACTAAGGTAATTACAATTAAAAAAAAATGTTTCAAAGGATTAACTTTATATTAATTTTACTTAATTATGTGTTTTATTGAGTAATTTCACAAGAAATCAGTTCTTCCAAAGTTGGTGAAGTTTTACGTAGTATTAGTTAAAATACCTAAGAACTTTAATCTACTTTAAATATTGTGGTAGATTCGATGGAGTAATATGTGGTTAGCGAATAGCAATTACATAATTCACAAAGCTGGACCGTTGCCATCGAACAAGACATAGCGGCCACACGATGCCTACATACATACCTAAGTAATCCATAAAGACTCATATATGCTACAATCTGCATCGAATCGGATAAAGTGAAATGGAAAGAAAATTCTTGTTGCTTGAATGTTTGTCTGATCGAGAATAATGTACGATAAATCCTTTCTTTCAATTTTTATAGACACTCGAAATGTTGGCAATAATAATATTAAATAAAAATAGGCCTAATTTTCACTTACCTATATAAAGATTAAAGATATACCTACTAAGCAAATCATTTTTAAATTATAAATATTTTATAATAAATTTATTGCATTGAACATTTGAATTTGTAATGGAGCCCTATTTGGACATTATCCAAACAAAAACACTATACATACATATTAAATACAAAATAGCTTATTCACTTGATCAACTTGTATAATTTACAGTAACTAATATAAAATATTCAGAAGGTACAATTACCCATGTATTTGTTGACAGCGAGACAGCAGTACCTATGTTTTTTTTTCTGTTTAGGGTCGTCAGATGGCCCGTTAGATGTCCGAACATCTAATGCTTCTAGTGGCAAAAATACTTATAACGCTTTACGTTAGGTATTTTGTTTTTTTTTTACTAATTTAATTGATAGGTAATAGGTAGGTTAATACATCTTGTCACTATAATTAATAAATTTTTAAAAAGTAGCATCACTTTGGTTTTAGTCGAATTCTATTAGTTTTTTAGTCAAATTGATTAAGCTATTATTCTTTAATCGATTATCCTGAAATTAAAGTAGTTCTTTCTCTCTTGCCCTCTCAAAGAGAACTCAAAATAAGTGATTATTTGGGCTAATTTTCATGTTAAAAATATACCTCAGTAAGGTAACTATTTGGAAATCACGGACAAACATTTCAGTTTTAATAGGCATTAGTTATAAGTACATTCTACAAAGTAATACCATACACATTGTAAATGTATAGGTAAAAGAAGATTGGAAGTACGTGGCGATGGTGCTGGATCGATTATTTCTATGGATATTTACTCTGGCCGTGTTAGTGGGGACCGCCGGAATCATCCTGCAGGCGCCTACGCTCTACGACGACCGCGTGCCCATAGACAAGCACTTCAATCAGATCGCCACTTCGACTCTAGTCCGGTGTCCGCCGCCCTCGTAATTATTGACCACTTAAGTGTAGGGTTGTAATGAATAAAGTGCCAAATAATTACGTTTTTGGACATTTTAATTCTGCGATTTCGCTAGAAAAAGATGTTCAGAGCTTATTTATAATAATGAAATTTGATAATAAACTAAGTAAAATTGCTACCGATGTTCCGTGTATTACTACATAATTTACATAATATATTTCATACAAATATTCTTTACAACCCTATTTAATGATACCACTTTTGTACTGTAATTTGTTTGTAAATAAATTGTTTGATGATAGAACTGATGTGCCTCTCAACTGTTTATTTTGTAATATTTAGACTGTTTTGCGTAAACTACTTGTAGATAAGATCAGTATTTGAGTATTTAGAAACATAAACATTCATTAGAGAAGGGTGAAATCTCCGTAACAAACAAATTACAGTCATAAATACTAAACGGTCGCCACAGAACGTCAGACCTTAACGCACACCCGTCCTGCCTGGCACGTGTTCTATTCCACGACACATATTTTAATCTAGAATAAGTGTAGTATCTCTTCTATCTTCTAATATCTTCCGTAGTACCATTTTTTCATATTTAAGGTAGTTTTTAAGTGAATCATTGCATGCATATAGGTAATTTTCGTTATTACGTTTCCCTTTAAGTTCATTATGAAATAAAACTTTTGCAGATGTATTACATAGATACACTTGTTGGTAATATAATTTATTTAATTGTTCCTTGAAGTAACTTAGATATCGGTTTCAATGTGCTTGTAATAACGTATAATTAGAATATACTATGTGTATTAATGTCAATCGAATATTCATCATCTTAAATGAAAATACACGCGTTACGAATACGACTACGGAGCGAAAACCACCAAATTAATATTGCCTGTGTTCAAACATCATATTCGTAACTAGATTAAATAAATAGCAAGTAAAATGATTCCCTTAAGATAGGAGAAAATTTATAAATTACTATTCATTTGTTAATCTGTCTATCTCTATGTTATTTTCATTAATTTAAATTTATAATTGATATTTATTATCAATTAAATTAAGAAAATAGATATAATTACACTACTATCTTATATAACTTTATCTTCTATTAATATAAGTGAATTCTTCAATCCTTCTAAGAACTTACTCTTAACTTTGTCGTAGAATAGAACATGTACATTTATTAGTAGGTATATCGATTTTATTATATATAAGAAACTGAGAAATTTAAAACCTTTTTTATCAGGTAAAAGTTATCACCAGAAGAAATTATCTTAGTTATTTTTATTGTTTAAATTACTCAAACTATAATATAACGTACAAAAATCACAACGACTGGTCGTGGGTCAGAAGGTACCTATTACTCAACAGAAAAAGCAGATGAAGCTACCTGTCACTTCTCACGATTCTCATGCAAAAATAAATAAGTAATTAATAGGTACCTTAAATGTGTTTGAATATCGTTATAGAGTAATATGAAACATCGTTTTTATTTTAAATGAAACATTTTATTAAAAAAGTAACATTAAAAAAATATATTATTAAACATAACAACCATAAATATAAAATACTCTGCTCACCCTACTAATTTAATATGAAAAATGATATGAGAAGTGTGCTGGTTCGATCCCTGGATGGGGCGAATATTTGTATTACTGTTACAAATGTTAACACTAACTTTACCCACTTTAAGTTAGGAGTATTCTTATGATAAGTACAAGAAAATAATTTAATTTTAGTACCTAATGATTGCTCAATTTTGCGAACGAGAAGAGATTTCTATCTCAATATTTGCACTGTTATGACTTTTGACTGCCCACTAGTAAAGACTACTTCACAAATTGTAAGTCTTTATAATAATTTCAAGACCAAATGCTATGAGATTTTGAAAAGGAATTGAAACGTAAACATCATTAAAACTAAAACTGACGATAAATCAATTATGTACAAAAATAAAAGCGAATAAATACGCGTTATATCTAAAAAAGCTTTTTGTGTTAATTATAAGTATAAGAGAGCACTTATTCACTATAAGTATGAATTATGTGGTAATGTTTGATAATTTTTACAAATTTTTCGTTAAACTGAAGAAAAATAAAAACTACATTATTATTATTGAAATACAAATGTTAATTACATTATAGACTCGAGTCTGATATATGTTCTCGAATATGTATTCAACGTGGTTTCTAGACTATTCTCCCTCATATTTGTTATTATCTACGAGAATGCATTCAAGGTTCGAGTCTAATCACTGTGTTGGTGCATAGAATAGGCCCTAAAACGGGGGAAAAATAACATATTGTAGTGTAGAATATATTATAATAAGCACATTGGACTGCTCGCAGTAGAGTAGCGCAGCTCAATTGTAGAGACGTAAATTTGTAATTTACCTATTTATATTGTTAATAAAACTGTTATAAGATAAATATGTGTAAGCTATTTTTACCCAATTGATTATATCTTTAATATTATTTATAAACTCTTTTAAACAAATATTTTTTAAATAAATCTGAAAAATTATGTTTTTAAAGTTATTATACATATTTTAAAATTAAACATAATATACACGTTTGGAAACATTGAAAGTTCTTACTTTGAATTAGCTATTGTTTTTAATAAATTCGAGTACATTTCATATGAATAAAATAGTAACAGACATAATATATTTATACTCCCCGTAAACCACAATTTAGCTATCTGAATGGGAAGAATTTTATTAACATGTTCTGTTACTCAAAGAATATCGTTTTAACGAAAGTTAAAAAAATTGGAATTACTGAAAAGATCCGCTCCTACTTTGTGTGTTTGAAACAAGTTGTTTAGAGCTTTATCAGTCCGTTGACTTTCTTGAATTAATGTCCTAGCATTGTCTATGCTTTCTTTATGATTTGAGCCTGCATTTGAAAACGGTGAGAAGTTATCAAGTGATGTCATATCGAAATTAAATACAGATTTTTCCGAATTTACTGGGTTACTATTCGATTTTTTACGTCCTGCATTATTATGATTAATAATTTGAGAAGTAGCTTCTTTAAAAGTTTTTGGCACGGCGTTTACCGTTGAGCCTCTGTGAGGCGGATCATGTACTCCAAACTCTTGCGTTAATCGATCATCAATTTGTCGGTGATTAATGTTAGTAGTGGAAAATCTTTCCAATTGTTTCTTTATATCATCCATGTCATAATTTCCTGTAGCTTTATGGCTATCCGAGGGTAAGTCAAACTTATTTACAACTGTATCTAATACATTGCGTATTTCTTTTATTTCAGATGGGTTATTGCTATTGTATTGAATGTCGTGTAAAGTTTTATTTTTACCCCAAAGTGATTCTACGGAGTTCCTGCGATTATAAAACACATTTTCTATTTTAATTCTTGTATTATTGGACAATTTTGCCACTTCCTTCTTCAATAAGTCACTTATTTCAACTAATCGACGAGTATTATCGTGAAGAATTTTGGACTTATGTCTGTCCATATGTATTGGTTGCTTAAGAATATGATTAATTGTCTTATTTGTATTTGCAAGAGAACGTCCTAATTCCATAGATATATTTCTTGTAAATAAATCACGTTGAGAAGGAACATTATGACTTTTAAACTTATCGAGCGGACTTCTAAAACCTCTGTCTGTAAAACTGATAGGGGAAACTGTATGATGTGGTAAACCTTTACATCGATAGTTATATGCAGAAGTCTTATCAAGAACCCCTTTGAGAACTAACACTTGCTCAACTGCAGATAAAGTACAATGTACGGTGTCGGCAACATCTGTTACTACATCTGTTATTAGTTTTTCGAAACCTCGTTCGACATTTGACATCGCACCACGTAAATTATCATAAAATGATGCAGCAAACGCCTGAAATATATTCATTAAATGTCGACGCTGAATAGTATAGGCTCAAAAGTTAGTTTAAATTTTTTTTTACTTACATGAGATATAAATGCAAGGCTTAAAAAAGTCACCTTCATTTTCGATCAACAAACTTGAACCTATTCCAATATTAATCACTGACACGACATATATTCATGAATTATTAGTACACATTAGTTTAATTTTCATTAGCCTCATTTTACAACAAAGAAATGTGACGTAGGCATATTAGCTTTGAACAGACTGGATTATTGTTCGATCATCATCACTTGTGTTAATATTGGCTCTACGTTACTGTAGAATTTCTTAATATGAACTAAAAAAGGTTCTAGAACTTGCATAAATTAAAAAATAAATAAAAAAAATATGTTCATAATAAAGGTTAATTTATTTCAATATATCCTATACTCTTATATCACAAACGTTAGGCTAACTACTTCAAATAATAGGCTACTAAATAATAATATACTTATATCATTATTTTTGCAGCGTATTATATACAGTATCTTAAATAATGAAGTGTGACTTTATAATTAAAATATACAGTGATATGCATGATTAAAAAAATATATTTAAGAATGTCACGTTGAAACCTTTTTCGAAACACAAAGATACATATTACGCACTATAATACAGTAAGGAGTTCAAGAATGATGTTATAATAAGAAATACATTAACAAATAGTTCTGAATTACGCAATATTTTCTCACTCTACATCCGTTAAAATATTTAGTATGTCTAGAAATGAAATGAATTTTAAGATTACTAATTACATTCATAATATGAGTACTTATTTAGATGATATGAAATGTAGAAAAAATAACTACGAGATTTTTTATCAATTGAAGTAAATTTTCCAGCCTTTTCAAGTTATTACTTAGTTTTACTTTTTACAACCATATTGTCATAATCTAAATATCCAATGAATAATTAGAACATCCAATTTGACGAATTTAGTCATTAATTATTTAATATCGATTATCGGTATCGATCCATTAATCGATTTAACTTTTATGAAAAAAAACCAATCGACTTCAAATTTTCAATCGATTTTAAATATATTACACAGATCATTTTTAAAATAAATAAAATGTTTAAATTTGTAATCAATTTTAACTGTATGCTTCTTACGTAAATAAGACGATACTGAGCTGCCAGTGTGAAATAATCACAGATCAAATTCTCGATGTTACAATTGGCACGTGTTGAGCAACTTTTTTTATATTAAATTTAACTTTTTGTTAAATCTTTTTTAGATTTACGCGAGTTATATAGAATATTTGACATTTTAAATAAAAGTATATTTTCGGATTTTTTTCGCAGATTTATTTTGATTTTTGGTTTGGTGACGAAACGTCGAGAGCCAAAAATCAAAATAAATCCGCAAAACAATCAGAAATGGTAGCTTTATTTAAAATTTATTGTTAGATCATTTGGACAATGTTCTTAACCATTCCTCTTTTTTCGCATAGATATCAGTAGTATGTTACACATGGCGATTAACATGGCGATTTTACAAATTTCATTTTTATGACTACAGAATACACAGAATTGATACAACAATACGTACTCGAGGTATGGTATAAGTTACGTAGTTGACGCTTTGCAAGTTGCAAGTTGTTATTACATTTATTTTTGGCATAATTATATTGTCTTATCATTTTTTTTAATTTCATTTTTAGAAACAGCCCTTCCCATATCGTGTCTCCTTATTAAGAATATTTTCTACTAATTAAATTTGCCTATACAAATATTAATAAATTTATTCGAAAAATAGAGGAAAATATTAAAAAAAAATTACATGACAAAATTCAAACACATTAACTTTTTCATTTTAAATTTTATATAAAAAAATGTACATTAAATTATTTACTTATAGAAGTTAAATAAAAAAAATATATAAAATTTATACAATGTACAACATTTAAAAATCTTTAAATAATAATTATATAAAAATTAATGTGTTTTTAAAACATTCAGTTTTATAAGTGGAATGTAACAAGTGCATCCACAATAATATGACATTAAAAATAAACACTAAGTTGATACAGTATTAAAAGATATCTATGTATATGCTGTGATATATAAGATATAAAACTATTAATAGCCATATATAGCCTAACCATTTGAGATTGAGATCTTCAATGACAATTCAAAGCGTAACAATGCGAAAGTGTGTGACGACATTTATACAATACTTTATAGTAAATTGAGTAATTCTAGTTAATTTTTTTAGAGTGAAGATTGTTAAGAAAGTTCAAAAACAACATTTTCAAAAACTGCCAATATCAATTCGTTTAAAATATGTTATAGTTCATAAATAAAATAGCAAGTAAAATACATTATTACAGATGTTATATTTGATAGATTAAGGCGGGAATACACATGCCCGTAGTTTATAAAAATGGCACACCATCTCCTTGCACAATGCGAATGCTTGTAACTTTCGTGACCAAGAATACATACTTTAATTTTGGCACGCGATGTGGGTCAATGATGATAGATAAATAAATGTCCACGTCAATTCGGACAACAAGTAATTTGCTTTCACCTGTTATCTATACATATAATAAAATTGTAACCAAGCCGAATCTGAACATAAAATATTTTTTGGAAAATCTTATATACAATCAAATAAATATTATTATCGACACAGAGGCCGAATCTATAGTTTTTAGAATTTTTGTCTGTCTGGCTGTCTTTATGTTATATTGTTAATAGCACATGCCATTATTTAATATGGAAGCTACTTTTCTTTGATAACTTGTGTTCACTACAGACTGATCTATTCTCGAAATAATATATCTAAATTACTAATTAAAGCTTAGTGTAAATAATTTATTTCTCAAAATAGATATATCATCTACCACGTTATTTATTTTCATTCCATATCTTGAATGTCCAATGAGTTGAATTATTCTATCTTACTCACTCTCTGTCCCTACTCTGATTTGCCACTTCCGAGATGGGAGCAATCTTATATATTTTTATTCATATCTATGAAAAGTCCACCTTATGCATTACACGGTTGCGATCAGGTTCACCGCACTCATATATCCATACTTTCAAATGACCCCGCAAAGGATAAAGCTTAATTATGTAAAAAATATCTCTTGCCTACCTTGATGTCTTGAAAACTTAAAGAGGTAGACTCAATAAATATGTATAATATAAAATATTATAATATATTAGTTCAAAATGTGTTGACATCATATTGAGCATTTAAATTATATAGAACACAAACACAATTATTTTCAATTCCAAAAGTCACAATATTTTTATTTTATTATAATTAAGCATAATAAGTATATTGTAAAATTTTAAAAATAATTTTAAAAAATATAATAAATATTGATTAGTTTATGTATTGTTATATTTAACAAATTGCCTCAATCATCACATAAACGGTTTTTAAAACAACTTTATTGCTGTCCCGTAATTTTAATAGATTTTTAAATAATTTTAATCTTACGGGTAATAAAAATAGATACCTATAACAAAAAATACATTTAACTTTATCTTACACCACGCATTAACTACTGAAATAAACATACGACATTTTTGACTTATTTAAAAATACAGAATTTCATATCGATTTCGCTAATTCACCCAATAAGGTTTTCAAAAGATATATCAAAATACTTTTTTTAAAACAATAATTTAAATAAGTAATAGGTAGTAGATATGCGCCGAATATGGATTTAATCGAATACGGAATAATCCGTCCAAAATGTACCAATTGAATATTTTCAGCTGAATTATTTGATTAATTTATAACGTAACTCCAGGATTTATATTTTAATTTTGTGAAAAAGTTATGGTAACACAAGTTAGTGACCTCATTTCATTTACAAGCATACAGTTTTTGCAAATGAAAAGAGCCTACTTGTGTGTTACCAATTTTTTTTCGGCATATAACCTTTTTAGTTTTTGTATTTCAGAATAAACCATTTATATAAATAAAAATGAATCACCGAAATGTATGTACGCGCATAACTTAATAATTCTTTTTTTTGTGTTTGTTATTGTCAAGAAGTTTTGTATAGAAGAAAATTAGAACATAATTTTTTTTACTAAAATAATTTTTTTTTAATTTCATGATATGAAAAGGGAATGAATGAAATAGTTCTTATCCCGAAAATCATGCCTTACGGGGGTGAGAATGGGGATGAAGGTTTGTATGGGGAAGCAAGCTAGGGACGCGAGCCCGAGCGAAGCGAGGCTGTGTCTCTAGTTTTTAATAAAGTATATTAATCTTAAAATAATACTATTGAAATATTCAGCCGATTGTTTATAGTAGCGTATAAACAATCGGCCCAATACGAACATTCGGCGCATCTCTCAAATGATTATGTAGATAAAATTATTGGATTTGTATTACGTCAGAATTACCTTTTCTATAGTGAATACAATATCAAGGGATAGCGTCATCGGCGGGGGGGTCGTCGCGGCGCGGCGGCGGCGGCGGTGTGTCGGGGTGCAGCTTGGGCAGCGGCGGGATGGGGGGCGTGTGGGGCGCGGGAGCCTTGGGGGCCGCGGGGGCCGCGCAGGCGGCGGGGGGCGAGTGGGGCGCGCCGGAGGGCACGCCGTTGTTCATCCTCTGGTAGTGCGGCTTCCAAGTGTTGGCTGGCGGCGTGTAGTTTAAGTGATCGTATTCCATTTCTGAAACGAATAACGTACGAATTATAAAAAAACTACGGACAAGTGTAAGTGGGACTCGCCCCCCGGGGGTTCCGTACAAATTTGTAGAAAATCTGTTTAACTTTTTTTTTATTTTTTTTGAAATGTTTCCTTTATTTGTGCTGTAACACCTTGCTTTTTGCCAAATTTCGTGACTCTAGGTCAACGGTAGCTACCATATAGATTTTCGACCCAAAACCTATAGGGTATTTCCAGTTGACCTAGAATTGTCAATTTTGGTTAAAAGCAAGTTCTTACAGCACAAGTAAACGGAAAATTCCGAAAAATAAAAAAGTTCAAAATTAAAATAAATTTTGGTACTTACAAGTCCAACTCGCGAAAATCTAAATTTGCCCATATCTTTTTATCATGTTGACTCAGGACCTTGATTTTATACACCTAATATTGACTATACACCTCAGTATCTGGTATAAATTTCAACTTGCTAGGTCCACCCGTTCCTGAGAAAATCGGTGGTGACACACGGACAGACAGATGGATAGACAGACAAGAGAGTGATCTTATACTTTTCGTATAATAACAATTTCTTGAGTAATTACTAACTAAAGCATTTCCTTAAGGTACAAAGCGGGCATGGTATAGCTTGTTTGTAATCAATTTTACGTGCCATAAGCGTACATATGTCACGCATCGTTGTCTAAGAGTGACAGTGATACAAAAAACTATAGATTTAATAATCTAAAAATTTTATTATTAGGTAGTGATCTCAGTTAGAACTTACCATATCCCTCTTTATGTTTAATTTCATCGTACACGTGATCCAATTTATTATCTTCGTCAATACAATGGTATAGATTAGGATTAGTCAAATCCGCGTCCTTATTCTTAAGGGATGATAGAGGATCATAAGCACCTGAAATTAATATTAATTTTAAGTAAATTAGTTTAAACCTATAAAAGTAAAAATTAATTTAAAAAAGTTACTATACTATCCACTATAGTAGTTACATATATCAGTGCTCTAATTTCCACTTTATATCCATTAAAACGGACTCTTATATTAATACCAAAGATACTATTACGTTATATTTGAAAATAAAATTTAAGTACATTAAATTATAAAAATATTATAAATACACAACTAGTGAGGTTCTCGCCGGCTCTTCTCAGCAACAGAAAAGTTGCTTTCTGAGCAGATGGTAGATTCCTCGCGGACTTACATAATGACATTTAATTCAAATTTTAAAATGTAAAATTGAAGATTCAAAAATGCTTGTAGAAATCTATTTGAATAAAGTATATTTTGATTTGAATTTTGTGTTTTTTTTTAAATATTAACACGCAACACCATCTAGTTACATGGTAAGCACGAGGCTTGTGTTATGGATACCAGATAGTTGATACACTACACATATATAAATTTTAAATACATACATAATATTATAAATATAAACACCCATGACTGGAGTACAAATATTCGTGCTCATCACACAAATGAATGCCCCCAGCGGGACTCGAACCCGTGACCTCTGTCACAGCAAGTAGGGTCACTACAAACTGAGCCAAACGTGTCGTCATATATATGTAATATATATGAGATGACACGTTAATAAATATATATGTCGATATAAATGTAAACACTCACTGCCATTAGAGCTAGAGGCAGTCATCCTCAACTTCTCCATAGCCGTGTTGCTCACTTTGGTCCCTGTGCCCAAGTTATTGAATATCTGCGTGGCGTTGTTGAGCAACGTAGCGGAGTCGTCCCCGCGGGTCGAGCCTTGGAACGAGTACACCGGGTTGTCGAAGTGTTGTTGTTCTGTTTTATATAAGAGAAGTGTCTTTAACTTATTTTGTTTATTAGATAATAATAATTTATAACTAAACATCAAGTGCAAAATTGCTTTTAAATTTATTATTTCACCTTTATGGTGAAATTTCGTCGTGATATTTATATGGGAACACTCTTATGGTAATAATAATAATTTATTGAGCAATAGGATACATAAACAGTATACAATATTACATACAAAAACAAACATACATATATTATTATACAGATCAATCTTAGTTTCTAATCTTAAGCTGTCGACACAAAAGATATGGAGGCTAGCTTATCTTTTTTTTTGTTGCCGCACTAGGATACCTGTATTACGGCATACAACACCTATCCCCCAAATATCTGTTTTTTATCAATTATTATAAGCCATTTGATACAAAGCGAGGTTCAGTAAAGTAGTAAGGCAAAGTAGTAGCATAAAATTGGCAATAATGGGTCACCTGGCTGCGAGGCGGGGTCGGCGGTGTAGTGCACGTGCGCGATCTCCCGCTTGAGGCTGCGCACGCGCTTGCGGTAGTACAGCAGCAGCAGCGCCGCGGCGCCGGCGCACGCGCACACCAGCACCACCATGGCCGCCGTCAGCCCCGCGCCCGACCCGCCTGCGGACACTCCGCTCGTCACTTCACACGCACGTAGGCTTGTTGAAAAAATATCGATACATCGATGTGTCGATATTTTTGATTCGATATATCGATATTTTTGGCCGATATATGTAAATTTGGCCGGTTGTTTTAAATAATATGTGTATAAGATAGACAAATTTACAGTTTTAGTAGTATCATATTAAAAATTATCATATTTTAATTTCAAGCTTTACTAGCTATCGTCGTTGCACGTCCTAATTAATATAGGCTCTATAAATTTTGGTGAAGATAGCAGTTTTGAGTATCACGGCGAATTTATTAATAAACCATACAGCTATTTTCAATTTCTAATTAAAACTAAGCAAGATATTAAAAACATTCATCATGTGTATTCATAAAAGAAATACTGCGAAGGTGAAAAAAAAGATGAAGAAGAAGAAAAGAAAAATGAAGAAGTATAGGAAGAGAAGGAAGAATATGTAGGGAAGAGAGAAAGTATATACTCACCATTAGCCCTGTCAACAACAATAGCGTCTTTGGCGTGTATGTCGCAGTTGTCGCCGATGAAGCCGCGGTGGCACACGCAGCCGTGCACGGGGTGGCACGCCCAGTTGCCCTCCGCCGGGCAGTTGCACGCCGACATGCAGTGGTCGCCGTAGTAGCCCTCGGGGCAGACTGCAGGGGTTATGCTCACTTTTGTTAACATTCTTTACACGATATAGTATAACGCATTATTTTTCGATAGATTATAATCTATCGAAGTGAAACCGTCAAATTGTGAAATGGAAGAATTTGCCATAATTATTACAAAACTATTACAGTAGACATTACTCGGAAGAACCCTTTCTGTCTAGGTTGGTTAGGTTAGAACAGTGACCACAACGCACGAGCGAAATACTGCGAAGGTGAAAAAGTATACATGTATATACATACAATAAAACTGTTACAAAAAAACAACACTAACTAATGTCCAACATTTAGGCTCTAGAGTAATCCTTACTTTATGTGTGAATATTTCAAATGGCCGCGCAAATATTACTATGAAACGTTTAGCTTTTACATGCGCGAACAGTATAAGTGTGTTTCTGCGAATGTATAATGAGCCTTAGGATGACAAAGCAGCACGCGACAAATAGATTTTTACAAGCAGTTTGAACTCATCTATTTCTACATTTTATATTTAAGTCAGTATAGTCTGTCTGTGAGGAGATTGCAGCCGGCAAGATTGCAGTTCTACTAAAAAAAGCTCGTAAGTAACTCCACAGTTGCTGCTTTAAAAATGCAGTTTACTGTATTATGTATATATGTCATATTGACTTCAAAAACAATCAATCTCAATTTTAACTCGGAGCTCATTTAGGTTATAAATATTGTATAAAAAAGGCTTCGATGTTTGTAATACTTATTTGAAAAGAATAAAATATCCCATAGTGTACATATGTGTGTTTAATGTGTATACATGTATATGTGTATACTAACACTGCGTGCAGTAGCTGCCGTCGAAGCCAGGCGGGCAGCGGCAGTAGCCGTCGTTGGGGCGGCACTGCGCGCCGGCGGCGCAGCGGCACGGCTGCGAGCACGCCGCGCCCCACCAGCCCGCCGGGCACGCCTCGCCGCACGCCGCGCCGCGCCAGCCCGGCAGGCACTGGCACTCGCCTACATATACACACACATCATGAAATTAAATGAAATTAAACTTTATTCAAATAGACTCATTATAATGCACTTTTGAATTCGACATTTCATTTAAAGAGCGTCAGTGTAGTCTGTCCGTAATGAAGCTACCACCGGCTCAGAAAGCAGTTCTGCTGAAAAGATCCGGCGAGAAACTAAACAGTTGCGCTTTTAAGTATCGAAGTTACTTTTTATTTATTTTATCATTTCTTAATTCCACACATTTCCATAAACAAGACACTCTTGAACAGAGTAATACGCTTTGCTCAATAAAATATTATTGTATCACATAAAGAATGACATAGACAGAGTCCGCCAATAAATTATAAGTCAATAACAGCAGCGTGATTTTGTTGTTTATGCTACTATGTATTTCCGATATTACCATAGACATTGTTTACTTTCTTCAAAAAAAAGGGAAATTGCTATATTAATCGTTGATTTACAATTTTTGAGAGATAATAGTATAATGAATAATAAAAATAATATTTTTTATTTTTTAATAATTAGTTACTTCTTTCTCTTTACATTAAAAGAGAGATATCATTCGTATTAGGTACGATAAAATCCATTAATTATTTTTAAACCATAACATTTATATATTTTTCAAAATAAAGAATACTATATTAATATTTATTTTTATGCTAGTTTAAAATATTTTACATTATAAAAAATTTCGCACAAAAAAAATCTTTTAATATTTTTATATGTAGGTACTTTATAAAAAAATTAAGAGCATGTAAGAAAATAAATAGTAAACTCAAAGTTCATAAAATTAAATTTATAAAATCCTTTAAAAATAATATTATTGCAGGGATAATTATATCAACACCTGATTACTTCATTCACAATAACTGTCTATATGTTATACATGAAAGTACCAGAAGCACACACGCTTGCTTTGGCTTCATGTTTAGTTCTAAGAAACTCCATCATGTTTTACACTACTCACTAAAATAAATTGTACATACATATTTTACTTTAACTTACCAGTGACATGATGACAATCGGCGCCATTCTTGCAATTACATCTCTGCTCGCATCCCTCCCCGTACGTGCCGAGAGGGCACGGGTACTCGCACCTCACTCCGGTGTAACCGCTCGGACAGGTATACTTGCCAGTTACTGGATCACATGTCGCATTGCCTTTAACAAACAACAAGAGAAAGTCAATATTTATAGTTCAAATCATTTAGAAAATTTTGACTTTTGATTACAAATATTGTAACTTTTATCAATTGTTTTTAAAACCAGTTTGTTTTGCGTTCATGTAACAACATTGCCTTTATAAGTCCTTAAACAGCCATAAGTAGTAATTATATAATCTTTAAAACATTAATACGTATCATATAACGCGGCTAATTTTAAATATTTTGAAAACACTTGAATCATAATTGTATTAACGTATATGTATGTAATATATGTAATATGTAATATATGTATGTAATATATGTATGTAATATATGTATGTATATGTTGTACTATTTTTACAATGTTTTTAAAATCATCTATAATAATTATATAAATAAAACATTATAAACTTATATACACTATATGTAGTGTTATTATTAAAGTTGAAAGTATTTTTATGTAAGTGACTGTAGTGAAACTACTGAAAATATAAACTATAAAGTTAAATAAGAAAGAAAGGAAATATTTTCAAGAATGGTTAACTATAATTCCAATTTTGAATAGAATAAATATTACTTTATGCACTATTTGTTATTACTTCTAATATAATTTAACTTGAATATATTTACAATTAATATATAAATGCCTAATGTCTGTTGATTGTTTTCGTTAATCTTGTAGTGAGCATGTGGCTGCAGATCCGGAGGTCCTCGTTAACTCTAAATGTTCTGAATAGATTTTTCTAGTAAATATATAGACGGAGCATGGTGTCCAAATCGAACTTTGAAAATGGAAGGAATAGAATGTCTTCCTTGTCTTATCACTTTAATGTGTGATCTCAGTGAAAGTGGACTCTGGCGATTATTATTTAAACTGTATAGTTACCCTCCTTTAAAAATCAAATCTGTATAAATATTATAAATATGAAAGTTTGTGAGTATGTATGGATGTTTGTAACTCTTTCACGCCAGAACGGCTAAACGGATGTGGATGAAATTTGGCACAGAGATAGGTTATAGTCTGGAATAACACATAGTCTACTTTTTATCCAGGCAAAATATACGTTTTCCGAGGGACAGATTTGTTTTTGTTTTTGTTTTTCTAGAGGCGAACCCGAGCGAAGCGAGTGTGAGCCACTAGTTTATGATAAAATAAAGTGCGCCTACCCAAGGGATGCTGCGGACACAGCTGCTTGCAGGCCACGCCGTAGGTGCCGGGCGGGCAGGGCGCGTCGCAGCGCTCGCCGCGCCAGCCCGCCGCGCACTCGCAGCGCCCGCTGCCCGCGTCGCACGACGAGTTGTTGGCGCACGGGCAGCGCTCCGAGCACTCCGACCCGAAGAGCCCCTCCGCGCACTGCGTCTCGCATCGCACGCCTGCGAGATGCGTCGTCACATACATCATTAATCATTATTGAAGTGAAAACTTCTTTAGCCGCGTTGAGCGATTTCGGTAGGGGGAAAGCTCATGGGTTCGCGTCACCGACATGCTACGTGTGACATCTGACGTGTCGACGCATATGTTTCAATTAATAGATAAACTATATGATTATTACTCGGAATGCCAATAGATGTGAAAACCAGACTAATAATAATTTCAATTATTCCTACTATAATTAATTTAAAAATAAAAGAAATAGTCATGCCAAGTTATAAGTTTTCACTTCTGTCGGCAGTCCATGAATGCCTATTACATTTTTTTTTATTTTCGCATTCCATAATTGTATAATAAGGACACTACGGGACTTATACCCGATTTCACCAACGTCACCTAAGTTTATGGGATCCCCTAAGCATGGTTAGGGGGCTGTTAAGGGACAGTTTCTGTTTCACCGACAGTTAGGGGTCACCTAAATATTGAAAGGCCCCCTAAATTTAGGTGCTCGAAATATGGGCTTAAAAACGATCGTAAAACGAAATTTAATTTAGGGGCTAGTTTAGGGGACTTATAAGCTAGGGATCCCATACGTAGGTGGTAGCTTATGGGTTGTTGGTGAAATCGGGCATTAAACGCGTCAATTCGTAAGTGCCAAAATACCTTATTCCCGACATTTCGACTGGGTTGCACCAGCCGTAATCAAGGGCAGTCTACCCGTCATTGTTATTATTATACAATCAATCATAATTATATTGATATGTCATCATTCTATTGTGTGTGTAATTTGAATTTAGAAGACTATATATACTGTAAAACAATATATTGTTCTGTATGTCAATATAATGTGGTGTTCTAAATTTAAATAAAACTCTCTTTCTGAAATTTGTCGCGGTTTGACAAAGACTTCCAAGAGAATGCCAAGAGAGTTCCGTTTATAAGTTAAAATTATAATATATATTTGCATGCACCATGACATATACGTATACAACAGTAATAAACAAAAATTATGTTCGCATGCCGTATCATTGTTAAATAAACATGCAAAATACATTCAATTGATTAAAATTTCAGCTACATTCAATTAAACTGCAAGACAAGTTTGAAAAAAGAAATGAAGCCTTATCAATTTTTCCTTTTTAATTACTTAATGAAATAGACATATTAAATATAATAGGGAATATTTTTCGAAATATATATTTATTTGTAATCTTTATTGCTTTTGAATTAAACCTAGGTATATTAATATTTTTGATTAACAAAATAATTATTAATAAGTACAAAAACAGGTAGGAGTAGTTGAAACGCAACGCCATTGGTTAGACCGAATATGACATAAGAGTATATCATAACAGAGCGCTTACAAATTGAGTCGTCATTTCTATGAATATATATCATACTGTGACGTCACGTCAAGCGGGCGAAATGGCGAGCATTTAAAGTATCCATAACGTTATTACATTTTAATTTTTTGGACCTGGATAATTTTTACAATTATATAACAATGTAAATAAGATCTTGAATAAAAATTAAAAAAAAAATTATACATTTTCCCTATTGGTTATTTAACTTTTAAAATTGATCTACACTACACGTGTCATCTTGTCATATTTTAAAGCGGTCAGTGGAATAGAAAGTTACCTAAATATCACTATCAGGCTAATAAATTATATGTATGAAAAAATGTCATGGGTCCATTGCTACCAGATAGAAAGGCTAAACAGACAATTACTCGTATACACCATTTTAGTATTAACGTTTCTCAAACAAACGACACATGATGATATTGTTATATTTATATGGAGCGAGTCACGATTCCGAGATGTTTTGTAGTTCACTGTTATGACAACTATAGGGACATGTAATTAGTTCATAATTCATTTTTAATGATTGTATACCTTAATATATCTCAGAAACTTGACACTTTTGATGCATCATATTGCTGATAATAATTATTTGATTAAGTGTCTTCTATTAATATACATATTATACCACTTTTATTTGAAAATCAAAAATGGCGCGAAGTTGACAATGCCACAAAATATTTAAATCCCCTTTATAAGAAAATCAGGCTGTTCAATGTTCATGCTTAATCATTTGTCATTTATAAAGGACGCCTTTAATCTCGATCTTGGGCCCCTTTAATTTTAATTGTTTTATATAATTTAAATGAATAATAATTAATAATTAACTACTTATATTAGTATAATATCTCAATGAAGGGACATGCTGAAGGTGATACATAAACAAATTGCTATTTGTTCTATTTTTCAGAAATAAAATACGCGAAATAATGACAAATATATATATAGCAAACTAATATAAAGACAAAATATTTAAAAATATTTTATTTAATGCTATGGATACACATGCATTTGAACAGTGTGTTCTGCCGTTAGAAGCCATGTTTCAAAGTTCCCTTTTATTATATTATCAGTATCACCTAAGATGATAAGAACTCTTCCCATACTACCATTTTCATGAATAAATATTTCCTTAATAGCTCTTACAGTGTTGTTTATGTTCATAGTAGTAGTTTCCCAAGAGAAGCAAGAATTGGGAACCACATTATAATATGAATCACTCGATATTTCTTCAAGTTTGACTTTTGGTATCGATTTGCTGTCTGACATTTTTAACGCTATAAAAGTTCCTTTTCCTTGTTTCAAATTATGCAATAAATCTCCACTGTCGTTCGATAAACCATTTACAATTATTTCATACGAAGTTAAATTTGATTTGTCACATAAAGTGTATAATATGGGTTTCCTCATATCTGTTTGCAAAAGAAAACAAAATGTTAAACAAGCATGTGTCATTACGCACCCACTCTCCTTGTGAGACCTGAATATAATAAATGTATGGTATAAAGACAAATATTTTTGCTACTACAGGTTTCACTATATGTTGATGACTTGGAATTATATTTAGAGCATAACTAGCGACTTAACCTCGCTTCGCTCGGGTTCGTCCCTAGATGCGTTTTAATTTTTTTCAGCAAAATCCTAATTCTTTTCCCTAAACAAAAATAGCCTACGTTACTCCTTATAACATCAGCTATCTGCCAGTGAAAGTCCCGTCAAAATCAGTCCAGCCATTTCGGAGATTATCCGGAATAAACAGACAAATAGACAATTTTTTTAATTGTGTTTTTCTTATAAGTACCGTATATAAATAACTTAATATGCATATAGTAAAAAGTTATTTTACAAAACAAACAGACACTTTAATTTTATTTATCTGTACAGATGTTCGCTTGGCTTCCCCTGACATAATAAATTCGTGTACTTTTCCGGAAAATTGAAAAAAATATAAATGTTGTATAAATTACATATGTACTTTGAATATGTTACATTCCCATGTACAAAGTTAAACTAGCATTGGAATTTATGCAATATGAAACAGTAAGGCATAAGTATTTAATAAATAGCTAGCTATTATACATATTACAAACAAGTTTATCTCAGGATGTTATGGCAAAGTTATTTATTGTTAGAATATAATAAAATATTATTACATATTAAATATTCATACATTTTTTCAAAAAGAAACCGCTGAAACCACACTCTATATTACAAAAACATTTCTACCAGACAAACCTAAATCAACACAATAATTAGAGTGCATTGTTTTTTATAACTGTATATTATGGACAATACATGTACTATCTGTTATTTATAGGACCATATATTACTTATAGGTATTTAGGTTTATTATATATTTACTGTACAATTTATTACTTAATAAAGATATATCCTTTATAAAATGTTTAAAATAAATCCCGACACTATAAGGTTTAATTAAATTGTTTAAAGTTAACCTTCATATAAAAATAAACAATGGGACTAAAAGCTACAAAAACTAAACGTGAGCATGTTATTTTAATCAAATTTTGGCTTCGTATTCTATGCTGTGTATTAAGCTTATTATTAATAATAAAAATAAGATTTCGACAGCTTTCTCGTAAATCCCATCCAAGTAATATAAAAAAGCCTGATGAAAAGTCTAAATAAGAACCGTCTAATTTCATCATATGGCATTTAGGTGTATTTATTAGGAGACGCCACATGAGTAAAGATTATGAAAAGATAATAACTACAATAAAAATATCCATATACTAGTATAGAGCATTGATTGCAATGGAAATGGCGCCAAATGTTGTTGAACAGTTTGGGAGTTAAAAAACTATAGAGAAGTAATAGACGGTTACCCCTCCAGCTGGTCTCGCACACGCAGGCGCCGGTGACGTGGTGGCAGCCGCGCGCGTTGGCGGCGCAGTCGCACGGCAGCGAGCAGTTCTGCCCGTAGAAGCCCGCGCCGCAGCGCCGCTCGCACCGCTTGCCCTCGAAGCCCGGCCCGCATAGGCATTCGCCTGGATGGCAAATCAAGTCAAAATATACTTTATTCAAATAAATAAATAGAATATATATATATATATATATATATATATATATATGTGTGTGTGTGTGTGTGTGTGTGTGTTGGGACATTAACACAACACCATCTAGTTCCATGGTAAGCTACAAGGCCTGTGTTATGGATACCAGATAGTTGATACACTACACATATATAACCTTAGATACATACATAATATAAATATGCTCGTCACACAAACGAGCGGCCAGCGGGACTCGAACCCGCGACCGCTGGCTCAGCACGTAGGGTCTCTACAAACAGAGCCAAACGTGTTGTCAAGAAATAGACTTTTACAAGCACTTTTGAATCGTCAATTTTACATTTTAAATTTAAATAAATTAAATGTCAGTGTAGTCAGTCGTGAGAAATCTACCACCGGCTCAGCGAGAAACTCAACAGTTGCTCTTTTAAAATAATAATGGTTTACAATTATTGTAATACAATAATTATCTACTTATCCTACGTGAGACCCAACCAGACATTAGTTCCACACATTAATATCTACGAAGTATTCCGTGACGGTATAATAAGCTTTATTAACTAATATATTTTTAATCTTAGATTTAAATTGTATAAATGGCAAGCTCATAATCGATAGTGGAATTCTAATATACAACATGCAGGCAGTTTGCATGCTTTAGTTGGTCTAGTGGCTATAGTTTCTGCGTCGGAACCTGAGGTCCTGGTATCTTCGTTGTACCAAATTAAAATTTTAAGCTACCCATCGTGTATATGTTTTCTTTTTAGTCGAGAGCCACTTAGCATTACCCCGCTTTGTATTATAGCGCGATTCATTTATTTTGGGAGATTAAGTTGTGAAATGTGTATAAACCTACTAGACAGATTAAAATTAATCTGTTTCTTTGTTTATGAATCACATGGATATGGTACTTTCGCTCACTAAGCCCCTAAGCCCTTCATATATTCGTTGTATTGGCCCCGATAACGGATAATCTCTGAAACGGCGGGACTGATTTTGACGGGACTTTCACTGGAAGATAGCTGATGTTATAGGGAGTAACATATGCTACTATTATTTTAGAAAAAGAAATAGGATTCCGCTCAAAAAACTTAAAACGTACCGAGGGACGAACCCGAGCGAAGCAAGGGTGAGTTGCTACTCGGTAGTTATATTATAAGGATTAAATCATCATCAGGTCATTTACCATTGACCGGGTTGCACGGCGCGCCATTTTCACAGTCACAGGGTTGTCGACATTTCAGTCCAAATGTCTTGCCATCACACGGTCGGTCACATTTAAGCCCATCAAATCTATATACAAAAAGATTATGTAATTAAAACATTACTTGTAGGAATTTGCTTTAAATGTATGTAACATGTTTTAATTTAATACAGGTGTCACATACCATAAAAACTTTAATTCAAAAAAATATCTTCATTAAAACTACAAACTGAACTATAAACAAAATAATAAAATAAATAGATAATTTAGTCTTAATTCTTAAAATTCATACTCGCTCACTGGCATAGAAGTGAGCGAGTATAATACTATAGTGTAAAAACCTATACAATATATTTCAAGGAAAACAGTTTCAAAATTACAACACAATAGCGCTATATCAGGGCAACTTACAATACCACACGTCAACGCTAAAGCCTCATAAAAGTATGTATGTCGGGAGCGTGTCACCCGAGAGTCCCCCCGCACGGCCCTTACCATTGCCCCGTCTAGACAAGTGTATGGGATAGCAGAGTGTATGGGATAGCAGAGTGTATGGGATAGCAGAGTGTATGGGATAGCAGAGTGTATGGGATAGCAGAGTGTATGGGTTAGTAGAGTGTTTGTGTTAGTAGAGTGTTTGTGTTAGTAGTGTTTGAGTTAGTAGAGTGTATGGGTTAGTGGAGTGTATGGGTCACTAGAATGTATAGGGGTTAGTAGGGTGTACGGGTTAGTAGAGTGTATGTGTAAATAGTGTGGTAGCAGTTACCCGGGCGGGCACTGGCACTGGCCGGTCTCGTGCGAGCAGGTGGCGTTGTTGAGGCAGTCGCAGGTGTCGGCGCAGTTGTCGCCGTACAGCGGGAAGGGGCAGGGCTGCTCGCAGCGCAGCCCGCGGTAGCCGGGCGCGCACAGGCACGACCCTGGCGGACATACATACTATACATACTATTGGAAATTGTATTATTATTTTAAAAAATACAGCGACTAAGTCATCATCTATTTGTGTACTTTTTCTATCTAAATCCATACAGCCGTTTCAGCGTAAACAAATATACACACGCCCATACAAACTTTCATATTTGTATGTGTGTGTGGTAGACTGATAAATAAACATAAGCTGTTAAATCCCACCATATATCACCATATATTTTTTCACATCAAACTATAATATAAAAAACGTCAAAAAATACACAAGTGTCAACAATACAAATCAACGCCAGAATTTATGTCAATGAAAACATTAGCAAAGCTGCGACATCACATTTCCACTTTCTAAAAATGTATTATTTTAAAATTTAATTTATAGTAATTATTTTTTATTTATTATTATTCGCTTTAACTTGGCAGTAGACATTATAACTCTATGGCAAGGGGAAGTCCAATTTATAAATGTAAGACCTTCAACAAACCACTTAGTACTACAGCTCTGCCATTCATGTTGACATAACATCGTAGATAAGATAATAAGGGATTATTTCTCGGAACTATCATCACCTCAAAAAGCACTTTTGCTAAGAGCCGGCGAATAACTTGACCATGCTTGCTCTTATAAAAACATATTATTTGTTTTAAATAATAAACTACAATTATTTTGTACTTATCTCATTCTGAGATAGCATGGGTACATTCCAGTCAACGCTCACATTGTACGTGAGAGAACTATTATTCCAGTTTATATCTATAAAGTAGGTATTCCATGACGGATAACATGTTTTGTTAGATTGTTTTTTAGGGATAAGTAGTATGTATGTGTATGAAGGCTGAAACGAAATCATGGCAGACAATATTTTTGTAAATTATATTTTTGGAATCTGTATTGCTTTGTTATTAACCGCTAATAGTTGTTCTTAACATTTATTCAATAAACAGTCAAATTCAAAATATTTTAATCAGCATTACCTTATTATATTTTATTACTGAACATCATGAGTCTACTACTAGTTCTGAAAAAAGAGGCCTCAGACCTGAGAAGAACTGGCGAAAGAAACTCAGCGGGACTAAAATACTCTTTTTATTCACAGAGGGCAAACTCGCTAGATCTATTTAGACCTTATCTGTGCCTTCGAGCTAAGATAAAGGTCAAGAGTGAGCCCATTTCTAATTAAAAAAAATACTAATTTTATAAAGAGGTAAAGTTTATGAGTTTCTCACTTTGTAGGGGATAATCTCTGGATCTACTGAACCGATTTAGATAAAATTTGATAAGAAGATAGTTTGAGACCCTGGGAAGGACATAGGATACTTTTTATCCCGGAAATCATCTCTTAAGGGGGTGAAAATGGGGATGAAAGTTTGTAGGGGATATCGAGCTAGGGACGAACCCGAGCGAAGCAAGGGTGAGTCGCTAGTATAATATATATATACATGTAATATAAATAGACGTCTATACGTATATGAACAATTACCGTTAACGGGCGAGCAGTGTCCGCTGTTCTCGCAGCGGCAGGTGGCGCGGCAGCCCTTGCCGTACGTGAGCAGCGGGCACTGGCGCGCGCAGTACTCGCCGCTCCAGCCCGCCGCGCACTCGCACGCGCCCGTCCACGGGTCGCACCTAAAATGTCATATTTGTGTGTAACTAGCGACTCACCCACGTCCCTAGGTATGTTTTAATGGTAATAAAGTATACAATATACTATATACACATATATGTACAATATACATACATAGGTATAGAAAAGTAGGTAAGTATTATAATTCTATGAATATAGTATGTTATCCTTAAGAGATAGACATGCCATCACGGTCTTTCTGTAGACCTATATAAGATACACAATTCCACCATATATTATTTTGTTATATCTGAAAGGGTTTAGGCAGCATTTTCGTTGAAAGCTCCCAGACGCCTTATTTTTTTCCGACACCTCCAAGAAATATAGTTATATTTTAGCCAATGTATACAAAAACTTAACAAATTATATACTAAAACCTTCCTCGAGAACCACTCTATCCATTGTTGAAAACAGCATGAAAATCGGTGCAGTAGTTTTTGAGTTTATCACGAACAGACAGACAGACAGACGCAGCGGAGAACTTTGTTTTATAATATGTAGTTATACTTTCTTAGATTTACGCAAATATATGACATTTCAAATAACTCCATTTTTTCGGATTTATTTTGATTTTTGTTGTTCCCGACGTTTCGAATGCTATACAGCAATCATGGTCACGGAAGAGACTAAGGTTGTAGATTTCTCAAAGGCATTATATAACCAAAAATCTAAATGGATCCGCGAAAAGAACCGAAAAGATAGTTTCATTTAAAATATATGTGTGTTTTATAAATTAGTTGAAAATTTATATGAGTAGATGGCAAAGCTTAAAATCTAAAGAATGGGACACGGAACTAATTTACATTAAAATAACTACTTAACGTATAAATAAATATTAGCCCTCGCCTAGGATCGCTTTTAATTTTAACGGAAATGATGTTGTGTGTGTTGTGAAATGCAAGGGTTCTCAGAAAATACCAATTTTCCCGATAATCATGTAAAAACACATATGACGGTCGGGTGAGCCTCACCCAAATCTCATGTCACACGCATCTGAATGACCTTTCTAGAAGCCTGTGCTAGACGAATGTATGGATTATTAGTAGACCGTATTATTACTTTAAATTATAAATTAAAGTCCCTAATTGCGTTGATATTGTGTTTGTTTGGGAAAACCTCAGAAAGCTCTGTACAGATTTTCATACGATTTTTTTACTAATAGAAAGCGAAAAATATGATTTTTACCTACAGATAGGAGTGGGGGGCATTCATTTGTGTGACGAGCACGAATGTTTGTACTCCAGTCCTGGGTGTTTAAATTATGTATGTATTTAAAGTTATACAGTGTAGTGTATGGACCATCTGGTATCCATAACATAAGCCTCGTAGCTTACCATGGAACTAGATGGTGCTGTGTGTAAATGTCCCAACATATTTATTTATTTAATGAATACGAAACAGTTGCTCACATATCAGTGGTGCCAACATTGCACTCGCAGTCCTTGTCGCAGCGCGGGCCCCACTTGCCGTCGGCGCAGGCGCGCAGGTCGCAGCGCGCGCCGCGCCAGCCCGGCCGGCACGCGCACGCGCCCGAGCGCGCCGAGCACTCGCCGCCGTGCGCGCACTCGCAGCGCCCCGCGCACCCCGCGCCGTACGTGCCCAGCGGGCAGCGCTCCAGGCACTGTCACATCACGCCGGTGCAGTTAATATACATTTTATTTCTTTTGTATTCAGCCCTTTTGAACGTCCCACTTCTGGGCGTGGACCTCCCTTCGATGCGAGGGGGATCAGGCCATAGTGACGCACTGGCTACACATCGACTATTGAGTTTATGTTGATTTCTGCCTCTTCGGCTTGTGCAAATCGGCAGACTATTAAATTGCATACTTTTCAGGGTGTAATTAGCCCACTATACCTTAATCTGACTGTTTCAAGTATATCTACCTTATCAAAAATTTCTTTTTAATATTTTGATCGGCCCTAGACGCGCGACCTTATATGTATAGAGGGCTTATATTATGGTGGAGGTACTCAACAGTGTGCAAGGTATCCCCCCTTATGTTAACCTGGCGCGCTTGAGTAAAAAAAATCGCCTCTTGGGCTCCCCTACCATAAGGTCACAGCCAATAATATATGTAGTTATTAAGCATATTTCAGTTCGAATTATATTGTTTTTGTAAGAATTATTTGTATTCATATACCATGATTACATTGGCAGACAAATATAGAAAATAAGCATTACCCGTTTACAATCCCACATACTCGCGTAGTTGGCACGAAGCGTGAACCCATTATTTACTCACAATTATATTTACCCTTTTTATTCATATGTTACACAAAATATATTATAATATAATAATAGCAATACAAAAAACATTATTGTTATCAAACAATGAAAAATTACGTAAGATAAATAGTAAATACCTTTTCGCCTGTAAATCCAGCTTCACACTGACACTGGCCGGTGACATGGTGACAGCCAGCGCCATTAGCACATTCGCAAGTTTTTTCGCATTTATCACCCCACTTTCCCGTAGGACATCTAAAATAAATTATATAATATTCATTGTTATTTTTAAAGGGTATGTTTACCGTAATATCTTGTTGTATATTGTAGACATTGACAATCAATTAAAATGAGCTAAACTATACTAATATTATAAAGAGGTAAAGTTTGAAAGTTTGTGATGTTGTAGTGGGTAAATCTCTGGATCTACTAAACCGATTTAGATGAAATTTGGTAAGCGGATAGTTTGAGACTTTGGGAAGGACATAGGATATTTTTTATCCCGGATATCATACCTAAGGGGTTGAAAATGGGGATGAAAGTTTGTATGGGGAAGCAAGCTAGGGACAACCCGAGCGAAGCAAGGGTGAGTCGCTAGTTATATTATATGTTATATATGCGTTAATTGTACTCAAAAATAGCTCTTGGATGGCGATCTTTATCTCCAAATAATTAATTAACAGCGAAAACTTGTAACTGAGAGTAACTAAATGTGTTTATTACTTCTTTATTCTGCAAGGGATTTGAGTTATTCGGCTAACCGGATTTTAGTTTAACTCAGAATGGAGATAGCTTATATGGACTAAAACCTACTTTTTACTGATGTACCTACTACGCGAGCGGGCCTGGTAGCAAAAACTATAGTATGTATAATATAATTATCACTTACTTATTAGCACAAACTTCCCCTGTCCATCCGGCAGTACAGTCGCATTCCCCGCTAAAGAGGTTGCATTCCCCATTGTTCTGACAACGACATCTCGTCGGGCATGGCGCATCGGTAGGACATACTTCTTCACATCTAAATAAAATAATTTATTATTTTTTCCTCAAAATAAACAACACTTTACAAATAGATGTTTCTTCAATTCTTCAATAACAATATTTACATTTTCGAATATTTATCTCATTAGGTCAGACATTGTTCATTGTTTTAAAATTACAATACTGTTATTAATATTTAGAAATACCGCACTATCTAGTGCATTTGCGCTACAAGGTTTTATTTGCTGCAGCTTCGCATCTGTAGTATATGGATCTAAGCTTAAACGGATGGAATTATGGATATACACGCATAACATTCAAAGCACAAGGTAACTACAAAGAAATTGAATAAAAATGTTCCGTCCTTGCTGTCGTGTAATCTTAAAAACATGTGCATCTTGCGCGCAGTGTACGTGCAGTAGAAATCTCTGAAAGCCTTGTAAGGAGCCGGGAAGTAGGATATTAGAGCTTCACGTACTCCGTAGCAGTATACCTACAGAGCTATGTATGATTCTCTTTACTAGTAATATAAACGCGAAAGTATGTTTGTGGGTTTGTTAGTTTGTCCCCCTTTTACATAGGAACTTAGCAACTGATTAAAGTGACGGTTTGCATACATAGTTTTTGAACCGGCGTTTGGACTTTGGTGAATGACCACATAGTTTGTTGAAACATTTAGGTACTACTTACTACTTTTAAAATTTGTGTAGCCTGCGTTTTAGAATTCGCTAAGTCTACGTAACGTGTTGTTACCTATAAACATGCTCCATGACCTTGACTAATTGCTAAGGTCACGACAAATGTTACTGTACTATTGACTATTGTTGCAAGAAGGATCAAAAATAACTACCATAGAAAATATTATAATGATCGGAAGCTTTAATTAATTATAATGTGCAAGTTATAAATATTAATGGAAATAAAGACGAATATTGGAGTATTTGTTATTTTATTTTTATATTGAACTTAACTTACTTTTGTCTACCACTATTTATTTAATTCTAAAAGAAACTTACAAAGGTCCAGTGAATCCCGGTAAACAGGTGCAGGCACCATTAGCTGGATCGCAAGTGGCATTATTCTTGCATTGGCACAATTGGTCACATTTGTCGCCGAACGTCGGCGGTGCACACGCGCGCTCACACGCGTCGCCGCGCCAGCCCGCCGTGCACGCACATTCACCGGTGAGAGGCTCGCAAGTACCGCCATTCAAACAACGACACTCATTCTGACAGTCCCTGCCCCATTTCCCGGCGGGGCAAGCTGAAAATGACAAATCCTCTTAGAACAACAATTTTTGCAATATCATAATCTTTATTATCGGTACTAGCTGACCTGACCGACGTTATCCTATCCGTATCGGATTGCAATCATACAAAAATTGTATAAAAAAAGTTCCAAATTCAGAAGAATTTCCCAATATTTCAAGCATCTTTTCCAAATTTCTTCCCTAAGAACCTTCGGACTATTACATAATTAGCAAAATCGGTTCAGCCGTTCTCTAGTAATGAGCTTACAAATGATCAACATTTCATTTTTAGTACGTACACACATAATATGTAAAGATTGCCCGTTCGTCAGTTAACCATTCACCCCGCTTGCGAGAAATTTATCGCAAACGTTTTGAAGCAGTGCCATTAATACAAGGTGGCGGTCCTCTTTATCTGTGTCACTTTACACTTGGGCGATTTAATACGAGTCGCCAAATGACTTTATAAATTGTTTTGAAGAACACTACCAGCAATAATAAAAAAGTTTCTGTTCATGTTGTAACAATACACTCCGTACATATTTTTGAGAACATATTAATTCGCCGTATAGTTTAAACAAGATAACGTAATTCGCAACATTTTTCAGTATAAAAAGATTGCTTATTATTTATTACTTGTCCCTAAGTCCCCCGATTAAAATTTTAAATAATTAATGTGGAAACAACTATATTAGATGCATGCTTTTACCGCATCTAATATGGTTGTTTCCACAATATTGAAATGTAAAATAAAACATTGATACAACTGATTAATATTACAATAGGCTATCAATTTTATCATTCTCATCCTCAAACAATTATTGATTATTTTCTTTATAATTTCTTTTTCCTTTAAATAAACTTATATTTTTATTAATAAAATACTTGAAAAGGCTGAACTTCAAGGAATCAAAAGTTAAATTAAGTCGATTTGGTAAGCGACCTCGACTGAAAATTAATGTAGGTGTAAGATGTCTATAAGTTAGCCAGAGATAATATGTATAGCAACGCAGATTATCTATATGTACAATGTACAGTTATGCAGGTAATTCTTTCAATAGACATAACTTTTTTATTTATGAACCGATTGAACCCAAATCTGTTAAGCCGCGTCTGAAATTAGCGCGCACAAATGCACAGACAAACAGGCAAAAATTATAAAAGTCATTGTTTTGGGTTCTATTGTTTTAATAAAGACCCTCACTAATAGCTTTTCTCAAATATCTTCTATGTACAGACAGCGATCAGTTACAATTTTATTATATGTTTAGATATAACATATCTAAAGTAATTAATTAATATTGATAATATCAATTATAGAGCTCTACAATAGGTTTGTTTTAGCCAACAAGCTCGATGCTTGACTATGACTAGTAAGTAATTATTGTTATTACATATTATATTGCAAATACTAAAACAAAGCCGAGATAAGTCCCATTTAAACAGTATTTTACATTTATCAATAACATAAATCATACTTCAAAAAAATAAGATTTTAAAAGTGAGTTTCGTACGAGTCCTTGCAACTGATAAACGGCGTTTGACAAACACAATAAGGACGAAGTTTAATTAGGGTTGCCTACCGTACTATAACATATAGTATTTTACTATATTTCGGGTTTGCGTACTATATACTGTTGAAGAAATATATAGTACCCAAAAATACTATATTTTCAACACTGAAATCTTACAAACAAAGCCTTCATTTTGAAAAATTATGAACGTGCCTTTCCATTAACTTTTGACTGATGCCATAACATTCTCTCATCTCATCTAAATGCGTTTTGAACTTGCCAATAATGTCAAAAATTTCATTCCTGCTCTTTATTCGCGTTACTTCCGCATGCACAGAAAGGATATTTTCAGAAAGAAACAGAAGTAGTGTCTCATTAATAAAAAAGAGCTTTTAATTTACATTAATTTAAAAATTAAATGTAATATATATATTATGACACTTTAGACAATTATTAAGAAATGCAAGAAGTGCAAAAAAATAGTTTTTATAAAAATAAATAAGTAACAAATATATTTTTCTCTGTTTCTTGTTTTTTTTTTCATAAAATACTATATTTTTTGAAGTGTACTATATTTTTTATAGATTATTTTGAAAAATACTATATTTCACCGAAGAAATGTTGGCAACCCTGAGTTTAATAAATATTGTCTGCCCTCATTTTAGCGATACGCGATTACCGTTGACTGGAATAACAATTGCTGTGTGAAATGATACGAAATTCATCAGAAAACACTCACATATATCGCACGCGGGTCCCCCGTATCCGTGCGCGCACGCACACGTGTTTGGCGCCACACATTTTCCGTGCACACACGACTGCACGCACACGGGCACACACTGCTTCCCCTCGGAATCTGGCGTGTAACCTTCGCAGCATTCCTCTACAGGTCTCTGTTTGACGAGCGTCTGTGTTTTCAACACTTGCTTAAACTTGATCTTGTACTTTGAACATCGAGGGGGCACATTGAAACACCACGTATACTCCTTCACTTGATACGGTTGCTGCTCAGACACTCTTATAACTGTTGTGTACCTAAAATATAAATACCATACATATTTAAATTGTGGTAGGTACTTTACCACAAGTTAATAATTTATTTAAAAAATAATCTACATTTCCGCGCTAATTTATTTTTAACAAGCTTTTATTAGCTTCACCTGTACCTATCTATGCGACGGAATCTTTGTGTAACTGTAAAACTGCCGGTAGACCTTAATAAATAAAATAAACATGTAACGTGTATGTAATGATGCTTAATGACGGTAGTAAATAAATTATAATATATAGCTACTTTATTTGACGAATTATAAAATGAAATATCGTACAAATAAAATCATTGTTACAATTGACTGATGCGTAATTTTCAGATATTTAGAAAAAAATACTAAAAAAATTAGTGTCTATGAATTTAAAAAATATAGGTATATTATAAAACTAAAAAAACCCGACTGCATAAGAGCTAACTAAAAAGATGAAAACGAATTGACGAAGGTATATAGCATTCGGAGTATAAGTCGGTTAAAAATGTATTAAATTGTAAGTATAGTAAATAATATGCGTACTTCTTATGTTATCTTTGTATGTATGTATTTAAAATATTATGTTTTTAAGTACTAATATACCTACAGCCATAGTCCAAAAGTCGAACCTAACATTAAGTATTTCATTATAAAATACAGTTCGTTACATTGTAGAACGTCGGGTAAAGAGCAACAATTGAAATAAATACCATACTCAGGAATTATAATATCTATAATTGGAAAACGTGCGTAGTTATAGGAAATCTAAACAAAATGACGCATTTGCTTAAATGTAACTTGAAACTGAATGAAATAAGAGGAAAATGGAAATATATAATTACGTAAGAATTTGTTAATCTAGACATAACGTAACTACCTATCGGTATGTAATTCTTATACTATAGACAACAACTTCATTCTTAAATCTTGTACTTAATACTTAAGGAAGCTGCATCCCATAGGGATATTTACTCATGTGGGTTGTAGATTAATAAATAGTTCTTGAAAAAAATGTATTTGAGGAAAATATTTTTGGGATGGAAAATGCGAAAAATGTAGTATTAAAAAATTACTTAACAATATCCACCTCCAGGTAAGTTTCTAAGAAATTAATTAAAATTCTAAGAAATCTATTGTTAACCTGACACGCCGGCGTGTCCGCGGTCTTGGAGGGAATATCCATTCAAAAAATATAAACTCTAAATGAGTTCTCAAGATTTTTTACCCTTATAAAATTCGATCTTTCAGGTCAGTCAGCTGGCTAATGAATATTTTTCTTGAAACACTAAAAACGCCATAGATCGTTAAACCCAATAATACCATGACGGAGGAAAAGGTTATGCAAGTCAAGTCATACAGCTAAATGGTCTTACTCCTATCAATTTATTATACGTTATGGCTAAATTTGAATATTCAATAGCGAGTGGAAAATTTGTTTTTGTAATGCCGATAAACATTTTTTTTTTATTTACTATCGTCAACCACGAAATACTTTTACAATTATAGATGCCGTAAATCAATTTTAAATGAATGCATTTGTCACTAGAACTACAGTAGAGAATGTTTTTCACGCTTCACATTACATTAATATTATGAATACGAAAGTTTGTAAATGAGTGAGTGGGTTTGAGCGAAGTTCTAGATAGTTTACAGTCTGGATTATAGATATTACGTAGAATTATATCGACATACTCGTACCTAACACGCTGCAGGAGCCGCGGGCCAATCTATTTTAAATATACGAGCGCTATGAGTTAAATTATTAGTTATTACATAGGTACTAGCGGATCACCCTCGCTTCACCGTTTAGCAGTTCTAGCGTGAAAGAGTAACAAATATCCATACATACTCACAAACTTTCACATTTATAATATTAATACGGATTATATAGTAATTACAACTATAGGTGCGAGTTAATAATTAGAATAATTACAACATAACTAAATTCATTGAAATAATGTCTACTAGCAATAACCATAATATGTACCTACCTATAGATATACTAACATTGCCCGCGGCTCCGCCCGTGTTCAGATTACCAAACACCAAATTCTTAGATTTTACATATTAGTATACTCTTACGTTGCAGTTTGTGATTTTTTTTCATAAGACATTTTCCCGCAGTAAAAAGTCCCGGATAACCAGCTATCATCATACCAAATTTCATCAAAATCCCTCTAGTGGTTTTTTTCGTGATGCGGTAACAGACAGACAAAAATTCTAAAATCTATAGATTCGGCCTCGGTATCGATAATAATGTCTATTTCAATAAAATCTTCCAAAAAATATTTAATGTACAGCCTTATTCAGCCTTTATTCGGCTAAGTTTCAAATTTATTATACATATATCTGTGAACTGCATATTAAAAACATGAATGTCTACAATTTTTAATTAACACAATATTTTTACGGTTTCTTTGGTTCCCTTTACTAAATTAAATGTAAAGAGCGAAACTTGTGGAACTTCCTTTAAGAAATCATGTTGTAAGACTCATAACCTTTTTTTATCACTATAAATGACCCCAGTTAGTGGTAGCATAATGGTAACGCGCTCGCTCGGGTAACCGAGTGAACTGGGTTCTAATCTCAGGTTTCGCACTTCTGATATTTTCATGTGCGAATCATTTTAAGCATGATTACCATTTGTCTTACGGCGAAGGAAAACATCATGAGGAAACCTGCATGTCTGAGATAATCTAATAAGTTTTTGAAAGACATGTGAAGTCCGCCAACCCGCACTTGACCAGCGAGGTGGACTATGGCATGATCCGCCTCGAAATGAAGGGAGGCCCGTTCCCAGTGTGCCCGTGGGGCGTCAAAAAGGGCTGAATACATAAATGGCCCTTAATATGGAAACAGTACGATATATTTATGAAATTAAAAGAAATTACATAATGTCTGGCTTGATCTGCTCAAAGATTTAACGCAACAAGTCCGTTGTAGCAAGTTTCGACGACCCCACGCATGCTTTGCGAGAGTAAGTACCTAATAAATGCTAATTTAAAGATAGTATAGTGCTTGAATTCCTTACTGACTGCTTATTTTATGCAGTAGTTTCACAATAATTCTAAATATGGATATCGTATTTTTGTTGCTTTGTATTTAATAATATAAAATCATTTAATAGAGACCCGACCTAAGCTTTTTGCGATAAACATACTTGTATCCAACGGAAAACTTGTTATATTATAAAATATCTCTATAGAAAAAATAATAAAGTATATTGATTTGCCCTTAAGATAATATTTTACAAACCCAATATTCCAAAATTCTTTCTATTTGCAACATATGAACAAAATGCAACACTTACGACTCCTGTCTGGTACAGACGTTAGGACCTTCTAAAAGGGCCCCAACTGAGGCAACCAGAGCCAATAGTATCGTCGTCTTCCACATCTCGGCTACCGTTCAAACACTTCTAAACCACAACTCCATAACATAATATTATGTATTGTTTGCGCTCGTTTACGTGGCGATATGCATTTATCGGTTGTTTAGCCTTTCCTCTTGTTGCCCGTTGTAGCGAATTGTGAATTGCCTCGTCTAGAACAAAGAAAAAACGTAAATATACAATGGTCATATAAATATGCGTTGCGAAGGTAATTTTATTCACAAAATACGAAAGATTTATATTTTTTATCTATAGGTAGGTACATATAATAAAATTGTAACTAAGCCGAATCTGTACATTAAATATTTTTCGGAAAATCTTATTGAAATAGACATTATTATCGATACAGAGGCCGAATCTATAGTTTTTAGAATTATTGTCTGTCCGTCTGTTAACGCATCACAAAAAAACCACTGGAGGGATTTTGATGAAATTTGGTATGATGATAGCTGGTTATCCGGGTCAACATATAGGACACTTTTTACCGCGGGAAAATATCTCATTTCTGAGAAAAAATATAAAAACTGCATTGTAAGAGTATACTAATATGTAAAACCTAAGAATTTGAATTTATTAATTTTCAACCGATTTCCTCAAAAAGGAGGTTTTCAATTCAGGTGTTTTATTTTTTTATTTTTGTTTACTCTGTAAGTCAAAAAGCGTATACAAATAAATATACTAATCAAAAATAATTAAGAAGCCTATCTAAGCCCTAGGGAAGGATTTTATCTTTTTTTAATAAGTGAAAATGACTTTAAGATTAAAAATTGGTTTTGAGACCCATCGCTCTAATATAAAAAATATGCAATGTAGGTACAAAAATATATCGTAGGTATACATAATATGTATGAAATTACTTGTTTTATTACAACTTAGCACAAATATAAATGCTGAATATACGCAGAATTAAAGTGATTTTTTTTAAAGAATTTGAGTACATTGAAACGTAGGTGGAAAGCATTGAAGTAAGCATAAGATGGTCAATACATATAAACGGTTATTCTCATTCAGTATTAATCAAGATTAAGAACCGTTATTTAGCCAACTGGTATGTGATAAAATTACTTGTATCGAATATTTATATAAAGGTCTTATTATAGTAATATATTTATTTATATCTTTATGTACAAATATAAATAATAATACTCTATATACTAATAATATATTTCTTCAATTTTTCCTATTATTATTTAATAGTTAACTTAATAAAAATATGTTATATTTCTTAATATATTTACAGTATGTTCTAATAGAAAAAATAACAAAATATTATGACTCACACATAAGCAAAAATCTTCTGGCACTTTAAATTATAAATGATAAGCATTTAAATTATAAATATTGTCATGATTTAAAAGTATAACACTAACGACTCACCATCGCTACGCTCGGGGTTCGTCATAAAGGTTTAACGTAGTTTAACTTTCACGTTTAGTACAGACTAGCGACTCACCCTCGCTTCGCTCGGGTTCGTCCCCTAGGTACGTTTTAACGAATTTTTATGAAATAGAAATCTTTGAATTTCTCAGTTATTTTGTAATATAATATGCATCATGCATGTAGTTTACATATAAACCTTCCTCTTGAATCACTCTATCTATTAAAAAAACCGCATCAAAATCCGTTGCGTAGTTTTACAGATCTAAGCATACATAGGGACAAACAGACAGGGGGAAGTGACTTTGTTTTATACTATGTAGTGATTTCTCAGAGATGAGATATTTTCTCGTAGCAAAAAGTACCCATATGTTAGCCCGGATAACCAGCTATCATCATCATCATACCAAATTTTATCAAAATCTGTACAGTGGTTTTCTTGTGATGCGTTCCCAGACAGACAGACAAAAATTCTATAAACTATAGATTCGGCCTCTGTATCGATAATAATGACTATTTCAATATTTTATTCCAAAAAATATTTAATACAAAGATTCGAATCTAGCATTAGTGCAAACCGAACTACATCCTGAATTACGCAGTTAGTTTTTTATATTTTAACCAACCTTAGCGAAGTAGGGCAATTTCGCGAGTATTTTAAAGATAATTATTACAAAAGCAATCAAGCGAAGAACAGCTATTTCATTCCATAGATACTAAAATAATCGAATAACTAGTATATTTGTAGGTACGACGCTTTAAGAGTAGATAAACACAGAGAACCTACTTCAATTTATGAAGCAGTAGATTGAATCTAAAAATAAAAGCCACTTGTATGCATATTCTGTGTATATTATATCTAGAACTAATTCTAACTGCGAATCTTTTTTTTCTCTTTATGGCGTAGAGCTGCGTTGACAGACGCAATTTGGAAATTTAGCAGCTTTACTGTGGAAATAATAAGTATAAATGAATGATCGGTCTATATAAGTAACCTACAAAGTGCGTATTATACGAGTATTACAAATGCGAAGTGCTGACAATGCGTTATAAATACTAATAAAGTATCGCAGTGGCATCTGTGTTTAATTAATTGTATAACAATCATTACTTGGAATATTATTACCAAAATTATGATAAAGGATCAACTCTTTGATTTATAAGCTAATATAAGTTATACTATAGTCTAAAGGTCACAGACACAGTTAATAAATAGAACAACAAATACAGATAGAAAGATAAACAAGATTAATAAGATTTAAACGTCCTTTAAAAAAAGATGTAATTTTATATCTATGCCATATTGTGACTAAAAACCTTTGGTAATCTCATAAAATTGTCATAAAAACTTCCATCCACTATCCCCGGAAAGCTTTGTTCTTAGGTAAACAGAATTCTGAATAATATACCTAATAGATAACAAATATTGTGTGACATTTACTGTAACAGTGATTATACATTTGTAACTTAATCACGAGTATTGTATTTAATAACAATTCCATACTTAATATTACAACTGTTAAAGTGTGTTTGTTTGTTTATCCTTCTTTCACGTGTAAACAGGGTGACGAATTGGCATATTTAATTTTTTGCGTGGGGATAGTTACAGGGCTGGAGAGTGGAGAGCGATAGTCTACTTCTTACCGCGGATTATCTCTTTCACACGGGAAAACACGTTACAATACAACCAACAACAACTCATCATATCTATGTATATAATATATAGTCTATATATTCCATACTAACCGTTAAAACGTACCTAGGGACGAACCCGAGCGGAGCAAGAGTGTGTCGCTAGTATAAAATAGTGAAAGCATTACATACAAGTAGGTCGCTTCCGTTACGCTTTGGAAATGAGATTGATATAAAAGTAGCTTCTAATTATTATTATACGGCATCGCAAGCCTTATTTTTTATAATAACATTTTGTGTTCATTATAATATGATGGTCATTATACTCTTCGTATTGAATTTCTTACTTATTCTATTTACAAATTACAAATATTGACTACACCACTAGTCAAAAATGTTAAACGTGATGACCTAATCTATTTAAGGCGCTTGCCGTTTAATCAATTTAATCGTAGAGTTCACACGTATGCACACATTAGTCGAACATAAAACAGAAACGCGAGAAGACTGCAATTGTCACGTAAGTACATATATTGACAAAACACCAAGCGATGTTGAAGAGCAAAACAATTATAACCGTTATGAGTCGTCAGACTAACTACGTGTAGGTGAAGAGATGATAAGTAACTAAACTTTTAAATATGCTATTGCAATCCTCAACGCTTCTAACTTTCAGTATCCATATCGCAACAAAATGAGGGCATACCTAGTGAAAAAATGTAGACAAAAAACTATAAAATATAATAAACTAGCGACTCACCCGCGGTCCGCTCGGGTTCGTTCCTGTATGTACGTTTTAACAGTAAGTATAGATTTCTCAGAAATGATATATTCTCTCACAGTAAAACGTATCATATATGTTGACCCGGATAACTAGTTATTATCATACCAAATTTCATTAAAATCTGTTCAGTGGTTTTCTCGTGAAGCGTTCCCAGACAGACAAAAACTATAGATTAGACCTCTGTATTGATAATAATAACTATTTCAATAAGATCTTCCAAAAAATATTTAATGTACAGATTCGACTCGGTAAGAATTTTATTATAATATGTATAGATAGATACTTATTAAATACATACTATGCGGCAATAAATCGCTCTAATAATATTACACACTATTCCACATGCTTGGTTAGATGAAAAAAAAAACTGTGTCGGCAAAAAGTAGGCCAAGTTTGTGTTAATCCGGGATAAGCTATACCTTTACACTTTACAGCAATAACGGTCACCGGAGAGATTATGAATGAATGAATAACTCTTTATTGTACACCCAAAAAGAGAAAAGATAATATACAAAATATAGAAGAAGGTACAAGAAGGTACAGAGAAGACTGTCTACAAAATACTTGGCCAATATCATGTAGAGTGGAGGAGACATTTCAATTTTTGAAATAAATTTAACTGAAATGTCCCCCGCAACAACTATTTATAATTGTCGAGTAATAGGTTGACATAAATTTTAACTTTAGTTTAGCTAAAAGTTTAACGATAAAAACCCATTCGTAATAGTAAAATCTTATACTAATATTATAAAGAGGTAAAGTTTGTGAATTATGAACTTGTGACGTTGTAGGGGGTAATCTCTGGATCTACTGAACCGATTTAAATGAAATTTGGTAAGAAGATAGTTTGAGAGCCGGGAAAGGACATAGGATACATTTTATTCCGGAAATCATCCCTTAAGGAGGTGAAAATGGGGATGAAAGTTTTTATGGGGAATCAACCTAGGGACGAACCCGAGCGGGTGAATCACTAGTAGGCAATAATTTTAACAGTTATTTCGAAAACAGGTACATAATTTATCAGTTCACCTAAGATAATTGATTTTAAAGCTTCTAATTTCATAAGAGTGGCTGGTTCTTTTTCGTTTTCCATCATATTTAATGATATTTTCTAGCTAGCTGTTTAGGCTAGGTGCTTAGGTTAGCTCGAGGACAAATTAAAATACAAGCTAAATTCTCGACTTCTCATAGGTACGTACGGTTACGTCAAAACGAAACGGGACACGGGATACAGGCATATCGTTTGGACGCTACGAATGTCTGGTATTTAGATAGAAAATTTTATATAAACCAATCTTGGATGTAACAATTTTCGAATTATTAAGAATTTACTCAATATATTATCGTAACTGCAAGTTCTAGTTACATAGATTCATATACATTATACAGTACACTAAAAATGTTATTGCTTATCTTATTTATACGTGCTGAGTGCAGAGTGCAGACCCTACGGCAGAATAACGCTGACACGTCAACTACCTCATCCCGGATGCCACAATGATAAAACATTCAATTCAAAAGAAAGAAATGTTTACAGGGTCAGCTAAATTACGCACAGCGTTGAACACCCGATGAATAATTGTTGTTGCTGTGTTGAATTTCGATTTATTATTTGTTTCGTCGATGTACCTACATTATATTATATACGATTATTTGTAAAGTACATACATACAATACATGGCAAATTTTTGAAAAATATTAGGTTAATAATTTGTGTTATAAAAAGAAATAAATCTTGATCCGAAAATTAATGCAATTTTGATGTTTGTGTGTCTGTCACTCAAGTCACTTTATACTTTATAGATTTTCGTAAAAAAATATTTAGCATTATATTATACTTATTTAAGCTAAATAAAGTAAATTATTGTTTAATATTTAATTAATTTCTGCTAATATTTTTTTCTTAATTTTATGGATGTAGTGTGTTGATCCCATTTTGCATATAAATAAATATTATTTCAACTAACCCTTTTTTTACTACTCAATCTTCATTGTTTGTACTATAATCCCTCAACGACCGCGGACACGCCTGCATTACCGTTAACAATAGATTTCTTAGTAATTTAATTAATTTCTTAGAAATTTACCTGAAGGTGATTAATAAAATTCTGACTTGCATCTGTACAGTACATATTTTTTGGAAAATCTTATTGAAATAGTCATTATCATCGATACAGAGGCCGAATCAATAGTTTTTAGAATTTAGAAGAAAACCACTGGACAGATTTTGATGAAATTTGATGTGATGATAATCGGTCATCCGGGTCAACATATAGGATACTCTTTACTGCAGGAAAATATCTCATCTCTAAAAAATCTATACTAAACCTTAAAACATAAGTTTTATTTATGGACTGTAAAAATGGTAATGTATCAGTTTATGAACTCAGCCTGCTGAAGTAATTTAATTTGAGCTTATATCCATTCAGATTTTTTCAGATTCAGATATTTTGTAGACATTCAGTTTAATAGCCCTATTTAAAAACTCCAATAGGATCCCATCAAAAGCGACAAAAGCCATTTAGAAACCAAAACATATTTATTGGTTTCTATGTGGCTTTTGTCACTTTTGATGGGATTCTATTGGAGTTTTTCAACAGGGATGATGACAGTACATCATTAATATATAATAAGTACATATTTTGTTAATTATTTTTTGTATTAAAATTTTTTTTGCAGGAAGGCAAGATGAATTTAGTGATTATGTGATTCCATTCTTTTGCATTATCAGTGCCTGTTTATGAGTAGTGAACCTTAATATAGACCTTTCTCTTATTGCAAACAGATCAATTATTATTATTAATCTGTATAGTCAAATTACTGACCCCACATTAAAATCATATCCTACTAATAGGTAAACAATGCAATATAATCACTGTACAAGTATTAGCTCTATGTGGCCATGTTTTTTTATTGAGACCCAACTATACTATGTTAGTAAGTAAAACAGAAAACCTAAGATGTATTTTTGGTTCTATTTAAAATGAATACTAGTTATGTTAATAATTCAACTCATTATCCAACAATTCTATAAAGTGTAATTAAACTGAACCAAAAATTCTAAAAAGGGTTTTTTCACTGTTATTGTAACATGAATAAACTTTTTACATTAAATATTTTATGTAAATATAGCTAGATAGATGTTAAAAAAACAATACCTGGTTAATTTTCAAAGGCATTGAGAAAATACTCATACAATGTAATATATGTACATTGTACATACTATAATTATATTCATTCACTCATAGAACATGAGCCATCACAGTGCATGAAACACATCCTTTAGGATTATTATTTAAAAACAAGCTCCACATACCAATGTATCTGGAATCTAATAATTTAAATTTCATATAAGAATCTGGATACCATATGTGGATCACGTTTATATATTACTCATAACATATTTTAATGATATAAAAACCTTTGATACTAGTAGCTCAGTATGACTAATGGCTACTTTCTAAGTGTAATGAAAAAATATATATTATATTGTTGTCTTTGTTGTAATAATAATACTATAACATTGTGAACATACCTTTTAAATCAGGGTTAACTAACATGAAATAATGTGTTATTTGGTGTATATATTTATCAGTACTATTTTTTTATGAATGAATGAAAATAGTAAATATATGGATTAATTTATATTATTGTCTTAGTTTCTTTATAATTAAATTCTAAATATTGTGTGTATACAAACATTTATCATTATATACAAAAATATAAAATGTTCACATAGAATATTTGTTTAAAAAATACATTTTCGATAAACTCACAAATAAATTTATATATTTGATATATCCACGAATCACAATGAGACTTTATGACAACAGGTTTTAGTAAAATAAAATATACATGCCTAGTTGTTTTTTTCAATCCCACTACACGTACACGTTGAAAGCTTGTCTTTAAGTTTATTTAGATTATAATCTCAAATTTTCTAAAATTCTATTCAATAATGTCTATAAAATAGCATGCAAACATGTTACATGACCTCAATTTACACTTCAAAAATAAAGTAGGTATTCTTTGTTTACATTTTTAAATTGAAGCGATGTGTATTTTGAAATATAACTAAGAAAATTATTATAATTCATTATTTCTTACCCGGAAACTTTAAATTATCTGATTGTTCCAATATATCATTACTATGATTCACTACTTCACACTCGAGAACTTGTGATACTACCTATTATGATGATTTCACAAGAATCTTAAGACAATATTTTAAATTTACAAGATTCAATTAAAATATTAAAAATCAAGTAAGATTTTATCGAATCACAAATTTAATCACTGCACAACGTACATAATATTATGATAACACAGTAGATCCTGGTCAACACAGTAGTCAACATCAAGCACAAAAATTCACAGTTCACACTTCTGACTTCACAGAATAACAAGTTCCATTTATTTAAAATTGGTATCACTCGCTTACAAGTCACACAGATCACAAATACGAGTCACGCACGTAAAATCTGCTTTATAAGTTTACAATTTCAATACACTTTTTAGTGTGTACTGTGTAGTGTGTCTGTGTACTATTAGAATCTCCCTAGAGTAAAAAATAAAAATGTTCCTTGATTAGAATTATCCCTACGCAGTGTTGCCAGCACTTGAAATTTTATTCCCCTAAAAGTAATTTCAAAAACCCCTGAAACCCCATATGTAACAATTTGAAAAATATGGGTAGGCTTTTATGTATTATTATTTTTTTTTATTTTTAGGTATTTTTTATTTTATTTTAAATGATTACAAATAGCGTGAAACACTTATTTATGGCTATTATTATAAAAATTATGTAACAATTTTAAAATAATAATAAATTCCATAGATAACTTAGCAAATAAAAAAAGGGATACAATTTTTCGAAATCTTTAACCGAAACTATAAACCTTAAAAAGACCCTAAATATTTTTCCCTCCTAAAAAATGCCGGGTGCTATTTTTTTACCCCTGGTAACTTAACAGCATAAACTCAGAAATGTTACCAGTTATGGAATTATGCGGTTCACCACTAGATGTCATATTAAATTATTTTATAATAATTCAAAAATTAAAATAGTTAACTCATCAAAAAGTCCGATCATATACAAATATCAAAGTTAAGAATGAATAGTAAAAAAACTTTTTTAAAAACAAGCTTTTATTTAAATGCTCTAAAAGAAGAAAATAAACTTTAAACTAAATTTAACGCAACATTGATATAAAAGCTTGTCGCGAGATTAACTATTCTAAATGATTCTAAATTCTTGTTTAAACAGGTAAATATAATAATTGGTAAAGTTTGTGAGTTCGTGACGTTGTAGGGGTGATCTCCGGATCTACTGAATCGATTTAGATGTTTGGTAAGAAGATAGTTTGAGACCCTAGGAAGGACGTAGGATACTTTTATCCCGGAAATCATCCCTTAAGGTGGTAAAAATGGAGATGAAAGTTTGTATTGGGAAGGAAGCTAGGGACGAACCCAAGCGAAACGAGGGTGAATCGCTGGTTTATATATAAGACTAGCGACTCACCTTCGTTCCGTTCGGATTCTTCCTTAGTTACTTTTTAACGTTTAATATAGATTTCTCAGAGATGAGATATTTTCCCGTGGTCAAAATCCTGTGTTGACCCGAAGAACTAGCTATCATCATACCAAATTTCATCAAAATCTGTCCAGTGGTTTTCACGTGATACGGTCACAGACAGACAGATAGACAAAAATTCTAAAAACGATAGATTCGACCTCTGTATCGATAATAATGACTATTTCAATAAGATTTTCCAAAAAATCTTTTATGTACTGAATACAAATATCATATATATATATACATTGATCGCAAAAAAAGTAAAACGAGGAAGAATGGCATTTAAAAGTTCGTTTTTTTTTTTAATTTAATTACCTTTTTGTTTTAAAACTTCCTAAGCCGATGGAATACAAATAAAAAGCTCCCGACTTTTAGCTGGTAGATCTACCGATTTTTTATTATCCAATATCCACTTTGCAACACTGCTTGTCAATTGTCATCCAAACATAACCTAATATTGCTAAGTACTAATGATAAATAAATAATTTCATCATTCATGTAAAAGTAGTCTCCTTAATCTGTGATGCAAAAGCTAAATAAAAAAAAACTTACTATATGATATTGCCAAAAATATTGAAACGGTAACATTATATTATTGTACATAGTACCATCAACTTATTATGTCGCTTTATAGAAAATTGGTAAATATTTAAAATTGACGATTTCAGAAATAATATTTTAGTTCTATAAATATTAAATGTACAATACATAAAAAAATCCTTTACAGGTCCTTCAAAGTTTTAAAAAAATACATCGGACTAGAATGAGAGTGTTTCAAGGCGATGAGAAAGCCCTAACAGCAGCTAGGATAAAAATAAATGAAGAATATAGTAAAAATAAATATGTAAAGGATGAAGAAGCTATTAAAGCGGTACACAGTAGCAACAAAAAAACTTTTTCAAATAATTAAATGTATATCATTATTCATAATATTATGATACATATATAGGTACATTACAAAAATAGTTTTCTTACAGATGATTCAATTTGGCGAGGATGTAGAAAAAGAACTAAGAATGCAAGTTATTCAAGCTAAAGAAATAAAACCTGGTGTATTTGGTAAATAAATGTTACAACTTATTTATTTAAAGAATGGTTTGTGTATTAACCCTTTATAACTCAACAACATATTATTTAATAAAAAGTAGCCCTTAGTGTAGCAATTGGGAAATAAAAAAACACGTATTTTTTAATTTTTAAAAAATTTAATTAGTTACTCCACAAAATCAAAAAAAGGGGAGTGTGCCATAACTGGTACACTGCAGCAATATGTTCCTTTACGAAGTATGGAATGCTTTGAAACAGTTATTTTGTTTGTTATTGCATAATGCCACTCCACACTTTTCAAACATGGTTTGTGAACTGTCAGAGCATTTAGGAAGCTTGCAACGGATCTTTTTTCGACCTATACTGGCCAATGACTGACTTGGTCCTGGCGAACAGCTGCCGGAGGCACAAATTGACCTGAACCCTTTTTGTCCTGGATATATGATTCAATGCTTCGACGTTGTATCTGAGTGTTTATACTTTATCCCCATCTAATAAAGCATTGCACGAATCTCTTTACGAAAGTCAGCAGATACCAGCAGTAGTGCATTCGTATTCTTGGTTTTATGAACCCTTTGGTATAGGGACCAGGCGTTGGTCATGGTAAGGTCCAGGAAACGGTAAAACATCCGAACCTATTATCTTTTGCTACATAGTTGTCACAACTGGCCTGATCTTATAGAGACTGTCGTGGTTCACATGATCGTGGAACCATTTTCGAGTTGTCGTTGAAGTAAATAAATCGTATGATGTTTACAGGCACAGTTTTGGTGGTACGAGTTTGTTTACAGGCATTGTGTCTTTTATTATAGGTGTTCCTTACCCACCACTTCAATGATTCGTTACTCTTGGAAGATGTACTAATGACATGAATGAAAACGAGACCAATAAATTGCTGGATATCAGTCCTTTTGATGTGAAATGGAATGATAGTATCTTTCTGCACAATGTAGAGACTAGTTTGGCTTGCAATTTCTTCAAAAAATTCATTGGAAAATATTTTAAATAAGAACTGTACCGGACTATAAAGATCTAGAAACTCTGCTGGCAAAATCTTCGTCACCCGTAAAGCAGAGTTTCTGCTCATTTAGGCCCAGATTTTTTTTTTTTCCAATGTAGATTCAATTTCTACTTGGCTTGATTACGTCCTGATGGTCTAGGATTAAAGGATGGTCCTGGCTGAGGTAAGGTTTCAGAAGGAGCTGGTAGTTGGGAAGTACTACTGGAATTCTCAATACTTTTAATAATGGTGTCAATTTCCACTCCATCAACCTCTTCAAAATCATTGACTTCCATTGGTACTTCCAAATCCAGAACAAAATCAGGATCTGCGATGCTGTCGTCATCATCGTCGAATCTATCTTCACTCTTTGCATAATCAAAGAGGAACTGCTCCATTTCCTCTTCTCTTAGACCTCTGGAAGCCCTCCTGTCAAAAGAATGAAAAAGTGCTCAATGTATGACATTAGGTATACCTAGTAACACAATGTTCCAGAACAGGTACAAACACAAAATGGCAATTATTTTCAAAAATTATGGAAAATTATTCAATAACTACAATGAATATCAATAAACATGCACTTACCTAACTGATTTATACCACAAACACACACTTTTTACAGTATATATATTTTTCGTCGATTTTCAATATTTTAAAACAAACTTATTTCACGTCACCGGGAATCAGACGGATTCACATTCGTTTGTGTTGAAAAAGCACCATCTCTGGAGTATGAACTGTACTAATTATTAAAGCGTGGTATGTTCCGAAGTGGGCACTTTGTTTTATAAGTGAAAAACTCATTTGCTTTAGATTTTATAAGGAATAATTTGGTATGTGCCAGTAATGTCCCACGGTGATATAAAGGGTTAATAGGTTAATGATTGAGTCTATTTAATGTGTATTTTCTGTTATTATTGTTTAGTTAATAACACAAGCTTGCGATGGTTTTTGCCTAAAAACTGATTAGCAATTTGCATAGGTATTAGGTAAAAAGATATGGAAAAAATTAATTAAAAATTCCAGCAAGTAAATTTTCTAAGTAAAAAGTTAAATTTCACAGTCCTGTGTAATTTGTTATAGTAATTAAATAAATTAAGAATATAAAATATAATAAAAAAACATTTAACACAAATAATTAATATGGTTTTATAATCAAAAGGCAAATACCAGACACCTGTCAATTATTTACAGCCGTTTTACTCAGTAATATTTGGTATAGTACATTTGAGTGTACTTATATAAAGTTGTGGGTTCTAATAGATAGTTAAAAAATAAAAATAAGATAACTTTTTCATATAAGATAATAGTTGCCAAGTCATATATGTACTTAAATCAAATAGATACATAAATAATATTTACAGTTCAAATATTCATTCATAATAACATTATTATTAACAAAAAAATATATTTTTATTTTTCAGAAGCAAAAATCACAGAAGACACTTTAAAATTAGATAATATCTCATATAATGACAGTGCATTACCAAATGATGGTACGACCGAGAGGCCTTGTTGCCAAGATGAAATGAAAAACAAATGAAATAGTAGATTTTTTAATAAGATTAGAACCAAATGTAGGATATAATTATTTATAAAACATTATTATTTAATAAAAATTATTTATTAGTGCCCTATTTTAAAAATATTAAAGTTAATAACTCACCTAACCAAACCATACATTTTATATTCTACTTCCTCCTTGATATTTGGCAGACATTCTACATGCATGGAGTGGTAAGGACCACACACCATACATAATTTTTTTCTTACATATTTACCTACACAACCATAACATTCATCAATTCCAACATCAACAACAACAAACCTATGTATGACTGAGGCTGAGCCTATTGCTATTTGTCTATAATAGTATTGAACTAACACTCAATATTTTTAATATCCCTTTCTCTGTGATAATTTCTGATACTTTAGAAGTTATCCTTCTTTTGGCATGTTTGGAAAAAAATATGAGAGTAAAATTTTTACGATGCGAATTCGCACCTGCAGCCAAAAAGCGACATGATGAAGTTAGCTGCATTCATTTTACAAACGGAGTTATGAAATTCGCGATGAAATCTTAACTTTTTTTTGTTCTGTTACACCAAAGAAGTATAACTTCTTACATACGTACATAAGCACACACTTTTTTTTGTTTCAAGCAACCATTGACCTCTATCTTAAAAACCATATAAAAACTGTGTGTGCTATTATTAATACTTTTCCTTTGCATAAAATCTTAAAACCAGTTGACAAACCTTTAAAATTAGTAGCTTTAAAATTTTACTCTATTACTCTTAGATATTGTAGCTTTTAACTTCAAAGTTGACTCACCTGCTTAAATTTTATAGATACCGTTTTCATTTTTAAACCTATACTAATATTATAAAGAGGTAAAGTTTATGACATTGTATGGGGGGCTCAGTAGTGCCCGGCAGTCCAGCCGTGCGTAAAGCCAAGCAACGCACAGGGAGGTAGCCCTCTTCGGTGGGCAGTGTACCATGCGGGTTGCTCCTGGTATTTCTCTGATAGCAGAGTGGACCTTGGAGCTGTCGTCGGGGCGTCGTAGTTGAATGCGTAAGCGATCCTGCGACGACCCATAAGACGGGGGAAGGTTTTAGTGGGTAGTACTGGCTTTATTACGCCGGTGAGTCCCACACCTCGTGCGTAAATGCATTTCCCAACGCGACGTTAAGAAAAAAAAAGAGGGTAATCTCTGGATCTACTGAACTTAAGATGAAATTTGGTAAGAAGATATAAGGTTGGTATAAGCTTTTCTGATTAAAATAATATGTACCGATGAAAAGAAATATTTTTGTTCTTTTTAGTTTGCTTTCGTAAATCGTTTTTACAGCTTGGAACTGCACATTTCGCCATGATTACATAAATGTAAATAAATACGGACGAAAGAAACAATCAGCGCGCATGTCTTTTCGTGACTAATAGCTCGTCGGCCGTCGGGAGTCGGCGTCGCCCTTGCCATTTCGAGACTGTTCATACTCGTGCTTACAGTTCATACTTGCTAGCGCGCGCTCTATACATTATATTATATATTCTAAAGGTACAATTCTTTCGTCAGATAATGATTAATGAACCAATAGCGCTAGCCGCTAACGAGTAGTTAAACCACCGTTAAAAGTACCTCAGAAACCGGGCAGCCTGTAAATAGTAATCAGTGTTGCCCATTTGGCATTTTTTGAACCCTGTTGGCATGAAATATTTGTCCTTAGCATATTGCATATTTTAGCATTTTTCGAAATTTATGTACTAGTGATAACAACTCTTGCTATAGGATTAACAAATTGTTCACATCTCCGTTATATATTTAGTCTATGGAAGAGATTGAACTAAAACCGGAGTTAGCATTTAACTTCTTTGGCCACTTCTATTCTTTCTTTGTCGCATTCTATTGCTTAGGTAGAACGAGTATTCAGCCAAATGAATGTTGTCAAAACAAAATGAAAAATGAAAAACACTGAACTCGATTCTACACATCAGAAACGACCTTAAAAGATCAGGAAAATGTCATCATTCCTATAACGTTCCCGATGATGTATTAAAATTTAAACAGATAAGAGGGGTTAAAGAGTCGCTTGTGATGCGAATGACTATTGATTTTGAAGATAGCCCATCAACATCACAAGCACAGACGAAGCCGATATTGATGATTTACAAATATAATTTAATTATCCGAATTGATTAAATTTACCTTATTTTTTAATTACACTACCTACTTACAATTATCTTCATTTATGAATCATTTAAACAAGAATTAGTAGTTGGCATTTTTTTTAGCATATTAAAGTGTGGTCTAGCACTTTTTTAGCATTATCGTCGCAAAAATCTAGCATTATTTCCCTATACAAAATGGCAGCACTGATAGTAATCTGATTCTGTAGTTCTTACTTCTTAAGTTCTTACTAGTCTGTGAATAGCATAGAGTTAAAACTTAAAACTTAAAAGTGTAGTCTGTGCAATATCTATTTAAAAAAAGGTACATGATAAAATTTTTGAAATTCCAAATTATTCTAATAAACGATAACAACAACATTTTATTTAACGAATTTCTGTTTTATATTTTTTTCGACACGTACCTATACTAAATTTGATATCAAAGAATTAGTTCTATGAGTATGCACCCGGTACGCCACTATTAAGACCTGAATTGTTGAAATAAAGATCTGCTATTTGGAGTATCTAATTAAATTAAGAATTTGTATAAGTTTATCGAAACAACCCATAGAGTATATTGCTACATATAAAAAACAACCACTACAATTGTTTAAAAATTTATTTTAAAATGACACATATTTTAGAAGTATTAATAAACGCTTCGGAAAAAGCTGCTATTGTAGCCAGATCTTGCTGCGAACATTCTAATACTGAAACATTGGTTGTAGCCGAAAAATGTGAAACAGAAGCGAATATTCGGTTTGAAAAAGATTTTAAAACAATTGCAGACGTTTTAGCACAGGAGGCAGCTAAATCTGTCATAATCTCGCATTTTTCTGAACTTTCAAATCATGTCAGAGGCGAGGAATCTCCTGAGATTGGGGGCATATCCATTACCCTGCAAGATGACCCAGAAAAGACTTCTGAAATGCTTCAGAATTTATTGCCTTTATCCATGGCAAAAAAAATGGCTGCAGCAGCACATAGTAAAATCAGTTATAATGTAGATTTACCATCCAATCTCCCTTTTATTGATCCTGCTGATCTAGGTGTATGGATTGACCCAATTGGTAAGAATTTTAAAGTTGAATCTTTTATATGGTACTTTATAGTGTGAAAACTGAAAACTAAACATACTTAATTTGAAGATATTTTATATTTAAATATTATATTTAAATTATCATAATGTTGTATAGATGGCACAGCAGAATTTATATCCGGAGTGAAAGAAGATGCCTTACCAGGTCATGGTCTCCCATGTGTGACTGTATTAATTGGAGCATACTTGAGAAGTTCTGGAAAACCAATTGTAGGAGTTATTAACCAACCATTTTATGACAAGTATCTATATTTATTTATACATTATGAAATGTTTTTTTTAAATATAACTTGCATTGTTCATCATAGAATAGTATAGTAGATGTCAAGGATTGGAAAGATTTCTATGAAACTTTATCTTTTGTATAGATAACAAATAAAAATATTGCCAAGTTTCATACTAATCTTTAAATTGATTCTGAAGATCCATGACTTGAGATAGAACTTTTTGAAATTTGATGCTACTTTACGATGAGAGTAATATTTATGTTTGCTAGTGCCTAGTGTAATGTGTTTAAATAAAGTTAAGTAAGTAGTTAAAGAACTTTTCAAATCGGATTAGTAGTTACTGAGATTAGCACATTCAACCAAACAAACAAACTCTGCCTCTTTATAGTATTAGTATAGATATATTAAATAAATCTTAAAATTAGCACCTATTTATGTAAAAAGATCCTTAATATATTTTAGTATTGTGTAAATTAACATTTCTTGTTCAGATTTGATGTATAATATTATATCTATGAAGAAAATTGTTAATGTTTTAGTGGAAAAGGCCGGATTATTTGGGGCATTTGTCATGATAATGTCAGTGTGTTTTCTGAAAATGATCAGATGACATCAGAAGATAAAATGGTCCTGATGAGTGGATCAGAAAAATTGGAAATTATAAATAAATTCAAATCTTCTGGGTGGCTAGTAAAATATGTTCCTGGTGCTGGCCATAAGTTAATGAAAGTGGCTTTAGGTAAATAATATTGTAATTGTCTGGTATCAATATTAAATATGAACCATAAAAAAAAATTCAATATGGTACTCTATTTTTGTACTCTAATATTAAAAATGAAAATTACATGTGCATATAAATTATTAATTATTGAAATTATATATATATATATATATATATATATATATATATATATATATATATATATTTATCTCTAATATGTATTTAAAATTATGTTTAAGGAGAGGCATCGGCATACATTGTTTCACAAGGAACCACATTTCGATGGGATACATGTTCACCACACTCTATTATTCTCGCAAAGGGAGGTAACATAGTAAGTTACAAGAGCCATACTGAACTTACATACAATGATGAAAAAGATCTTGATACTAAACACTATTGTAATAAGGATGGAATAATAGCATATTCGAGTGAAGAAATCTTGAATGAAATAAAAAATATACTTTCTCAGGATACCAGTTCGTAAAACAAGTATAAAATCTACTTTTATCAGTTATTTTGTAATAATAATAATAAGTTATTAGATGTCCTAGTTATTAAAAAGTATTGTTTTATGCTTTACATTTTCACTTTTAAGTACTAAAGCTTTTATTGTTAGTTAAACGATGTATAAAAATAAAATTTAAAGAATATAAAAAAAAAGAAACATTTTAAATTTGATACCTATTTAAATATATTTAATTATAATATTTAAAGTTTAGTATTTAAAAATACTACACATCATGTACCTGTGTAATTGATCTCATTAATCAAAATGCATTTTTTTAATAATTCATTTTAATCATTATAAAATAGAATCTTTGCTGTTTAGATATATGTCATGCTCTTAAGAAGAATGGGTTACATTTTTCAGATTAAGTTATGCAGGGCTACAACATTTTTCTATCGTATTCTTTTAGGCAATTGCAAAGGCTTATTTTTATTTACATTTCAAAATCCCTTTAAGTTTATATGTTTTTATTAAATTCAAAGTTAGTGACGCATCTGATCTGACCCATATACTAATGGATCGAGATCCAGCTGTAAGATTGCTACGTTAATAGGGGATTTAATCAAAACCAAATTTTTATTTACAATAATTAAAGGGACAATATGTTTTGACTGGGGTGCCTATTAAAATGTGCCCGCTAGTATGTTTAATTAAATAAATAATAATTGACTTTGGAACAAAAACAATGCATTTGTTATTAAAATATCAGCCATGAACATTGAAACGTAACAAAATATGACCTGCTTACACCTGGCTGTGGCACATTTTAATAGGCACCCCGGTCAAAACATATTGTCCCTTTTACTATTATATATAAAAAATTGATTTTGATTAAAAACGCTATGAACATAGCAATCTTGCAGCGCGATCTTAGTCCATAAACTTATGTTGATAAAAAATATGACTTATAATTTTATTAATGAATTCATCTTAATCATTAAGTTGAATGAGATCTACTTCTTTTCTTTTTCTTTTTGCTCTTCTTGTCTTTATGCTTTTTCTTTTTCTCCTTTTGTTCTTTTTCTGTTTTTACTTGCTACAAGACAAAAATATAATTAATATAGATTTGTATTAGCTTAGCATAAATAGAAAAATGTAATTCCATTTTTTCTTAACATGATAGAGTAAAGAGAAAATTCACGCTTATACCTTATTGTATTAAGATGATATTTGATATTTATTATGTATACTTAGAAATATATTTAGAAATATACAATATATTACTTTATGTTATATTTTCAAAATAAATGGTTTATTGGTTATACAACTTTTTTTTGTGAAAGTATAATTTTACCAGACAACATGTTATATTTTTGTTAGTTTAAGCTCACATTTATTTCTGTTGCTTGTTGTGGTGAAATAATCGGTGCACACCCCTCTATCCTAATTGAAGCAGTCACTTCATCTATTTTACTCATGTCAGCATTTGGAGCCCTATATTGTTCACAGTGATCAACACGAATGGTTCTACCTAAAATCTGTCAAAATAATATTGTTTTTCTGAAACCATGTTCACATTTCAACATTATTTTTATTATTATTATATTATCCATAAAACAATTATAAATATTGTAAGAATAAATATTATTTTTACCTTAATTCCATTAAGGTTATCTACAGAAAGGATAGTGGATCTTTGATCCTCATAACAAATAAAGGCAAATCCTCTTGATTTGCCTGTAGCTTTATCCCTTACTAAATTAATGTTAACTATTTCGCCGTATTGTGAGAAAACGCATATGATATCACCTTCTGTTAAATCATAAGGCAGGCCTCCAACGAAAATCCATGCACTGTCTTTGTATTGATCATGCCAGGAACTTTTCGAATTTCCCGCAAGTTCTCTTTCACTTAGCTTTAATACATTCTTAACATTGCTGTAAGGTAATACAAATTACAAAGTCAACAAATATAACCAATAAAGAGAAGTAGAATAAAAATAACCTACGTCATGGGATTCATTTTTGAGGCTTCTCAAGTTTCAACAATAACTAGTCGGTTTAATTTATTATCGTTGAGGCATTTAAAATTTAAATGCTGTACGAGCAACCCAATCTTACAAAAATACAAACAAAAACATAACCTCATAGTCACAGATAAATAATAAACAATTACAATACGTTTAATGTGACAACCACAGATGATTAAGTAACGCTGTGTATAGAGTATAGACCATGGATGGATGTAACGTCAACGAATAGGTTTTATTGCACTCTCATCCGGACGAGGCCTTTCCGTCGAACACTAGGCCGCTACATAACAGTCGTTGATTTACCCGACCAATAAACCTCAAAATACCGGGTTTATCCCGCCGGCGCCAACCACGAGCGTCGAGCAGAATAACCGAAAATAGTTTTTTTTAAGTAATTAATCCATGTTTCATATAAAATAAAAGAAAGTGCTAATGTTAGAAAAAAAACTTATTGTGATCAGTTCTCAATTAAATAGCTTTAAATTGTTGAATTATACAAAAAATAATTAAAATATCAAATTAATCAATTTCTGCTACTTGGCAGTTCACTTAGCAGAGTCAGAAGAAGACCATAATTTCGTTCGCAACTTTTGAATACTGGGCTGGAATTTCACGATACCTCCTGGTCTACTAACCTTCCCGCACGGCTAATATTGTAAGAAGAGTATCTGTTCAATGACTTTCAATGAGCTGTTTTAAATTTTAATATCTTTTTAATCACTATTATGATAATTTTGAAAGCTTTATTAAAATACCCGCTTTTGCCCCACTCAATGCAAATTCCCGACAAAATTCCCCGCCATCAAAAAATCGTCTAAAATTACTAGCTTTTCGGGTAATTACCCGCCAATTGGCAGCGTTGGTGGCAACAAAAGTACTTGACCATTTGAGTAAACTAAACTGAGAACTTGATGTGATTGCTGTCAAAGGAGAAACGGGAACGAATGCTATGCTCCGTTGGAGAAAGTGTGACTAGTGAAGAGAATTTACCGGTAAAATATACATTTTACTTATTTTACCAACTTGGAGTCGGTAATTTACCGGATAATTAACCAAAATAGTTTTTTGTCTCATGGTGGGGTTGATACGTGGTTGAGAATATGTATAGAGCAGGCTAATAAGAATTTAGCTTATATACACCATATATATATTAATTAAAAAAACAAAAAGTTGTAAATTATTAAAAAATAATTATTATGTCAATTAATATTAATAATAATTAATTAAAAAGCTCTTCAAATACCCAGCTTATATGTATAATTTTGTCAATATTTCAGATACTAACTTTGGCAATATCAATAAATCATGAGTTTCGTAGCGCGACTTTCCAAGATCGAATCTTGTGCATCTCTAGCTTTTTTTTTCGAACGTGAGCGAAATTTATTTTATACATTAATCAAGACAATCATTGGAGCCAGTTACATAAAATGTACGCTTTTCAAAATAATAACATTCGTTAGAATTTATTCGTTAAACAAAATGCCTTCAATCGTAATTTTTAATATTAAAAATTACAAAACACATTCTAATTTCGTAAATTTCACGGAAAGATGAATGTAATAATTATATCAATATTTTCTTAGTACTTATTTATTCTTTGAGGAAAACTAAAAATGATCAAGTGACTACTAATTTTTCAGAATCATATTATTTGTTATTATCATTGAATTCAATAACCAACACTGAATAAATTTATTTAAATATTTTAAAACATAAATGTAACACAAAATAGATTATTATTATTGTTATAAGTTAAATTTTTCTAATTAATGACGAAATTTAGCATAGAACTTATTACCGATTGTTTTTAATTAATAATGCGTATTTAAAGATACTCAAATAATGATGTATCAATTTTTTTTATTGAGATCAATAACTATCGATATACAGTAAGAAAAACAATTTATTTACTTATATTTATTAAACTAACATAAATAAAAAAGGTTTGAAAAGTACAAACCATGAAAATAAGTATCGAAGCGTTACAAAAAAATGTTGACTTTTTGGTAAATTATATGTAACAAGAAGTTAAAAATTAATAATTGTCAGCTTAAATTCAACAAAATAATATAAAAAAAATTTTTTGCCGCTTGGGTTAATTGTCCTTTCAAAATATATTTTACCGGTTAAATAGCCAAATATTTTACTAGCCAGCAAATGGATATTTGTCCGTTCGAAACTCTAAGTGTGACATTCTAATTTTAGTCATATTTTCACGATCTATGCTTTCTCATTATAGTTCGTTTCAACGAATAGTACCTATGGCGTTATGTTGGCCTCCCTCTCTGTCAAAGTCTTTGGCACGAGAAGACGCTCCCGCAGATTTTGTTTATTTTCATTTGATTTTGGACTGAAATTATGCCCAAAACATTAAAAAGTGGTGAAAGAATGATGGTGTTAAAGGTGAAGAACTTTTGTGAACGTGAAAAACGTAATAATGCACCATTAATTCCTTTAAGATGTGTTCAGGCTCGTGTTACCGCCATTACAGGTCAGTTAAATAGGGTTACCAGTAGCAGATAGAGAAATTATAATTTCCACACTTTAACCGCAATTTTTTTTAAACGGTAGTTATTTGTAAGATTTACGCAAGCATGTGTACTGCGACTATTATTGGTTTATGTATGACGTTGACAATAGATAAATAAATCAAAATATTTGTTTTAGGTGTGTCCGAAAAAACCGTGTCTAAAATCACCAAAGAAGGTGAGGTCGCTGCCAGCACGTCGACTAAGGTTTCAACACCACGCAAAAGCGGTCCCCGGCCTAAAAAAATCGAACTGGATGACTTCGAACGGTGTGCTATTAGGCATAAAATACATGAATTTTATTCCGTAAAAAAGGAATTACCTACTCTTACAAAGTTATTGCATGAAATGCGAAGCGAGATAGGTTTCAAAGGAAGTCGTACCACTTTGTGGAGAATAATGAAAGATATCGGGTTTTATTTTAAAAAATGTAGATCCAAAAGAAAAGTCCTAATGGAGAGATACGATATTGTCGCCTGGCGTTATCGATACCTGGAAGAATTACGAAATAATCGTCTCGGAAACCAGCGCCCAGTTGTATATTTGGACGAGACATATATACACGCAACATATTGCGCCGGAAAATGTTGGCAAAGCGAACAAGAAGAAGGTGTATTATCATCAGACTCTAAAGGGCCACGTTGGATTATCGTCCACGCGGGTGGTGCTATGGGTTTCATACCCAATGCTCAACTGATCTTCAGATCTCAGTCACAAGCGGCCGATTATCACGACGATATGAATAAAACGAATTTTAATAAGTGGCTTAGTGAAAAGCTTATACCAAATCTGCCTCCCCAATCAATTGTGGTGATGGATAACGCCTCCTACCACACAGTACAACTTAACAAAGCACCAACAATGTCAAGCAGAAAGGCAGAAATGCAAAATTGGATATCAAGTAATGGTCTTTCTTACTTGCCAACTATGGTAAAAGCCCAGCTATTTCAAATAATAAAAGAGCACAAACAGCCGCCCGTTTATGAAGCCGATATAATGTTGGAAGCGCATGGACATAAAGTGGTAAGGCTTCCACCTTACCACTGTGATTTAAACCCAATAGAGCTGATATGGAGTGTCGTAAAAAGACAAATTGCTGAAAAAAACATAGGTCAAGAAGCAAATAAAATCGTCCAAATCACAGAAGAAGCCTTTGCAACGATCACCGAAGAAGAATGGAGAAAAGAATGTGAGCATGTGAAAAAAGTGGAAGAAAAATATTACGCCGATGGCCCAGTTATTGATAGCGAGATGGAGAGGTTCATAATTGAAGTGGGAGACGATAGCGACACTTCTGATGACGAGGATGATGAGGAAGATGAAGTTGACGACGATCTCTCGGGAATAAGTCCGTTGGATGAGCATTTTTTGATTGATCACAATTATAATAAAAAATATTAAATAATTTATGCTTTTTTTACTTTTCTGATTTTTAAAATGATAATTGAATAATTTATAATGAAACAACTTTTACTGATTTTATCGCCATAGTAAAGTAGCGGCGTAAAAGTTGTTTTATTATAATGAGTGAAATTCGCGTAAACATTAGAAAACAGAAATCGAATAATTTGTAAATATATAAGAATCTAACTAAAAAAACATACTTGAAATTACCCTTACTTTGAGGTGGGTTATTATAGATAATGTGACAGCACTGGAAAACATCGCTGCCAACATAACGCCATAGGAACTATTCGTTGAAACGAACTATAGTATATTCTAATTTTAGCAAGTTGATATTAAGTGCTATTTCGTGTATTTACTAAAAGATACGTACAAAACATAGTTAATGGTACAAACTTGTTCTCTATTACATAAACAGTCACATATTAATTTCTAGACGAATCAGACAGAAAAAAAATTCATTACTGACGTTGACAAAGTCAAACGAATAAATAACAACAGATGTTTATATCCTAGATAATAAAATTATATATTTCAATTTTACTGTAGCTGTACTAGTTTCTAATATATCCAAACAAATCTATTTATTCGTATCATTTTCGTAAAACAATAATTGTATACATAGTTTCAACGTTTCAAGTAAATAAATCTGTTTATTATGGCCACTCCGACGTCGGAAACAACGGACCAGTTTGACCAAGTTAGTTAAAATTTTATGTAAATTACTAATTTTTAAAATAATATTTTAACATTACATGTATTTATATTTATTTGTACAGTTTGATGATGAAGAAGGTGACCAGCAATTAGGAGCAACGGCATCTGGTAGAAAACGATTATTTAGTAAGGAACTGCGCTGTATGATGTATGGATTTGGTGATGACCAAAATCCATACACAGAAAGTGTTGATTTTTTAGAAGATCTTGTTATAGAATTTATTACTGAAACTACTCATAAGTAAGTTAAATTTAAAATACTCAAGTTTGTCATAACATGCAGTAAAGTTTTATTGTTTGGTTATGTTATTTTAATAGAGCAATGGAAGTTGGCAGACCAGGGAGAGTACAAGTGGAGGATATAATATTTTTAGTACGCAAAGATCCTAGAAAGTATGCTAGAGTTAAAGATCTCTTGACTATGAATGAAGAGCTTAAAAAGGCTAGGAAAGCTTTTGATGAAGTCAAATATGTTGGTAAGTTATAGATATTATTTATTTATAATAATGCCTGCTCATTATCTTATACTAAGGCATTAAATTTAATATTGTTTTAGATATTACTATAATATGTTTAAAAACGTGTTATTTGAGTAATGAATTATATATAAATAATATTCGTCATAAACAGTAAAAGATTAATTAACTTAAAATAATATAAGTAACATTTGAGAATGTGTTTTGATATATTTTTTTAACTTATAGAAGACCAACAATAAGTTTGCTGGTCGAACAACATCATGCTCTGAGACTGATGCAAGTAACAAAATTACATATTGACACATCGCTTTTGTGTTTGCACTTTTTTACTAAACAAGAGTACAAATCATTAATATCTTGTTGTGCTTTGTGTTAATTAGACTGCTATAAATCCATTAACTAACCTGTGTACTAAATGAAATTACCCTTACTACCCTTAGTGTTTTATATGTAATTATTTAATTACAAGGTCTTTTCAATAGTTCAAAAATCAAGATACATATTAACAAATAAATATAATATTTTTCTTTTTATGTCATAAGTAACAAAAGTCAGTTATAGTAAATAGGTTTAAATTAAAATAGTTTTAAAATTAAAAACTAAGTATGGTAAGAACAATTATTATTGTGTCCATTTTTTACAAAATAATATTATTATCATAAGATTAATTCATTTTATAAAAACATAAAACAGATAAACACATGCTTTTTAAATGCTTAAAAGATCTTTTGAACCATTGGAACCTTATAAACTAAATGGGATTTTTTTAATATAATCTTGGGTATTATTTTTGCTTAAATGTTTTTTATTGCAATTCTAATTTGATTTAGAATATTAAAATATATGTTACCATTGATTTTATATTAAATAATTTTCTTTTTCAGAATAAAAAGTACAGATTGGAGGCTTGTGATGTAAGTGTTATAATATTTTATAGGAGTTTTTTGTATTAATTGAATTTTTATTAACTTTTTAAGTACTTTTATTAAGTAAACCCTTGTAGGTTTGTTTACATACTTAATTTTAAGCTGCATTTTTGGACATTTTGCTAGGGACTTATAAATAAAATGTGGATATTAATATTGATATACAAAGACTTAATAATGACATATAAGCAAAGCCATATGGTGTGAATGAATAATAAAATCAAACAGAAAATAATCAGCAATGTGCTTTATTTAAATCTGAAAATGGTAATTTTATATAATCTATGGATATAATAAAATCTATACATAATAGAATAATTTAATATATAGTTTAGTTTTAAGAAGGTAAATCTAGTGGTATTATTATTATAAGATACCCACTGAGTGCGGAGTAACTCATCCAAAAATTCTGCCTTGTCAAACGCCTTGCCAAAAATATTACAGAATATTTTTTTTAATTTAAATCCATTTAATTATATATTTAGTGAGGATTTTCAGGATCAGGATATAGGATTATTCATAACATTAAAGTTTAAATTAAGAAATTAATTATCATATTTTTTTGTTTTAGACGAAAATAATTAAGACATGGATGTATTACATCTGCTAATGACTACCTTATAGGACATTCCTAAAACATAAGTTAATAAATAGTTAATTTTAATGTTTAATGTTTTATTTTTGTCCTTATGTGTTAATTACCTTATATGTATATTATTGTCACAATTTCTCTTAAAAAAATCTAAAAATTGTACTCTGATCAGAGCCTTATATGTACTTCCCAAGTTATTCTTGCCAGTATTATAAATATGATTGTGTACGTAAACTGGCACTGAAGACAAAAATATAGGAAGGGAACAGGAAGAAAAATTAGTCTATGTATATATAAAAAAATTCTAATTAAGTTGAATCTGTAAATAAAATATTTTTTGGAAAATCTTATTGAAATAGTCATTATTATCGATACAGAAACCGAATCTATAGTTTTTAGATTTTTTCTGTCTGTTTAGGAACGCATCACGAGAAACAGATTGTTATGAAATTTGATATGATAATAGCTGGTTATCCGGGTCAACATCTAGGACACTTTTTACTGCGGGAAAATATCTCTGAGAAATCTATACTAAACGTTAAAACGTACCTAGGGGCGAACCCGAGCGGAGCGAGCATGAGTCACTAGTTACTTTATAAGATTGTAAACGTCACTAAGTCACTAAAATGTGATTTATTTTGTAATATATTTAACATATCTCAAGATACCTATTTTTTATAATAACAATGTAGGTACTCCTGACCAATTTTGGCCACGGCGGCGAAACGGATCAAGAGTAGCCAACTGCGCAGGAGATATTACAGTCCATAAGTGTACGCGCAGATCAGTGCACTATCTTTTCCTTGTACTCAAACTCAAAACTCCGGGACGACGACAATTTGACACTCGCAGCGAGAGATCTGGTGGAGGAGGTTAAACATCACTAACTTCTCAACTCCGGGATGTTACTGAGATTTTATTGACAGAAAAACCCAATAACTAGGCCTAACGGGGGACTCGAACCCAGGACCACGGATTGTGCAGCCGTATATGTTAGCCACTAGACCACCGTGACATTAAGTTGTTAATTTATCTGTTTTAGGCTAACTTTGACTAAAGGAAAATCTTTCATTGCCACGAGAAAACTATAACTAGTAAGCAACAGAAATACATCATCTGTGAAAATTTCAACTGTCTAACTATCACGGTTCATGAGATACAGCCTGGTGATAGACAGACGGACGGACAGCGGAGTCTTAGTAATTGGATCCCGTTTTACCCTTTGGGTACGGAACCCTAAAATCTATTGTTGTATGAGTAACTATGATTTCAAAAGAAAATATAATACAAGGAAGATTAACTGCCTCGGTGGTGTTGTGGTTAGCAAGTACAGCCGCACATCCGGAGGTCCTGGGTTCGAGTCCCGGGTCGGGCCAAGTTTAGTTATTGAGTCTTTCTCTATAGTAAGCCTCAGTAACAGCCCGGAGTTGGGAAGTTGGCGGTGTTTCACCCCCGTGCCTCGGAGAGCACGTAAAGCCGTCGGTCCTGCGCCTTAACTCTCACTGGTCGTGTCGAGTGGTCGTCCCACCAGAATATGAGAGTGACAGGAATAGAGAGTGCACCTGTGTCTGCGCGTACACTTGTGCACTATAATATCTCCTGCGTAGTTGGCTAGTCTCAATGAGATTGGCCGCCGTGGCCGGAATCGGTCGGGAGAACATCATCATCACAAGGAAGATTAACAAGAGCAAACAAAACAGAGTTATAAATAACTTCTAACTGGCTACTTAGAATGACAGTTTAACGTTATCATAATAAACAGTAATGGATAAATTTAAATGAGGGTATTTTCCCATACGGGACATAGAACTGCAATGAGTAAGTAGTGACGTCTCTAAGCAGGTAATATGATCAATATAACGTGTACTATTTATCATGTATTCAGCCCTTTTTTTGACGTCCCACTGCTGGGCACGGGCCTTCCTTCAATACGAGGGCGATTAGGCCATAGTCCACCACGCTGGCCAAGTGCGGGTTGGCGGACTTCACATGTCTTTCGAAAACTTGCTAGGTTCTCTCAGACATGCAGGTTTCCTCACGATGTTTTCCTTCACCGTAAGGCAAGTGGTAATCATGTTAGAAATGATTCACATAGGAAAATATCGGAGGTGCGAGACCTGGGATTTGAACCCGCTTCACTCGGTTTCCCAAGCGAACGCGTTACCACTGGCTACCACTGCCTATATATGACTATTGATCATATTACCTGCTAAATAAACGATGGCGTCGATCCGAGAGCAGCATATTAATCACTTTATTAAAAAAAAATATAAGATAGCCAAATACAAAATAAAATAAATCCCGGTGACTGTAACCGTTTACAAACATGGTAAACAACTTATAAAATTCAAACTGCGAACATCTATCTATTTAAGGACATTGAATACTAATTTATCTATTCTAATATTATAAAAAGGAAAAAAATGTTTTTTTTTGTTTGTTTGTATAGAATAGTTTCTATCCGGGAATTAAGGGGGTGAAAATTATATTGAAAGGTATGGGGAAACTACCTAGGGACAAACCCGCGCAAAGCGGGGGTGAGTTTACTTTGAGAAGGCATTATTTTATTTTATTTTTAAACTTTTTGGGATTAATTTTATAAATTTTATATAAATATCTATAATTTGAGGTAATTTTACTTTCTTCCATAAATGAGGCCATCACACCTGATGAAACCATGTTAATAGTTTGTTGACATCAGTGCCAAGTAAGTCAAACCTTTTATATTACGTTTTAGTAACTTAAGTACTATCTCAATATTATTAGGATTTTTTATAAATAAATTAAAAAAAAAATAACTATATCGAAATTATTGGTAGTGAGATGATTATCTACCGGCCATGGTCGCAGGGCGGCGTTATATACTCGCATAGTAAGTCTATGTATGGCTAATATTCATGAAAGTATATATCAAAACATTCATACACGATCAATTCACTAGAACTAACTAATTTCCGATTTCACCAACATCCCATAAGCTTCCACTTATGTAATGGATCCCTAGCTTTAAAGTTACCCTAAACTAGCCCCTAAATTAAATTTCGTTTTACCATCGTCAGAGCCCGTATTTCTAGTACCTATATTTAGGTGGCATTTTAACATTTAAGTGACCCCTAACTGTCGGTGAAACAGAAACTGTCCCCTAACAGCCCCATAACCATGCTTAGGGGATCCGTTAAACTTAGGTGACGTTGGTGAAATCGGCCATAAGTCTTTCTAATTTACGATCCAATGTCATCATTTTCTTTTTTCTACTAACTACTACTAACCTTTTTTTTTAACGTTGGGAAATGCATTTACGCACGAGGTGTTGGACTCACCGGCAAAGCCACTACTACCCACTAAAACGCAACAAAACCTTCCCCCGTCTTAATGGGGCATCGCAGGATCGCTTACGCATTCAACTACGACGCCTCGACGGCAGGTCTGCCGAGGCAGACCACAATGACCATGGAGTTGCTCCAAAGTCCACTCTGCTATCAGAGAAGTACCAGGAGCAACCCGCATGGTACACCGCCCTCCGAAGAGGGCCACCCCCACCGCCCACCGATGTGGGTCACCTTCCTGTGCGTTTCTTGGCTTCGCGCCCGGCTATATTGCCGGGCACTACTGAGCCCCCCTACCACGACAAGGTGAACGCACGTTGGGGGGGAACTACTACTAACCTAACCTAACCATGCTTAGGGGATCCGTTAAACTTAGGTGACGTTGGTGAAATCGGCCATAAGTCTTTCTAATTTACGATCCAATGTCATCATTTTCTTTTTCACGCTCGTCAGATTTTTGATCTGACCTATAAATGATTACATTTATATATTTCGTGGGCTGTAACCGCAATTAGCGATGCACAAGTTATGAGAATCGATGAAAAGGAAATATCTAAAATTTAAATGATTCATTATACTATTATATTAACAAATATAAATTGTATTGACCGCACATTAATACTCCATTCAGAACACGAATAACGTAAATTCTAACAGTACAGCAGTGATTTACAAAGGTTTATTTATTATACACGACACCTTGTACTTTGTAGTATATCTATGTAAATAATGGATTCTGTTATATACGTATTTTTGTTGTGCACATTTTTTACGGGATTGGAATTAAAACCAGTAAATGAAACAAGATTTACAATACCAAGGCGGATCGAACAAAATCATCGCATATCTCTCATTGGGATAATCGATAGCCAGGGCAAGTAAGTTAATTTTTCATTATTTTCTTTTATAGGTAAATTAAGATTACGTCTATTATTAAAGCTATTAGAATTAGAGAATGTTTTCATAATAGCTCTTAGTTCAGTAAGCAATGGGAAGATATCGAGGTGGGTAAATTAGTTAAATATTTTAATTATAATCGGAAAATTTTCATGTATAGGTAGAAAATTTAAACTCTCGTACCGTATATAATTTTTTTGCCTTATGCAAGGGTCAAACCCGTACCTACTCTCCGTTGCAATGTGCGGTGCCATTCATATAACATCACACGATCAATAGGGTCGTGTATGAATTTTTCGGGTAAATTATAAGATAGTTTAACATAGTAATTATCGATAGATAGCAGCGAAAGCTGTTTTTATTTTATTTTGGTCCTGCCTATATTTCATTTCTGTGCACTAATTTTAAATCTCAATTTCTAGGTTGAGCATCAGTTTGTCAGGAAAAAATACGAACAGTAAAGATGACTGCCAATTAATATTTTCTCCTAGCAAAGGATCAATTGGTGTCTATTCCCAGGGTTCTAAAATAGATCAAATAGAATACAATTACGTCATTGAAAACAAAGGTAAGGGTAATCTTGCATTGCAATAATAAATATACATACATAATACTTGAGTTTTTAGTATATTAATTTCTATTTTCATGTAGAAAGCTATGTATTCACTTGAGTGAATTTCATTTTTTTTTCTTCAGAATATACCACATTTATTCTGGAAATGGATGCCACGCGTATAAACAGCAATAATAAAATTGACGTTATCTTCGAAGCCAATGATGCAGGAACACATATGTTTGATAATACGTGTAAATTTACATCATCGGAGTCCATTGAGTACATAATTGTAAAAGGAAGTGGATATTTAAAGGAATTAAACTTTAAATATGACAACACATATTCAAACAAAAAGAAAACGAATAATCAATAACAATAAGCGCATGCTTTCTTGTTCTATATCATAGACTGAAGATTCTCTTACTGCTAAAATGGGCTATTATTGTAAATTAATTGTGAGCTTTATTATATTTTCTAGTCAAAAAATACTTGAAAAGTGTATTTATATTATTAATAAGTCATAAATGTTAAGTTAGTAATAAGTTAAAATAAAAAAGTAATTATTTATTATATTGTATTTTATTAAAACCATTTAGTATCTATCATTCACCATAGCACTGACACATTTTCTTAAAATCATAGTCCAATCACAAATAAGCTATTGAAACACATTGGGCTGTATGTTTTTACTGTATCTGTATTTGTTACACATTGGCAGTGGTAGCCCAGTGGTAATGAGCTCGCTTGGGAAACCCGAATGAAGTCTGTTCAAATCTCAGGATTTGAACCCGCTTAACTTGGGTTTCCCACCTCTGATATTTTCATGTGCGAATCATTTCCAATATGATTACCACTTTTCTTATGGTGTAGCAAAATATCATAAGAAAATCTGCATATCTGAGAACCTAGCAAGTTTTCGAAAGACATGTGAAGTCCGCCAACCCGCACTTGGCCAGCGTGGTGGACTTTGGCCTGATCTTCCACGTATTTAAGGGAGATTCGTGCCCATCAGTGGGACAACAATTATTACACAAAAAAATACAGCCACAGGATGTAACTTTGAATTAATTTTGAGTTCAGTGTACCTTGTAAATTGTAAGTATCGTGTATACCTATAACTCAGTACATTAGCCTTAGCCCTAATGTTGTTTTTAAATTAGCATTTTTTTAATATATTAATAGGCTTCTGGGGAGGTCCAATATGAATATGAAGTAAAATAATTATTTTAAAGGTTATTTCAAAGTCCGTATAATTTTGATTCATAGAACACGGATACTTTTTATCGAGAATTCATCTATAAAACAGTACATTGTTTACACCTACATATGTGTATATACACCAAATCGCTGGTCTAAAGCATCGCCTTTAATCGCGGCTTACGAGCTGCAAACGCTCTGAAGAAACAATTACGCCTATAAAGCTTTGTTGAAAGAATAAAAACTAATTTTTTTTAGTTTACCGTTTAGTTTGATCAAATTACAATAGACTCAATAATTAATTAAAAAATTAATCACATTAAAATAGCATCACATCTCTTTAATTGTATTTTTTTATGTTAGTGTACTATTTTCGTGTGCAATAAAGTGTTATAAAATAAAATAGAATGAATGTTAACCTAAACAGCGATTGTCTGTTGTGGCTTTAAACCTCTGCACGTCAAGTACCGTAGTAAATAGGTATCCTAAATAAAATAAATTTAAACATTAAATTAGTAAGTAAATGAATGTTAAAAAATAAAAATACGTATTTTTTTCTAATAATTTATTTGTGCGATTATAGAACAGAAAAAGTACAACACAAGGTGGACTTACATAAATATACAGAAAATAATACAACAAAGGTTTCATAATTTATACTTACTCGTATTAAATTTCAATAAAGTAAAATACTTAATACAATGAAAAATAATATAATGTCAAAGTGTAATAATCATAACGCGACGCAAAGCAATGGCATAAACAGGCGGTAGTTTACAAAAGTGACTGTGTCCAAGTTACAATGGCTAAATTACCGTATGAAAAACTCTAAAACTACATCTAGATCACAACATTATTCATAAGGGGGCAAACAATTTTCATGATCAATAATAACATTTAACAATTTATATATCAATTATGTAATATAAAGGTGTATAAGTACTAATAACTTTTATAGGTAAAAACAATGTAACACTCCAGGCGACTAGACCTGCTAAAAACAGCCGAAAGTTTAACCTTTGGTTCATAACTAATTGTAAAACATACTGTAGATTGTATAAATATTAAATAATTTACTTACGTTATAAATAGGCCGTCGATGGCAGTGATATATGAATTCTAAGTTAAGGCAACAAAAGCAAATTCAGTTATTCATAATAACTCTAATAATATGTTGTAAAAGTCCTCCATTGAATTTCAATATCAAATTGGTAACTAAAATTAGCTAGCACGCTTGTTATAATAATGTAAAATATGCAATAATAATGCAAATATTCATATATTTAGATAAGAAACTGTTGGTAAAACTACCCTTATTGGCTATGATAAGCAGAGAAAGCATGTGAAGTGAATCAAAAAACGATATCTCTAACTTTAATACAGGGTAAATTGTTGTTCATTCACAGATAACTTAAAGGCACATAATATTTTTATATTAGGTAATAAGTATTCTAACACATTTTATGAAGTAGCAGCTATACACACATTCGGTTAACACGGTCGAGTTTAAATGGATAAAAATATTTTGTTTATATTTCACTGAAATATTTAAGTAAACATGGCACGCTTTTGTGTCCTTTTTAAGTTTTCTGGTACTTCTGGGACGACTGGGCATATCTCGGCAGCCCGAAGGACGCTTTGGTTTGACCCGCGGCATGCCAGGGCGTGCCGCGTCATGATTGTATCGAAATAAAGTAATATGCATTCTAAACTCATTCAAATAAGACTAAAAAAACTTGATCAGAAATAAAATCCTTTACCGTGCCGTGCCACGACGTAAGTCAGCACCGGCCTTTAGTCTACAATACAGTAGGTAAATATGTATATAATGCGTTTATCAGACACGGTAGCTATATTGGTCTCGCTACCAGACTTTATTGCGTGCCGACCCGAATATGTATAGAGCTGTGATATACAAATTAACTGCTTACGAAAGTATACCGGTTAGAACGGATTAGTGAAGATTTTAGGCGCTTCTGCATAGATTTTACTATTCTTTTGCCCGATTTCACCAACATCCCATAAGCTACCACCTACGTATGGGATCCCTAGCTTAAAAGTTCCCCTTAAAACTAGCCCCTAAATTAAATTTTGTTCTACCATTGTCAGAGTCCGTATTTCTAGTAACAATACTTAGGTGGCATTTTAACATTTAGGTGACCCCTAACTGTCAGTGAAACAGAAACTGTCCCTTAACAGCCCCCTAACCATGCTTAGGGGATCCCTTAAACTTAGGTGACGTTGGTGCAATCGGCCATTTATCTTTTTAAAACTTAGATGAGCCTTATTTATTTAGCGTTTAAAATCTTTTCACATTCAGATTAATCTATCTCTAAGTCACAAGATTGACTTTCAAAAAATAGACCGTGACACTTTTTCTATAATAACCGGTACTCATATAAAAACACTGGAAACACTTAAAAATGGAAAGACGATTTGAGCCCACGAATTCCAGATATATCAACTAGAAAAGGTACGACGTTGATAAATACAGGAACTAAATTATAGTAAGAAGACACTCAAAATATTCAACGACAAAATATTCTTCCATTTATCATAACGTCAATAAAGTTGTAACATTCAAAAAACTGATGTATATCTAGAAGCTAGTTTTTTATAATGTATAAATAAGACGTATCTAATATCTATGCTAAATCCTAACAGGAAATGTAAGGCAAGTGGACCTGTAACCTCAACTAACTTTATCTACCAATAAATACCATTTTCTAATGAATTATTTATTATGTACTTCGAAACTAGGGGATTTAAGAATGTAAATGTAGATATATAATAAGATTAATTCATATTTAGATCAAAAACCTCAGGTGAGGAAGTAAACCACAGGTGACATCAACTTTTTTTTTGTAAATACCAAAACCGTTGAAATCGATTCTTCTTTTATAAGTACCGGAAAATTCGAATTGAAATCGATTTTCCTTTTGTAAATAAAAAAAAAATCTTCCGCAGTATGTCTATATATTCTATGAGTTAAATATATTATTATTGTTGTCCTTATTAATTTAGTTTTTTTTTCATTCGACAAATTAAAGAATAAATAACATACAAACGTGACCAAACATGACTTTTTCATTTTTTCACACTTAGATAAATGTATAATAATACCTAATAATAGTATGTCACATATTATTTCAAATCAAAGCCTTCATATATGGTATTATGAACATTTGTTTACGATTCATAAGAATTTTGCATTTTGCATTCACAACAGTTCCACATTTAGCGGGTAATATTAAATAAAATTAAATATAAGGCCTTAAATTATTGTTACATGTTTCGATTTTCAGAACTCGATAATCGATTTATACGCATAATAAATTTATCAAAATGATTTTACCATTGTTGTGTAAAATTGCGAACAGTTCTTATAAACATACTTGTATCAGTTCATTGCATAATTTGACCTTTCAATTTAATTTTAAATATAACATTATAGGCCTATTAAGGCAAAAAATTAAAATAATGAATCGCTAGTAGATTCGAATATAAGAACATCAATTAAAAGAGAAATGTGTAAAATATTTTAAATGCGTATAATTCGATGTTTAAATCGATTATATTAATCGGATGGTGGTGCCAGAGCAGTGATGATGGCCTTCATGACGGCGGCGGCCGCGAGCGCGGCGTGCGGCTGCCACTCCTTGCCTCTTGTACCATCACGGTAATCCGAAATACCTAGTAAAGTTTATATACACATTTACATACATGTTACTGTAAAAGTTACACAACGCATGTTAACTGCCTCGGTAGTGTAGTGGCTAGCATGTACGGCTGCACACCCGGAGGTCCTGGGTTCGAGTCCCGGGTCCCGGGTAGGATGGACGGAACGCGTGCGAATTTAGGTATTTACTTCGTATTATAAAAACAAATATGTACACATTTTAAAAATGTAACGTGTGAAAAATCTAAATAAAATAATTATCAGTGGAAACGATTATTAAAATTCCTTTTGTATGTAAAGTATTCATTCGCCAGGAATAGGATGTAAAATTATAAAAAACTAAATCTTCTAAAATGTAATTAATAATAAAGAACAGATATTAAAAAATATAAAAGTAAAGAAAACAGCTAAACCTACGTTTACGTAAATAAACAAATATCTTGGAACATAAACACACAGCAGTCAGCACCATCTAGTTCCATGGTAAGCTACGAGGCTTGTATTATGGATACCAGATAGTTGATACACTACACATATATAACTTTAAATACATACATATTATAAATATACAACTCGGTTCAACTCGGTCGCGTGACGTTCAACAGGTCACATCGTTTTAATAGACTCTAACGAATAAGTACATGAAAAAGTTATTTAAAGTGAATAAAGAACTACATACTTTGTGTGAAAGTGAAGTTTTAAAGTTAATCTAGCTAGTGAAATAAAAATAAGCCGCAGTGCTATCCAATATTACACAAAAACTAAAAAATAAAAGTGCAATAACAGCTGTTTATGTGAATAATAACTTTACTCGTCGGTAGACATAAATAAAATGTACACCGAAAAACAACATAATTAATAGAACAGAAATTTCGCAGTCTTAATTAACGATTCGTTAGCCTAGCGTTGTAAGACGCACAGGTTATATTCGACGCTCCTTGGTTCAATCCTCGCATTACCAACAAAAAATATTTTTCTATTTTATCTTATAAGCGTTCTGGAGTTAGAATTAAATTTACAAACATGCCTATCACTTGTGAAGCTTGCAAAGAAAACATAAATGTAACGCAAAAGCGAATTAAATGCACGATCTGCTTTTCTACCTATCATTCGGAATGTGTAAAATATGGAGAGAACTCGGCTATCCGAGCTAGTTGGAAATGTCCTAATTGTATAGTATCTCAATGCAAAAGCCACAACACTAACACGCCTCTTCCACCAGAGAAAAAACAACAGATTAAAAATCAACGAATTAATGATACCCATACGATTGCATCTCAGTCTACACAGGACATTACACCATCAAACACATTAAATTGCTCAAATCTCATTCGGTCACTTGAAGAAATGCTGGACAACAAATTAAAGATTGTAAAAGAAGAACTTATCGAACAACTAAAGGCAACTATTTTTCTGGAACTTAAAAATGAAATATTAGCACTTACCAGTTATACTTCTCAGCTTCAAGAATCTTACAATAATATACAATTAGAAAATGACAATATAAAGAAAGACTTAGAGTTGCTTCAAAACCGCGTCAGTACAGCAGAAACTCAAGTACTGGAACTCCGTTCCCAAATAGGAAAACAACAACAAATTGCTAGACTAAATAATCTAGAGGTGTTAGGATTACCACAGATTAGTAACGAATGTCCAACTGACTTAATAATTAAAATTGCCAAACATGCAGGCGTAAACCTCGAAGAAAAAGACATTGAATTTGCACACCGTGTCCAACCCTTCACAAAAGTGCAGGGAAGACCAAAACCAATAGTAACTAAATTAAAAGACCGCAAGCACAAAGATGCAATATTATCTGGTTTACGAAGACAGAAGGGTGTAAACACTTCGGATATTGGTTTAGGAGGAAAAGACAAACGGATATATGTGAATGAACACCTAACACCGGAAAACAAGTTGCTATTTAAGAGAGCTAAAGTTATAGCTAAACAAAATGCTTTTAAATTCGTATGGGTTAGAAACTGCAATATTTTTTTAAGGAAAAACGAGGAGTCGCCAGTCATATACATCAATTGCGACAAAGATTTAAGCAAAATTACTTAGAACTTCACAGAAAATTGATTCTCATAGTATTTTTTATAAAACTTATTTTCTTCTTTTTTGTTAAATTAGATATCTATAAAAGCTATTCACAAGGTGTACCACACAAAACCCCTTACTCCCTTTCACACACACACAACTTCCTACAATTCATTCAAAATCAATCACACATCAACCTACCACTCACACACAAAACATCTTGCTCTCTCATTTTCTGCTCATGGGATTGCACGAACATTTTGGCATCCTCTACCTCATATTACAATAATTGTTTATTCTATTTTCTTACTCAAATATTCATTATAAATGGCGACTAAATCTATTGAAATGCTTTACCAAAATACTCGAGGATTACGAACCAAAACACAACAATTTAAACAAAACATACTAAATAATGAATTTGATTTAATATTAATTACAGAATCCTGGCTATGTCAGAGTATTTATAATGGTGAAATATGCGATGATAGATATGACATCTTTAGATGTGATCGACACAAAGGCACATCCCTGAAGGAAACGGGCGGAGGAGTTATGCTATGTGTATTGAAAAAATTTAAAGCACAACATAAACAGGATTGGATGTGTAATGGCGTGGAATCATTATGGATAACTTTACCCCTTAATAAAATGAATAGCTACGAAAATGAAAATAAATATTCATATTGGTTTGTTCTACGCCCCACCAGACAAGATGTTGCCCAGTAGGTTGGAAGCAATAACTGCTTGCATTGCCCAGGTAATATTGATCCATCCTCACGATCATTTTTTTATAGCAGGTGATTTAAATCTATGTAATACTAGGTGGACTGAAAATGGACCTATACATACAAGCTACAGTTCTGCTTCCTTATTAAATGCGGCCATGGACTTTTTAGATATGTGCAATTTAAATGGACTCAAGCAATATAATAATATACTGAATTCAAACAATAAAATTCTCGACCTTATCCTTGCGAATACACATATTAATGTATCTCATTCCGAGACTCCCCTCGTGATGGAAGATGCACATCACCCATGTCTAGAAATAAGCTTAACAAATCTAAATATACGTACTTTTCGCCACAAACCCATTAGCAAACCTAACTTTTATAAAGGTGATTATGAAAAAATTAATGATCATTTGCTTAATATTAATTGGAACCTAGCCTTACAAGCGCGGACAATAGATGACGTCATGGATACTTTTTACACTATATTATATAATTTAATATCTGAATACATACCTAATAAAAATATTAACTCTTATAAATTTCCAGTGTGGTATACAAAAGCGTTAATTCATATAATCAGGGATAAAAAAAGAACCCATAAACGTTGGAAAACCTATAATAACCCTCGAGATTACGATGAATTTGCTTTGCTTCGAACAAGACAGAAATCTAAGCAAATAGAATGTTTTGAAAAATATACTTTGCAAATGCAAGAATATATCAAAAAAGAACCTAAACTTGTTTTTACATATTTGAACTCATTAAAACACAACAAAAGTAGCTATCCTAATACTCTTACCTACGAGGATAATATTTACACCGAAGAGACCGAAGCTTGCAATGGATTTAGTAGGCATTTTGACAGTGTATTTATGAAACCTGCTTCATCATATAAAGACTTAGATCTACAAACGAATAACGTAAATGATTCGATTTCTGGGTTCATCATAACTGAATGTACTGTTTTGAAACAATTAACAATGCTTAACGTGAGTAAAGGCCCTGGAAGCGATGACATACCGCCTATATTTCTTAAAAAATGTGCAAAAAGCTTAGCTAGACCCCTTACAATTATTTTTAATTTATCTATAAATACTTTTGGTTGCTTTCCTACAAAATGGAAAGAAGCATTAGTAGTTCCAATTCATAAAAGTGGATCAAAATCTTTAATAACAAATTATCGACCTATTTCTATATTAAATGTCATGAGCAAAATATTTGAGAAAATAATACGTGATAAAATTAATTTTAATATTAAAAAATGCATTCCTATCGAACAACATGGATTTATGCAAAGACGCTCTACAGTGTCGAATTTAGGAGTTTTCACTGATTACGTCCTTAAAGTCATGGATGAAAAAGATCAAGTTGACGTAATCTACACTGATTTCGAAAAAGCTTTCGATCGAGTTGATCATGTAATTTTATTGCGTAAACTTGATCTACTGGGTATACATGGAAATCTGTTAAGATGGTTTTCGTCATACGTTAAAAATAGAATGCAGGCAGTTAAAATGGGAAGTGCTAGGAGTAACTTCTTAAATATATCATCGGGAGTACCTCAAGGCTCTATCTTGGGACCTCTTTTATATAACGCATACTTATTTGACATAAGTAACTGCTTTAAGCACTCTCGCTTCCTGATGTTTGCTGATGACAAGAAAATATTCCTCAGAGTTCGTACTATTGAAGATTGCAAAAAAGTACAAGCAGACTTAGATAGGCTAGCTACCTACTATGAGACAAATAGAATAACGATAAATATTAATAAATGTCATCATATTACGTTCACCCGAAAACTTAAACCTATTGACCACACTTACAGTATTAACGGAGCAACAATTGGCAAGGTCTCATCAGTGAAGGATTTAGGTATTACATTAGACCAAAAATTAACATTTAGCGAACATTATGAAATTATAATCAACAAGGCTTATAAACAACTCGGGTTTATTAAGCGTGCAACCTCTAGTTTTAAAAATATAGAATGTATCAAAATGCTTTATTTTGCATACATACGAAGTCTACTAGAATATGCCAGTAGTATTTGGTCACCTTATCATAAATCAGATATTCAGAGAATCGAAAAAATTCAAAATGTATTTGTAAAATACTTACAATTTAAAAATTACAAAAAATTTGATACAGATTGTGATGCATATGAATATTATCATATAGAAACACTCGAAAGTAGACGAGCACAAAGCGATATGAAATTGCTGCACGCAATATTAAACAATAAGACTGATTGCCCTGAACTTCTATCAAACATATCCTTTCAGGTTCCAAAGCAGCGAACGCGCCATACACCCTTGCTATATGTACCTCCTACTAAAACCCAATATGCCAAAAATGCCATCTTAACGCGATCAGTTAAAATTTATAATGAACAATACTCTGATTTGGATATATTTAAGTTATCTGAAGTAGTCTTTAAAAAAGAGATAAAAAAAAGAAGTATAGCCATTAAGTCATAATACGTGAGCAGTCATTGATTTGTTTATTTTAAGTAATAATAATAGAATTTATTATTTGAGCATACACACACAACTTCACACAATACACACACACACACATACACACACACACACAAGCACACACGCACACATACACCTTTATATTTTTACCTTTGCACCAACATAATATATATTATCTTTAGATCTAAAACATCTTTTGAATATCTACATTTTATTTTACCATTTTGATGCCTGTTGTTCATTATTATAGTATTTTTAGTGTAATCTAATTTTGGCCTTATTGTAACTCTCCTTTGTGTACAATGTGCAATCTTAAGTAATACTGTAACGCTGTTTGATTACCAAATAAATAAAATAAAAAATAAATAAATAAATAAATATACCCATGACTGGAGTACAAACATTGGTGCTCATCACACAAATGAATGCCCCCAGCGGGACTCGAACCCGCGACTCTTGGCACAGAAAGTAAGTACTGTTTTATTACTCACGTTGATTGACAAATAGGGAGATGCTCATGGAATTTATTCATATGGCTTGACCTTTTATTAATTTAACCAATATTTTATGAGTTATTTACGGTGTATTTAATCAATTATGAATTATAATAAACTAGAAGGTAGATACTATATAATCAAAGAATAGCATTTTTTTTTAATTAATAAAATTTAACTAGATTAGCTTATTTAGCAGGCATTATAGTGACAAGAAAAACAAACTCGTATAATATTTTATGAAGGTTATAACGTCGAATTTCAGTATTGAAATAATCTAAAAAAGAAATAAATAATTTTATTATTCTACAATAATGAGTTACAACGCTGTTCCTTGCAGGTTCCTTTGTTATGAAGGAGAAGGTGTGGTTTTGTTCTCTCTGTGAAAGAATCCATTTAGCAAAAGAGCCTTGATGATCTAATTTAGACCAGAGTTTGTCAAAGGGCACTTTAAATATTCCCGTGTAAAACTAGCATATTAAAATAATCCACGCAATGCTGCTAAAGTACTAAATAAAAATGTGAATATCATTATCAGTCCATTCCAGTCCACATAGGTCTGACCCAAAGTGTGCAATTGAACACGATCTTTGGCTTTGCACATCAGTTTAATAAGCAGAATATAATGTCCTCATTGAACTGCCTCGGCGGTGTAGTGGTTAGCATGTACGGCTGCACACCCGGAGGTCCTGGGTTCGAGTTCCCGGGTCGGGCCAAGTTTAGTTATTGAGTCTTTCTGTATAGTAAGCCTCAGTGACAGCCCGGAGTTGGGAAGTTGGCGGTGTTTCACCCCCGTGCCTCGGAGAGCACGTAAAGCCGTCGGTCCTGCGCCGACACTCTCACCGGTGGTGTCGAGTGGTCGTCCCACCGGAGTATGAGAGTGATAGGAATAGAGAGTGCACGTTGTGTCTGCGCGTACACTTGAGCACTATAATATCTCCTGCGCAGTTGGCTAATCTCAATGAGATTGGCCGCCGTAGCCGGAATCGGCTAGGAGAACATCAATGTCCTCATGAACAATTTCGGCCACGGTTCAGAATATCACTAACACGGCCATTTGCGCAAGAGATATAGTACGCAGACACAAGTCTCACTTTCAATTCGTTTCACTCTCAAACTCCCGTGGGACGATACTTCAACACGACCAGTGAAAGTCAAGTCGTGTCGGCTTTACGTACTCTACAAGGCACAGGGGTGAAACACCGTCAACTAATCAATTCTGGGTTGCTACTGAGAATTTTATAAAAACTTAAAAACTAAACTCGGACCAATCCGAGTCTCGAGCCCGGGACCTTTGTATCCGCATTGCACATGCTAGCCACTAGACTCCCTAGGTAAAGTAGAAGCAGCGTTGGATTTACACTAGGGGCACTCGGGATTAGTGCCCAGGGCGGCAAATTTTTAGGGGCGGCAAACTTCGGAGGGTAGGAAAAAAAATTCTCTTCGCGTTATCGAAAATGCTTTTTTTATTTTCCAAAAAATGAATAACTAAAAAATATTAACTGCTACCTACTATTTTCGAAATATTGATATCACTTATAGATTATTTTTATGCATTTTTCGAAAAAAATAAATAATTAAAAAAAACAAATTTATCAAAACTTTATGCATTTTATGCAAAATTTCTATAATAGGGCGGCATTTTTATAGTGAAGAGGGGCGGCGCTAAGGTTGAATCCGGCATTGAGTAGAAGTAAACAGTAACACAAACCTCGTATAGAGACGAAGCAGTCCTTGCAGTTGCCGACGACGCTGTCGAGCACGGCGTCCAGCTCGCAGTCGTAGGCGCGCGCGCGCGCGTGCGCGGCGAAGGCGGCGCGCGCCTCGCCCGCGCCCGCCACCTGCCGCCCGCCCGCCACCGGCGCGCAGTGCACGCGCGGGCTGCGGCTGCACTCAGGCATATGCGGAACGTGGATATACTTATTTTTGAACTTAATTTATTATATAGAACAAAAACAAATAAAATATAGTAGTATGTATTATTCTGATGTATGAGCTCTATTATTGTAAAGTTACATCAAAATCCATTCAGTAGTTTTTGCGTGAAAGTTTCCGTCAAAGCTACTGAACAGAGAAAGAATAGATAGATATAGATAGTTTAACAAATGTTTGACGTGATTCTTTAAATTGGTATAACTTTTTTTATTTATGAACCGATTGACATGAAACAAACGCTTATTGTTAAGTGAAGTTTACCACAATATTAGTGAAATATTAGTGAAAACCGCATCTAAATAGGATAAGCCGTTTCTGACATTAGCGTATACAAACGCACAGACAAAAATTCTAACAATCATTGTTTTGGGTGCTATTTGCGTTGATAAAGGTCCCAATAACATTTTTTTCTCATATATCGATCCGTTACATCTTTATTATATGTAATAGATAGCGTTGTACGGATGTCTAACAGTAGCCCCCAGATGTTTAACAGTAGCCTATCTGCTTGTTCAGGTCGTAGTCGATCTATACTGTTTGTAAATTTAATAAAAATCGGACCAGCCGTTTCAGCGTGAATAAATAACTAACACACACGTGCGCACGCACATACACAAAAACATCATACAATCATAAAGTTATCCGCTGACATAAATATAGCAAAATATTTATCAGCACGCCCGCCCGTCATGTTTGTTTTTTAGATATTTTAAAAATATATCACAACATATTAACTAACAGGGACGCGCCTTTACGCAGGGTACGGCTTACGTTAAAGATTCAATTTCTTTTAAGATGTACAATTTTGGTCTTGATCGTTAAAAAAATTATGGAACCCTCATCAATCCGGACTGCGTACATCTACTTTTTGAAATCGGTCAAAAAGCAGTGACTCGCATTTAGAAAGCAGATGATTGACATACATCTTATACTGAGCTCATAAACTATGTAACTAATTTTAAGACGGCGTATTTTTAGCGCTTTTGTATGGGAAAGTATAATTTTATAATTTATTTTTCGCTTTTCAGTTTCTTTTTTCGTTGGTTCAACTTTTTTTTTCTGACTTTTTCAAAGTATTAAGTGTAAACATATTGGAGAAGCCACATACCTAAAGACGGCAATAAAGTTTAAAAAAGAATAAAGTGCATCTCCTTTATGATCTTCTTAGTTCTTGTTTAACCAGACTCACTAGGAAATCCAAATGACATATCACAATGTGGTACCTACTTGAGTATTAGATGAAAATCATAAAATTAAATATTCATTATTTCACTGAAACAATTTGTCATTTTTGACGTCTTAGCTGCCCTTTCCAAACTAAACACACAACTACACTTTCCAAAACGCAAACAATACTCAATTACATGATTTAGCATTTCAGCCAACTATTACCTTATTCGTCAGTTGAATGAACTTACGAATTGTATAACAGATTATTTTCCTTTCTAAATGTTTACCAAAGTTGGTGTAATTAACAAATTAATCATGGAAATGTGTCACGTAACCAAAATTCCTTAAAAAAAATATCCGTACGACCAGTAGTAGACGGTTTTCGATGTTGTGGTAATAAATTAAACAAGTAATATCATGGAATCTTAACACAACACTTTTAAGAAAATAAGTAAATGTAGACTCTATTTATTTCATATTATAACAGTGACTAAAATGAGAAGGTTGCGAGTTTCTAGTAACGCGTGGTTGGCAAACTTTATTTATTTTTTTCTTATATACCTACTAGAGGTTGCTAGGAAACGTTTTATTGAGTTTAAAATACTATGTTTACTCTGTAATGCTTATCTATACTTATTTTAATTTTCACCTCTACAATTTTTAGTAGGTATATATGAAACATTCATCGTTCGTGAGTATCATACTCGCGACCTTCAGTGTAGCAGGCAAAAGCCATGCTACGAGTATATTATGTAATTATAATATTATATTACACACTAATTAAACTTAATATACCTATCTACTATTACATTAAGAGTAGTATGGAGATTTTTTTTTAAATTAAATATAAAAAATCTCGTAGTGAATTTAAAAAGTATGCAGTGTTGTTTACTAAATCATACAATTTCTTTGATCAAAGTCAATACTGGCAAAAATATTTGAATATTTGAAGACCAACCTATAGCAATATACATATCTATATATGCTGCCGAATGATATCTATACATATAATAAAATTACAACTAAGTGTAATGTTTACATATTTTTAATCAATTGTACGTTAATATTATATCAAAGATAAACAATATTTAGACTTATTGTACTTTCATGTTATATAAACAACATTTAGAATAATTATCAAATTACAAGTAATTGTTAACGAGTGTAGAATCCAGAGACTGTTTGTTTACTTTCCCAAATATGTTTACATTTGTATTGGTTTATAATGTCCTCCACCCATAAAGTTAGTAAGTTCTTTGAGTTCCTTGAGTTCCTTCGGACCTCCGAGTCAGCTACAGTATAGTAAGTAATAAAGTTATAATTTAAAGTTATAGTTAACTGTCGTGTGATAAATAACGTGCAACGCTACGCTTCAACGCGACTCGAAATAGCAGACCGGACAAAGAACTCCGCAGTATATCAACTACGAACTCAAGTGAGTAGTATAATTCTTGTTATATTGTGTATTTTTGTATATTATAGGGAATAATAGATTTTTTATATAGAGTTGTGTAGACATTTTTATAGTAAATAGTTAAGAATTTTTAAAGAAAATTATAGAATTTTATACGATTATTTCAGATTATTAAATTGTCTTTGTAGAATCAAGTAAATAATTATTTAAAATGAATAATTCAGAAAATAAAGTTTCTGGTGGATTTATAGACATAAGCCTAGCGGAAAGAATGATAAATAAATACGATGGCGATAAGGCAAATTTACACGTGTTCATAGACAATTGCAATAATGCATTCGCTCTATTGAATCCGGTTTATAAAATAGCATTCGTGTCAGTAGTTCTATCTAAAATTGAAGGAAATATTAGGTCGACATTATTAAACAGGTCTTTTTCGTCATGGGAAAGTTTGAAAGTACATTTACTGGAAAACTATTCGGAAAAAAGTACCTTTGCACAATGGCAACTCGAATTAAATTCATGCAGACAGGGTCAAAACGAATCAATTTCAAAATATTCCAGTAGAGTCGAGAACTGTTATATAAAGTTAATTAAATCTTTAGACTCAAAATTAACGAAAGAAGCTCGCGAAGCAAATATAGAATTATTAAAAAGACAAGCCTTAAACATTTTTATCAGTGGTCTTCTACCACAACTTCATATTTTATTAAAATCTCAAAAACCCTCTACTTTTGAAGATGCTGTCTCGATAGCGATTTCAGAAGAGCAAGAGATTAAATCTAGGCAAGAGATGAGCACTAAACAGTATTATAATAATTCAGGAATCAAAAGATGTACAAATTGTAATAAATTAAATCATTTAGCACATCAATGTAGGCATCCACCAATGATTAGGCATATACAGCCAAACCAAAGAAATAGCAATATAATACTTGTTTTCATTGTCATAAAAAAGGCCACGTAGCTAAAGAATGTTGGAACAATCCGAACGCGAATAATCGTAATAATAATCGTTATAACTACCAACCCTCTCAGAATAATCGTTTTAATCGTCCGAGCAATAGTTGGAATACTCATAATAATAGGCAAATAAATAATAATAGGAGCAACGAAAATGAACATTTAAACTCAAACGGTCCGAGGCCCGCGGCCAACCCGAGGACCACAAAATTAATCCAGGCCGAATAAGGTTTATAGATACGCGCATTTCGTCTTATGTATATTTAGAGTCGGATAGTATATTAGAGGATAGAAATAGGTTTTTAATCGATACAGGGGCAGAGGTAATATTAATAAAAATAACGTCGTTAGAAGGAGAAACATTAATATATGAATATAAGAAAATCAAACTAAAAGGAATCGATAAGGAAGCTAACCCAACCGAAACAATCGGTTGTACCTATTTAACATTCAATATAGGAGATAAAAGAGTTTATCAGAGACTTCACGTGGTACCTGATAGCTTTCCTATTAAATGTAATGGCGTCATAGGTAGCGATTTCTTGTCAAAAACGGACTCGATAATAAGTTATAAAGAAAATAAAATAAGAATATGTGGTATAGAAATGAATATTGAACATGAAGACATTTTTGTAAGTAAAGATTTAAAAGGGAATATGAATAAAAAAGGTATACAAGATAATATTTATGATGAAGGAAATAAAAGTGATGATATGTGTTATGAAGATTTAGGAAGTAATGTTTTCGAAAGCGATTGTGAAGTTTATCCACAAGTATTAAAAAATGAAAGAAATATTGGAAATGAAGTATGTAAGGAAAATATTAGATAGCGTTGTACGGATGTCTAACAGTAGCCCCCAGGTGTTTAACAGTAGCCTAGATAGGATGCTTGTTCAGGTCGTAGTCAATCTATACTGTTTGTAAATGTAATAAAAATCGGACCAGCCGTTTCAGCGTGAATAAATAACTAACACACACATACACACACGTGCGCACGCACATACACAAAAACATCATACAATCATAAAGTTATCCGCTGACAAAAATATAGCAAAATATTTATCAGCACGCCCGCCCGTCATGTTTGTTTTTTAGATATTTTAAAAATATATCACAACATATTAACTAACAGGGACGCGCCTTTACGCAGGGTACGGCTTACGTTAAAGATTCAATTTCTTTTAAGATGTACAATTTTGGTTTTGATCGTTAAAAAAATTATGGAACCCTCATCAATCCGGACTGAGTACATCTACTTTTTGAAATCGGTCAAAAAGCAGTGACTCGCATTTAGAAAGCAGATGATTGACATAGATCTTATACTGAGCTCATAAACTATGTAACTAATTTTAAGACGGCGTATTTTTAGCGCTTTTGTATGGGAAAGTATAATTTTATAATTTATTTTTCGCTTTTCAGTTTCTTTTTTCGTTGGTTCAACTTTTTTTTTCTGACTTTTTCAAAGTATTAAGTGTAAACATATTGGAGAAGCCACATACCTAAAGACGGCAATAAAGTTTAAAAAAGAATAAAGTGCATCTCCTTTATGATCTTCTTAGTTCTTGTTTAACCAGACTCACTAGGAAATCCAAATGACATATCACAATGTGGTACCTACTTGAGTATTAGATGAAAATCATAAAATTAAATATTCATTATTTCACTGAAACATTTTGTCATTTTTGACGTCTTAGCTGCCCTTTCCAAACTACACACACACAACTACACTTTCCAAAACGCAAACAATACTCAATTACATGATTTAGCATTTCAGCCAACTATTACCTTATTCGTCAGTTGAATGAACTTACGAATTGTATAACAGATTATTTTCCTTTCTAAATGTTTACCAAAGTTGGTGTAATTAACAAATTAATCATGGAAATGTGTCACGTAACCAAAATTCCTTAAAAAAATATCCGTACGACCAGTAGTAGACGGTTTTCGATGTTGTGGTAATAAATTAAACAAGTAATATCATGGAATCTTAACACAACACTTTTAAGAAAATAAGTAAATGTAGACTCTATTTATTTCATATTATAACAGTGACTAAAATGGGAAGGTTGCGAGTTTTTAGTAACGCGTGGTTGCCAAACTTTATTTATTTTTTCATTTTTTCTTATATATCTACTAGAGGTTGCTAGGAAACGTTTTATTGAGTTTAAAATACTATGTTAACTCTGTAATGCTTATCTATACTTATTTTAATTTTCACCTCTACAATTTTTAGTAGGTATATATGAAACATTCATCGTTCGTGAGTAGGTATCATACTCGCGACCTTCAGTGTAGCAGGCAAAAGCCATGCTACGAGTATATTATGTAATTATAATATTATATTACACACTAATTAAACTTAATATACCTATCTACTATTACATTAAGAGTAGTATGGAGATTTTTTTTTAAATTAAATATAAATAATCTCGTAGTGAATTTAAAAAGTATGCAGTGTTGTTTACTAAATCATACAATTTCTTTGATCAAAGTCAATACTGGCAAAAATATTTGAATATTTGAAGACCAACCTATAGCAATATACATATCTATATATGCTGCCAAATAATATTTATACATATAATAAAATTACAACTAAGCAGAATCTGTACATTAGATATTTTTTGGAAAATCTTATTAAAATAGCCATTATTATCGATATATAGGCCGAATTTATAGTTTTTAGAATTTTTATCTGTCTATTACCGCATCACAGAAAAACCACTGGAGGGATTTCGATGAAATTTGGTATGATGATAGTTGGTTATCCGGGTCAATATATGTACTTTGTAATGCGTGAAAACATCTCATCTCTGAGAAATCTATACTAAACATTAAAACGTAAGTAGGGACGAACCCGAGCGGAACGAGGGTGAGTCGCTAGTATAATAATAAAATAAGAATCCTCACGTTTCATCTCCCTGTGGGGTGGGATGGGACACCTCTATGAAGGCGCCGCCGCCGACGTCGACGCACAGGCGGTCTGTCGCTTCTTCCGGTACTTCCCATCTTCCCGGAACTCCCCGCAAACGTTCTAGGCCTGTATACAATATAAACAAAAGCTTTTGTTGTATATCTAAAATATTTTAAAAGGTTAAAAAGGCACTTTGATATTTAAAAAAAAATCACTTTGGTGGCTAATTAGGTTTTGAAAATATTCCTTGCATACTAATAATACTTATTTGATGCAAATGTGTCAACTGAGTACTGTATCACGATTTTAATTTAATTGCAATCGCTTAAGCCTAATTTAAATTCCTATCAATCTTAAGGAAACCGGTCGGTACATAATAATAAAGCTTATTCATTAATCAGTTTGTACTTCTAGCATTCCATGAACATAGTTCCAGGAAAAGTTCTATTTTAATACTATCATACATACATACATATATGTATAAATAAATGATAAATACGCCTTATGGCGTACGTGCAATGATAACGTTAGGGGGAAATTTTTATGACAGAGCTAGGGAAATCTTAACGTAGGTAAGTAAATGGTTCATAGAGACATAATATGCTAGACAATTTTATTGAACTACTAGGTACTTTTCGCATTGGTAACATTAACGCGCTTAAATAATATATTCTAACATGATTTGCCATGTGAAAGAGATATTTCCCCGCGGTAAAATGTAGTTTATGTCAATCTCCAGGTTCCCTACGGGCTACAGGTTACAACCTACATACAAATCACATGACACAATAATCCGTCACCGCGTTTTGATGCAAACGAAGGACAAGTAAACAACCAAACACTTTTATACATACATTCACTGTAATACCTTCGCGTAATCTTGTTCAAAATATATTTAAAAAAGATGCTAATTGATTGAAAAAAAAATAATAATTGACGATTGGAGAACTAATAATAAATTTTATTTAGAAAAAAAAAATGGTTTGTTAAAGTCTAGTTTCCATAATTGTTTTATCGTTAGGAATGACAAAGGGCACATTTACCTTCATTAACATATGTAGTCCATGAATTCGACGAGCCGGCGACACGGACAGCGATATCTTGCAAGAGATAATCAGCCGGCTTGTATGGCTTAACTTCATAGTCCCAACCACCTTTGTCGTTACGTTCTGCCTTCTCACAGAAAATGTATACGTACCTGAATATATAGAATTTAAGTATTTCATTGCTATAATGAATTATAAACTTCACTTATAAAATATATGAATTTATATGTATGTATATGGAAATTATAAACAAAGAGATTCCAACATATTTGAAAATATATAATGAAGAAATACGTAGAATTGCAGATGTCGTACCTTAGTTACGCATAATTACAAAAAATGCTCTAAAAGATAAAATTCTTGTGTTTGTGTGTGTGTGTGTGTGAATGTGTTTGTTTGTAATAATGTATTTAGCAGCATTTACTAAATATACATTCGATTAAATTTGCGATGAAACTTTTGTTAATTCAGTTATTATGGAGGTTACTACACCCATGAAGGTTTCTGCCTTATGGCAGTCTTATGACTATCAATATACCACAAGTAGCGCACAAATCGTGCGTGACAATTTTGTTCTCAATACCAATTCAAACATTAAGAAGGGAATAGTAATTGAAATGTACGAGTATCTATACTATAATAAAACAATAAAGGTCGAATGTCTGTACATAGCAATGGGGATGTAAGAAGACAAATAGAACAAATCCAGGTTTTTTTCAATTTTTTTGTTTCTCTGTCTGTTTGTACGGGCTAATCTCCGAATCTATTGGACCGATTTAAATGAAATTTTGCATGGTGGTGGACCTTACATCCCCGGGCAACATCTTAGATACTTTTTATCCCGGAAAATTAAATAATTCCCGTGCACCTAATTTAGTAAAATTTAACATTCTGATGAACCTTATATTGCCGGTCAAACAACAGGTTACTTTTCATCCCTGAAAAATGAACGGTTCCCGTGGGAACTAATAGATCTCTATTAGGGTCTTTCTAGGCTAGTACATAAATAAATGTGTATCTGGCCTGGCTGTAACTGGGACAGATGGCTAAAACTTCATAAAACATTGGTCGGCGATCGATCTTATAATTTATTACGTAGACTTGCGACTCACTCTCATTTTGCTCGGGTTCGTCCCTAGATACGTTTTAACGGTTAGTATGGAATAGATAAACTATATATTTTATGATACATAGCCTATATATCATAAAATATATAGTTGCTAATTTAACTAATACAAAAATATTTTTTCAAATCGGATTAGTAATTCCTGAGATCAGCGCGTTTGAATGACCAAAAACCTCTGCCTCTTTATAATGTTAGTATAGATGTTTAATAAAAATAAGCCAACTAAAAAGATGGGCAATAGTTGATGAAGGAACACAGTATTATGTATTTAGAGACAGACATACATACGTGTTCTTATACATATGTATATACGATTGCACAATTACCTATCAAACAACCTTCATGTTCTCAGACTAAACCCAGATTTCTGTTACCAATTCAAATTTTATTTTACCTCTTAACAGATATAATAAAAACAGAATAATTTTACTTAGGTATATTGATTTCAAAAACATCAACATTACCAAAGCAAAAGAATTGCGTAAATACAAAAAAAAAGTTTCTACTTTAGATGCACCGTCACTATTATTTTATGGGTAGAATCTATAAAATGAATTAGATACCTACCATAAGATTACGTCATAATAAAAAAATATTGTCACTGACATGACTATGCAAAGTATTAGAGTTTACACATAAGATTAATACTCAACACAAAATATCCCCAATATTTTTCCATACTGAAATGAAAATGGCGCCTAAAATTTGTGATTAATTATAATAATATTCGAACAGTATTCCCAGAATGATAAATAGGCGCATATCCAAATGACACGAAAGAATATACCTTAAATGGAGGTATTTTCCCACAACCGACACAAAAATGAATGAGTAAGTAATGACGTCTCTGGACAGGTAATAATATGATGAACAGTACAAAGTTCACATGATTATACCTACCTCCCCTTATGGGGTCAATGTTAATTTAAAAGGTCAGGAATATTGCGTTTGGAGAGTGTTTATTAACTTTTACATGCGTCTACGTTTATGAGGTGCGATGATATAATTAATGAATGTTATGTTGTTCCATTACAAAAAAAAAAAAGATATGGTTCAGTACTTTTAGAGATAAACCTTATAAACAAAACCTGTTAGTAATAAGTAGCCTATTTTATAGAAAGTAAAAATGTATCAATATCAAATATTGATTCACGATATTATAACAATAGGATATGTATTTCGGAGCTTTTCTTATGATTTGTTTCAATTTTGATACATCAATAGAAAGTCGAACTACACAAAAATACAACACATGCGATAGAATATAATAAAAACAAATTTGTATTTAGTTTTCAGTTGAAGTTGACCTTGATTTAACTGAAACTATAAATGGACTCTCGATGCTTGCTACGAAGATCAGTTACGACTCTCAACATACCTTTGAGTCTAGCTTCAGTCAAACAATTCACCTGGCTACAAATATAGCTTTAAAAAAAATTTATGGAGTAAAGAATACTATAAAGAAATTGTAATCTTACAACTATATAAATGTGAAAGTTTGGATGGATGGATGTTTGTTACTCAATCATGCCAGAACGGCAGAAGATCTGGATGAAAGGCCCAGAGATAGCATGGAATAGGACATAACCACATTAGCTAATTTTTATCCTGGAAAAATGTACGGTTCCCGTGGGATAGATTCGGTTTTATTTTTCACGTACAATGTAGTATAAAAAATGGCATACTGGCAGTAAAAAATGTTCCTACATAACTGGAATAACGTACCCTATTTAAACGAGGTTCCGTTGGGTTTTAATGGCTAATATTGGCTTTTACAGATGGTAAGTCAGTTTTACAGTAAAAAAACCGGCTGTTAACAAATACGTATGATTGTCTCCAACTGCATAATACTGTTTCTTCGTCAACTTGTTCATGTTAGGGTTTGATTTATTTTTATATATATATATTTTTTATTTACAGCATATTTTGGCCAGTTACACATTTTTAGTTTTATTTAACAATTTATTTTTAAACTAATAAGTTGTTTATATTTTTATAATCGTTACATAAAAATCTACATTTTTATACCCCACATGATAGGTTTGGATGTTTTTTCAAGAAACACAAATTGCCGTCATTTTGAATTTTAATAATATCTGTATACCCAACGGCACTCGCTTTATCCAAACGAATCTAACGATGTATGAATTGTTAAAATCGGTTGAGCCGTTGAGTAATTACGAGGTATATAGGATTGGGCATACATACATACACAAATTACCCTCCTTTGGATTTGGCCGCAGTCAGGCAAAAACCAGGTACTTTAGATTAACATTTCTTCGAAGAATTATGTTTATGAGTTTGTAATACAAAATAAAATGTAATTTAATCAGGAAGAGAATTAAAAATGGCGATGCCGGGGCGGGTCACTATTTTATAAAATATCGTAAAATGTTGTAAACATATGATGCACATATGAGAAATGCACTTAACCGCATTATTATAAGAAATATTTAAGGTAATATTTAATAATTAAATTAATTGCAATAAGGTAATATTGAATTAAGAAAATAATTTATTTAATTTTAACCCTTTAGCGAATCTACGAACTTCCTCCAAATTCTTGAAACAAATAAGTACTGAGAACTATATGGAGTGACTGATAATTAATTCCATGCAAAGTAAGTCAAGGTTATACATGTATGTATGTATATTGTATATACATACGATGTCAATACGTTTAATATTCTTAATGACAAATCACTTATCTCACTTACTTATCTATTAGAAAGATAAAAATAAAGGATATGCATTAGAACCTATAAGTATCGCGGTTTTAAAACAACTCGCGTCGATACAATAACAAATAAACCAAAAAAAATTGTGCCATTAACTCCAATTCGTTTTCGAATCAGAAATATCATAGTGTATTTACTCTTCGGTTATTTAATTATATTGTGTCGTTGTAAGTATGATGTTAACATTGTAAGTATTTACTGTACTACTCCAGACTTGAGTTATAAAGATAGTTTATTAGACATTTGTAATAGCGTCGCGTGTGTAATAATTGTATATAGTAGGTAGGTTTATTATGAAATATAATATAGTGACCATGAAATTTATACTACATTAAAACCAAAAATGTGTGACTTTTAATAGCTATGCATACTTAATTACTTACTTATCTTGAAGGTCTGAAGCGGGCGTCGAAACGACAACGTCTCCAAGTCTCACGTGTTTCGAGTAGTCGGTGTAATGCGGGACCCCACCGCCGACGCCCACTAGAAACACGTAATCCACCTACAAGGTATACATAAAAATATAGTTAAATATTATAGGCTATTGACCAGGCTCCATTGAACCTTCAAATATTTTTGACAATATCATAGATATATTGCCCATTCAAAAATTTCATTTCGTTCAAACTTGAAACAAAACAATCACAAATTATAGCTCGGCAAATGCCAGAAATTATAGACAATAAATCCTCCACAGCAGCGGCATTTAAAAATAATCTAATATAATTTTTTTCATTCGACTCTTAAATAATCATAATCTGTATGGAATTCGTAAGCAACTGGCGAGATATTTCCGGAGTATTACGAATTGAACATTCGTATCGATATGAGTTCTAAACTATCCGAGTATGCCTGTAGCACTCTCCTACGTGTGTATACACTATACGAACTAGAATAAGCGGCCAAGGACTTACTAAATATATTTACATCACACGGCTAAAAGATTTGAAACAGCTATGTCCTAATTAAGAAACTATTCCTAAAGAATATAGTAAAATGTGAACATTTATTCACATTACCAGACTTAGTAAATATATTCTATAGATACAAATAATGCTTCACAGGTGGTAAATATATCCCTGTTATCAGATGTTAAAGTAGATCAAGTTTATTTGGTGTTTTTTATATTGTTCGCTAAATTTAAGCAAATAATGTAATATTTTTAGAAGGTGTAGATAGATATCTATACATCATATGTTAGCTTATAGGTATATATATAATTCCAGTATATTTTGGTAAAATACCAACCACACTCGCACAAACACCATATTTGAATATTGTTTTTCCGGCTGCGCATTAAAAAATAAACCAGTCTTAAGCAAGAGGATTGTCATAAATAGTAGGTTAAGACAATCTTATATATAAAATTACTTTTTTTTCACACTGACGTGACTAGTACCTGCTCACTTTAAACGTTGGTCCATTATATAGAACCAGTTAGTTACCCTCAGCACGAGGGTTAATAGTAAGTTACCATTTTTTTAATTTTTTTATTTACATTTTATTTATTAGAAAGATCGACACACACCATCGACTTATCATAATGACACTATAATTATTGTAACATATACAATATACGTGCAATTCGGTATGATTCGCCTTTACAGGTGTATACAGAAATCTACTTACAATAAGAGGAGTATAAAAAATAATTACGTATACATTAAAGACATTCAAGTTAGTAAAGATGATGTAAGTACGTTATAATGATGTCTTCCTAAGCTTTCAGCCAGGGGCCACTACGGCTAATCTCAGTTAGACTAGCCTTCGAAACGGGAAATGATATAGCATGTGCTTTCAAACACAAAAGCACACTATCTTCTTTACTCTCATAGTACAATATGACGATAAGCCGACACGATCGCAAAAGCGATACGCGTGCTTTAAGTCACGGGCAGGGCCGTCTTAAGTCATACGATGGCTCCTGGGCACACAACAATATAGAGTCCTTAGAAAGTTTTTAAGCAGCGCACGCCGAAAAAGCAAATTAAAAGGCCAGTTTATTTTCAACTTTATCGGAATTAAACGCCTATAGCTAACTCAGCTGTAAAGTAACTTCCTATTAGTTAAAGAATTTTCAGGATCGGATCAGTAGTTTCAGAGATCATCCCCTACATACAAACTTATAAGCTTTACGTCTTTATATTAAGTATAGATTTATAGAATAACTAGTAAAAATTTTTATTCAGCATTGGTACCATAATATATAGTAATATTGTTTACCTTTTGGAAAATGCCAAGAAGTCTTGTGGTCGTATTACCAGCGGCGGTCATAGCTTCCCGCGTTCGCCCAACCGACGGCAACTTAGTAGCGACAACTCTATGAGAACCAATCGTACCCAATGTATAAACATTAGATTCACCTGTGAAACAAGACAGAGATATTTTACGTTACGTTTGTCTATTGTCTACTATTAGAATAACGAGACTTAAAGCGTATATAGATGTTTAAAATGGTTATGCGCCATTTGCTTTTTATTCAATTTTATTTTTATTTAAATTTGCTTACACATCTAAAGATTTATTTATAGTATTGTCAAAAAAAAGTTTTTTAATTATGTAATAAATTTTGCTTCCTTTTATTGAATTAAAATATGACAAAATTACATGATATTGTCTATAAAATGCCTTAAAAATATTTTAAATAAAGTTATCAATCAAGTCTATTAGAAGATGATATAAAAATTAAAAATCCATTAATATACGAGTATTTATAATGATTGATAATTAATATTATTTTAAATGCACATGGAGCAATATGGACATTTCGAGCTGCAAAAGGAAATAATACAGTACAATAGAACAAACGTGCCTTACACGCTGTTGTGATTCATTTCTTATTATATTAATAAATACAAACTATATAACCAACCACTAGTAAATCATTTAGACCATGTACCACACAGTTAAATATTATCAAAAATTTAAGTTTAATACTCCACCAAGTAAATAGCACGGTTGTGAATGTGAACCAGAAAAGTTAAAAAATGGATTATTATTTGTACTATATATCTATATTGTGTGTTGTTGTTGCGAAAACCGAAATGAAGACCATTACAAAAAATATAACGAAAATTGATCAACAAAAGTAAGTTATTTACATATCTATACAGATAAATAAAATTGAAGTGTCTGTTTGTTATATTAAAATAACAGCGTTTTACTAAATGCATACGAAATTATATATGGTACTTATAAGAAAAACATGTTTTTTTTTAATTTTTGACTGTCTGATGGACTTTCACTGGAAGATGGGTGATGTTATAGGGAGTAACATAGGCTACTTTTATTTTAGAATAAGAATTAGGGTTCCGCTCAAAAAAATTAAAACGTACCTAGGAACGAACCCGAGCGTAGCGAGGGTGAGTCGCTAGTACATAATAAGTATATGAAAAGTTTCTTATAAATGACGGCTAGAATTACTACAAATGCAGTAACGAATGAAATGTCTAATTTAAATTAAACCAAATTATCTAAAGAATAAATTATTGTACAAAAGTATAAGTATACTTAACAGGTAGAAATGTACTATATAAAATTCATTATTTTTGGGATTATGAAAGCAAAATTAATAAATAGCAAGCAATAAGCGAATAAAATGGTTAAAAATGCTTCCTCAGAATATCTTCAAAATTTGAGATTTTTTCATCTGTAAGATAATAATGTCTAACTGTAAGTTATTCAAATAATTTAGATAATTGTCTTGTACTAAATTTATATAAAATTATTATAAATATAAATACGGCTATCAAAATGGAGTTAGTGACAAAATTTCTATAAGTAGTAGTAATAATTTATTTGTCTGTACATAATAATCTTTTAATAATATCCGATTAAAAATATAAACCTAATAATGTGCATATTTCATAGCATTTTTTTCATTTAATCAGTGAAATGATTCACTTCCAAAACGGTTAAGTTTCCGTGTTCAAAGGGTCCGAATGGAAACCTGTTCGTAACCTACGCTGTCCGTTCTACCTTCAAAGGTCACAAGATCTTTACATCATAATTGGCATATAGTATTATATATCGTATAGATACATATATTGTAGATTTAAAAAAAAAACAGACGTTTTTGATTAACTGTTATGTTTGGCACTCGTCAGAACAAATAAAATCAACTAAAACTCGAAGATTTTACTAGAAGCCATTAAAGAAATCTATTATCCAGCTTCTGGCTCCACGATCAGATTGATGGTAGATCAGATTGATGATAGCAAATAGATGTCATTCGTAGTAACATACTAAGCTTCAAATATCGATATATTGATGAATGAATTTTATTCATGTTGCATGTGTTACAAATGCTGCTAATTTTTATGCACAAATGTTAACCATAAACGTAGTATATACATTATTTTCGTTCTAGTCTCTATTGTATACGCTTAGAAGGCACAGATCATAGAATCTGGGCAAGTGTAAGTTAGATTCACACTAGAGATTTTAGACAATTAGTTGTTGTCCTTGGCAAACATGTGTCCTGTGACAGGCGGAGACTACTCAAGAGTTTTGTTTTTCCAAATGATGTACAAAATCCCAAAAATAAGACCTTGTAATAGTTGCAGAATAAATAAATGGCAATTTATATTTTCAGTTCAAGCTATTCGGTATCACGCTCGCTTGATTGATGATGATTTCACGGGCTCAGATAAACTTTACAAAAATAGCCAAAAGAGAATTTATAAATTACTTGATTACGAGCCTACGTAATAAATGTATAGTATTTATAATATAATGATCTAGTCTACCGTTAGAATATTGTATTGAAATAATATTACAAAGCATGTAAGAATATATTTATGACTAAGAAAAAGTAGCTCCTTAAATACGTCAACTCCTCAACTATCAATTCACGTTTAAGAACTTCCAATTAAAGTCACGTAGCTATACCACAAACTGTTCGAACAATCTGGCACAGTCATACGCTTGGTAATAGAATGGTTTACAGTTATCAGGTAATGCTAGGAAATAGGAATACTCAATAGCTTTTAAACAATCAATCAAGTGATAAAATTGTAAGTGTGTAAGCATTTTTGGCCACGACTTCGTTAATGAGTTATTTCGGGCAAACCTGTTTATTGGTCTTGTGTCTTTTTCTTCGTCAATATTGTAAATCAATTTTCATGATTTTTTTTAATCATATGTTATATCTACAGGCACTACTCTGTGCCTTGTACATAATATTATAAATTTCAAAAAACCTTAAGGTAGAATTACTTTTTTGTCGGTGTTTTCAGTTAAAGTAATTAATCTTTACATAGTATAAAATGAAGTCGCTTCCGCTGTCTGTTCGCTTAGATCTTTTGAACTACTCAACGGATTTTAATGCAGTTTTCAGCAATAGACAGAGTGATTCAAGAGGAACATTTATATGTATATCACATGTATATTGTAGTACAGAAAAGCCGAGAAATTCAAAGATTGGTATTTCATACTAACCGTTAAAACGTACCTAGGGATGTATCCGAGCGTAACGAGGGTGAGCCGCTAGTATAAATATAATAAGGAGAAAGATTTTGACCATTTTATTTTAAACATTTTAGTGTATAAAATGTTTCGTAGGTACTATTAATCAACAATCAAAAACCAAGTAAAAATTCTTGATATTAACGACAATTTACATTATAATGAGATTAACATTCCTATTCTGTTACATAACACAAACATCTATACGACCTTTTGTCGTATACGAACATGGCATATTAAAATAATAAACTATGAAAAAGATATAATTTATAATACTCAAACTACATATATATACAACAGAGTTTTAAGTATTTAACTTTAGAATTCATATCAGTTGCAAGAGCGCACTGACGTCTCGCAAGTGTAAGTCGTAACTCCGGTTAGTGGTTACCGGTACGATATAATAGTGGTTATAATCTTATAGGTGTGTATTGTGTCTCCGATCTCTGTATACCGTTTGGCGTTTAGTAAGCGTGTTTGTTTTCGACATTACGTCATCCCCGTCAATGCAACATTCCATCTGTAAATCTTCATTCATAGGTAGTTTATAAAAAAAGTTCGGTGGAAACTGACGCGTGATCTTAATCTTATTTTAACAATAAATAAACAAAATGCTTAAATCTTGTTTCGAGTGTATATCGGGGTAAGAATGTCATGTAAATTAAGTGATTAAGATGTTATGTGTAAAATAAAGTGATTAACACGTTATATGTACATAGGTATATAAAATAAATAAATCTTGTAATTGTATGCTTTTTACACGATTGCCTAAAAAGACGTGTTTAGTTCCAAATGTATATGCTTTTAAGGTCATAATGTTATAGGTAACTTTTTAGTGACATATTTCTACTTCGTACACAAAATATATCGATTTTTGTACTGTATGATAATAAGTGTCAATGTCAAATTATTATTTGAGCTGTCAAACTTTAAGGTGAAGGTGAACGCTTAGCTTAAGAAAATAGTGAGATTAAAAGATTTTTTTTTATATACATCCTAATTATTATGAATTAAAGCCATGCATAAATTCTGAAACAATGTTTATATTTTTATATAACGAATGTAGATGTAGATTGAATATTAAAAATACTCATCAAGCATAGGTAGCATACGAAATAATTAGATTGATTATACATAATATTGAATATACAAAATAATAGTATTCAGCCTTGTGGCAGAACACTTTTTGATTTTTCCTTAATTTATTGGACATATTGTGATAAATGAAGTGACGTATGGTATATCAATTTATTATTATAACATACATACTTTAAATAAATTTTAGTGGTCGATTGGAAAATGAGGTTTATGGAACTAGTATAAACGGATTAACACAGAGACCAGCGTGGCCGCAACCGCGACAAAACGAAAAAATGTTTCGGTTGCCAAGAGCCCTCAATGTGGATGATAAAGTTATTGTGAAAGGAGAATTAACTGAAAATATGCAGAGGTATGTTTTAGTTTTGCTTTATATCAAGAATTTGATTATTTTAATACGTTATTGACATTAATAATTAAAAACCTATGACATGGAATTAAATCTTATTAATTTATAGTGAAACTTATAATAAAACTCACAATAAGTTCTAGATAATTTAAGAATTTGTTACAAAATGACTCATTACAACATATTACTAACTGATCTCTATTTGCAAAAAATTTATAAAAATGACTAAGATATTATTAATTTAAATAAATATATAATTATAAAGTGTCATAATTATTAGTATGAATAAAAATGTGTTTATTGATTATTATTAAAAAATCTATATAATATTATATTAATTACAGGTTATCTTTAGGCTTAACTAGAGGCACTGTTGAGCCAGATATTGAAAATATTGCATTCTATATGAATATTGACAAGGAAACAGATAAAATTTACATTGGTAGCAAAGAGAATGGGATTAATACATCAGCAGGTGATGTGTCGGAACCTTTTTCAGATATACATACTGGTAAGTATTTTTGAACCATACCCCTATTAAGTTATTACATTTTTAAATAAGATTGCTATTATCCTTAAACAAGTGTGAGCTCCAAATATAAATAAAAATGTAATTTTAAATCATACAGAAGTATGTACATAGTTTACCAATAATAATATTTTCTTTTTCAGATGCAGTCAATGGTAGTAAGTACATTTGGATCACACTTAATAATCATTTTGCTTTTTAATTAAATATTATAGATTTACTTGTATTATTACATATGTTAAAAATTTTTTTTAAACTCACCAAGTCACTTTTTTTTGTTACAGGATCCGAATTTAATGTTACTATATTACTAAGAAGAAATAATCAAGGACAAGTAGTATTGCGTGTAGGTTATTCTGCGTACTTTTCAGATAAAACTGTACCGATTAATAATTTAGAAGATATAACATATTTAATAATAAATGGTGATGTATTGAAAGTGAATGAATTACAGTTTTTATTTGCAAATTAACCTCAATATTGTACTTGACGTATTACAATTTTGAATTTATATTAGTTGGTGTTTGTGACTTTTTTTTGTTTATACATTGTTTTGCACCAATGTATGTATTTAGTTTTTAATTGTCCATTATTTATCAGTATTAATAAGCTAAAAATTAAGCATTTTATACTTATGTATAAACAAAGAAAATATATTAATTATAAGACATAATATTAGATATCAACCCACCCATGAATTGTTAATATTTTATAATAAAGTGCCTTTCTGTTAACATAATGAATTTTATTTTGTATAATGTAATAATTTTAAATTGTTCATCTCTACAGGTTTAAAATAAAACTATCTTTTCGAATTTTTTCGTGGAAAAAATCCGAAAAGATAGTTTTATTTAAAACTAGCGACTCACCCTCACTCCGCTCGGGTTCGTCCTTACTTACGTTTTAACGTCTATACTAATATAGATTTCTCAGAGATGAGATGTTTTGCATCAGTAAAAAGTATCCTATATGTTGACCCGGATAACCAGCTATCATATTAAATTTCATCAAAATCCCTCCAGTGGTTTTTCCGTGATGCGGTAACAGACAGAAAGACAAAAATTCTAAAAACTATAGATTCGGCCTCTGTATCGATAATAATATCTATTTCAATAAGATTTTCCTAAAAATAATACATGTACAGATTCGGCTCAGTTAGAACTTTATTGTATGTATAGATTACTTTATAGAAATTCATTTAATGATCTTTAATCAACTTACGAAATTAAAACCAATTTTAAAGAACTTAAATCATAATTATTTGACTAGAGTTAACTCACTTTTATTTGACTACTTATCACATTTTGTTTCGCGTAAATCTAAGAAAGTATTATTTGTTCAAGTTTAATTAAACAATATTCAAAAGACTGACTGTGTGTTGAGTTTCTAAAATGACAATTTTTCATTTTTTTTTATCTTATGTTATTAAAGAAATCTATTTGTTACTATTATAGATAACGGCACAATTTTATATTTTATTTTTATTTTACTGGCCTACCGATTTTAGCCAGGCCGGCCAATCTTACTGAGACTAGACGTCTCCGCAGACTTTATAGTACGCACAAACCTCAATGCATTATCCTTTTACTCTCAAATTCCGATGGGACGATATATAATTCGACACGATAGGTTAGACATTAGGCGCAGGTCAGATGCCTTTACGTGCTGTGTCTCGGCACGAAGGGTTGAAACACAGCAAACCTCTAACAGTAGCCTACTACCAATGTGTTACTCCAGGTCATAGTCTGTGTGCTAAACTTCATTCAAATCTGTCCAGCCGTTTCAACGTGGACAAGTAACAAACACACATTATATATTAACTTTCGCATTTATAACAGGTTTCCGATATTCATTTTTATAAATTATATTTTCGCTAATATAAAACTATCACGTAGTTAAATTTGTGTAGAGAGATCATGCATTGAAAATCAAATTATTTATCTTAGCAGATTACTCCTTGTAAATTACAGGTCATATCAATCAAAATCGGTTAACATTGCCGAGAGTCAAGTCGTAGGTCGTCACTCATCAGGTTACTTTTTCACTTAACACTTTTGTCTCTATAAATTATAATATTAGACCAGGGTCGATAATTTTTAAAACCAAAAAAAATAATAGTAGGATGAAACCCATTAGAAAAGGAGGGGAACATTATAAAGATGAAAGGAAAAATAATTTACGGGCGATCTGAGGTCGGGAAAGGGATGGGGGTCAGTTTTTAAGGGTAAAAAACGGTTTTTCTCGATTTCCGGCAAAACTAAAAGTCCTATCGAAAAAAGTCAAATTCTACCCTGGTCTATATATGTACTGTAAAATTGTTTTAGTTCTATTTTTGGAAGAAAAAAAAATGTTTAATGATGTAACTTTCTTTATTCATGACAAAAGTGACGCATATTATGTATTAATTTTAAAACTTTAGGTTATTTTTGAGTATATTATAAGAAAGATTCTCTTTCACCCGACTGCGGCGATGCCCAAAAGAGGGTTATGTGTTTCAAAATTCTTTTTTTTTAAATATTTCCATTACGAATTTTAGTTTATGTTAGTATCAATAAATCCTTATAGGCTCTGGTTTTGAAAAAAAACCTTTAGAAATTGGTCCATCCGTTTAAAGAGCTAAGTTAGCAACAGATATGTAGGTTGGTATCGTTGCGTTTCAATTTTAAAAAAAAGTGTGTGTGTATGCAATTCATTCACTGTAGAAGTGAAACTTCTTTGGCAAATCGCAATTAAATTAAAAAAATCAATAATTAAATAAGGCATATCACGGAAAGAATATAATATCATATATTTGTCAGACAATAAACAACGGTTACCATGAGAATGTATTCTATCTCATTCTCTCGCTTCTTAATCCTATATATTTATGTGTTTGTCGCTTTTAGTGTCGCATTTTCTTTACATCGAATTTCAAATCGCAAAGATTCTATTGCCTGGCGTCCACTAGGGCACCGAGTCGAAGCGAATCGAACCGCAGAAATTCGCCTCCTGTATATTTACTATGAAACTGCGTCCATTAGCGACGAGTCGCGGCGCGCCGAACCGAATCCCATATAATAAAATTGTAACTAAGCCGAATCTGTACATTAGATATTTTTTGGAAAATCTAATTGAAATAGACATTATTATCGATACAGTCCGAATCTATAGCTTTTAGAATTTTTGTCTGTCTGTCTGTTACCGCATCACGAGAAAACCGCTGGACAGATTTTGATGAAATTTGGTATGATGATAGCTGGTTATCCGGGTCAACATTTTTTCAACAACAACAACGTTTTTATCGCGGGAAAATATCTCATTTCTGCGAAAAAATACAAAAACTGCTAGTATTATTATAAACTATACTATTATACTGTATACTAGAGATTTACCCGTGCTTCGCTCGGCTTCGTCCCTAGGTACGTTTTAATTCTTTTTCTATAATAAAAATAGCCTAATTACTCCTTATAACATCAGGTATCTACTAGTGAACATCCCGTCAAAATTTATCCAACCGTTTCGGAGATTAGCGAGGACAAACAGACAGACTAAAACTTGTTGTTCTGATAAGTACCGTATATAGTTTCATGTGCATTAGTAATAAGCTGTTATTTTGAGATTACAAACAGATATTTCAATTTCATTTATCTGTGTAGGTTTATACTACACTTTACAGTTAAAAAGATCGGAGCACATTCACGACCTAGTTTGCTGACGAGTTGCGATAAATGAGCAATCTGATTCGATCCAGCTGAAATGGACGCACCAGGAATAAATGCGAATCGAGTCGACTCGCCTCGATATGACGCGTTTTTGCTGTAGTCGACGCCAGCCTTAAAGAAGTTTCACCTCAAAAATCAATTCAATTCTCTTGTTAATTTATAGCTTGTAGAGCACAGATTCCTTCGCAATAACAAAAATGTCACGTAGAAAGGAGAAGACACAAAAATATTTGCTCTATAATGTGAAATTCATAATCTAACAGAAAAATCTATTTTGTATCTAGCTACATAAGAAATGTGACCGTATTGGGAATCGAACACGCTACCTGTTGATAAGACATGTGGCATATTTTATATACATGTAGTTTAAGTTCAAAAATTCGACCAAAGTACTTACCGACTGTGGTATATCGGACGTATGTTTCTTGATTATCCATCATGGCGTCGACGGCTTGCTTTTCACAGTACAATGCTGTCACTACAGCTATTGTCGGCTGTCTTGAAGAACACAAAGTAGGCATTTGCTTTACCACCTGTACAAATAAAAATATATAATTAAGAACACAATATTTTATGTTAAATATTTCTGAGTAAAAGGTTATCAGATAAGTAAATAAAATTCCTCATAAATGAATTTTGACAACGGCAGCGGTCAATTCTGCCGTCATAAAAAAGAAGGCCGCAAAGTTGATTTCGAGATATTTGAAGTTTTGTCTTTCTAGGTACTTAGTAGTAGTTTTGACGTAGATACAATGAAAATGGTTATGGTATCTCCGGATTTATTAGACTTAGAGCTTAATGAGTAAGACTATGAGGTGGCATTGTTTCGCCGATTCTGAATCTGCATTTAAGTCATTTTTGACCAAATTGTTAGTTAGACCCTTCTTTATTATGACGGCAGAATTGCATACAGGAGATTTTTCATTGAGACTACCTATGTGTGTTGAAGATATTATAGTGGACAAATATGCGCGCAGACACAGACTCATACTTCAGGGGGACCACAATTCGACACTCACGGTGAGATCAGGCGCAGCACTGACACGACACATGCCTCCTTTTTCAATTGGATTTAATATATTATATACATATACAAGAGAATTATCATAGCTTATGGTGCTTTGACACAGAAGTTAAAAAATGTTATTAAACATTTCTTAGTGAACATTTTATCGCAAAAAAAAAACAAATTTTATAACAAATGTTATTAAATATTTTCTTTTTAATAAATGTGTTCTTACATCTGCTAACAAAAAAATTGAAGGAAAATATAACAATTTGTAACTTTTGTTAGAAAACATGAAACCCGCGCTGTGCTGATAGTGAGTGGTTACAAAATGTTAGGAAATGTTCTACAACATGTTTTATCAGTGTGACAGCTTTGAAAACACCTAACAATAGTTAATATGTTACTAAATGTTGAAAAAAATCGTATTAATAATGTTTATCTAACATTTTTTAACACCATTATAATTAAATATAAAAAGCTTAATTTTCAATACATTATACGAGCGGCCACCCTCGCTTCGCTCGGGTTGCCCTAAGGAAGAACAAAATCCAATGTATCCTACGGGAACTGAATATTTGTCAGAGATAAAAAGTAGGTTACTTGTTATTTTAATGTATGAGTTTTAAATTTTTATTTAAAATTATATTAAAATCCATTCAGTTGCTTTTGCTGAAAGAGTAACTAACATTCATATAAACTTTCGCATTTATAATAGTAGGATTAAAGAAAGTTGCCAGGCTCATAAAACTAATATCTAAAATTACATTATTATATCAAGAGATAGATATATCATTTACCTCGATCTATCATGCATAAATTATATATGTAACATATTTATAATATTTCAGAGGTCATGTTAGGTAAAAAAAAATTTCTTACTTGGGTATCAATACTATGCTGCCGTACGTACACGCCATCGGACATCAGACGTGTCAACCCTTTTTCTTCTAAGGACTCTAAAGCATCCTTAACATCAGCCTTTGACCATTTTCCAGCACTATAAAAAAAACTTTTTTAGTCTCTTACGCCTATGAATACAACTTATTGAACTACGCATATTCCTAAATAAAATAAATTTCGTTAAATACAGTTTAATAAGTAATAATTAATGTACTCCAATTTTAGTTACGGCGGTCAACGGTACGGGGGTACGGGGGTGAAATATCGCCTTCGAAAGAAAGACCAATAGCTACATAATTGCATATTTGGCCCGACTAGGGACTTGAACCAAGGACCCTTGTGTCTGTAGTTGGATATATTTTACAAATTACAGGTACAACTATATATAAATAGCTTTAATTTATTCAATTCCATCATCAACCTACAGATCAAATCAAATCAAAATATACTTTTACAAGTATTTTAAGTGTTAGCTATTTCATAATCAGTATTGTAAGTCCTTTGGAAAGCTTTTCGGCTCGGCCGGCGATTCTACTTTGAAGAGTCGGCGCAAAAGTCAATAGTTAGGTACTCTTTTAAAACTGCCTCGGTGGTGTAGTAGCTAGCATGTACGGCTGCACACCCGGAGGTCCTGGGTTCGAGTCCCGGGTCGGGCCAAGTTTAGTTATTGAGTCTTTCAATAGCTATAGTAAGCCTCAGTAACAGCCCGGAATTGAGAAGTTGGCGGTGTTTCACCCCCGTGCCTCGGAGAGCACGTAAAGCCGTCGGTCCTGCGCCGAACTTCCACCGGCCGTATCTCGTGTCGTCCCACCGGAGTATGAGAACGACAGAAATAGAGAGTGCACGTTGTGTCTGCGCTCTCTCTCACACGCGCTGCACTATAATATCTCCTGCGCAGCTGGCTAGTCTCAATGAGATTGGCCGCCGTAGCCGAAATCGGTCAGGAGAACATTATTATTACTCTTTTAAAAATAATAATTTTGTTAGGAAACTGTAATACAATAATTTTGTACTGTATCTTAGTGTAGTATCAACTAGAATTTGTTTTTGTCATTTTATAATATTAGTAAGATTAGATAATGAAATATATTTTTTTATAAATTTTTTTCACATGACCAAGTTAAAACATGAGTAGTGCGCCATATACTCACGTAACAAAGTCTTCAACGGAGAGTGGGTTAGGGTAAGCATTCTCTATCATATCTAATACCTTCTGCTCCGATATATACGTTTGATTCACCATACTTTCTTCCATGAACGCTGAAATTAAAATGACAATTAAAATAATATAAATATGTTTTACAGTATAATAAAACGTGCAGTATAGCAGAAATATTACGAAATCTCGCAGAACTAAACTTTTATATTTCATTACTGCTAATTGGAATATTATTGTTATAATAATTCTAGCCATTTAATAAAACAATTGACGATTACGACATTTTCTATATCTAAACATAAAAAAATTGTAATAAGATCGATTTTTTTATATATGAGATAGAACATTTAAACATTTTAATGGTCAATCTATGATAAATAAATTTATTATTAGCCATGATGTATATTATAGTGTAAAGAACGCATACGAAAATAAAAACAATGTCTCCTTTGCACAAAGCAAACAAAAAAAAAAACTTAAGGAAAAATTAACAATAAAGAATAATTTGATATTAAAAATTAAATTTAAGTAGTGTGAAACATAAGTTATACTTATATGGCATAATATTTAATTATGACGTTAAGAAGAACAAGTATAATTTCTTTATATGATATTAGAACATTCACACTTCGTTCTCCGCTTTTGAAAACAGTGGTTAATGGGGCCGTTTCTTCTCCAGCACCAAAGACCGAACCAGCGAGAAACTCAACAGTTGCTCTTTTAAATATCGAGGTTACATTTATTTTATTAACATAACATTATAGATAGCCATAATACTACTGTACTGTAACTAATTATCATGGGCTGGATGTAGGTTAATGGATTCTGTGTATTTAATATTTATAACCGTCTTAAAAAAAGGTGTATGTACCTAGTTAATTGGGGATGCAAGTTTTTTTATTTTACAAGAAAACTTTGACTTTTTTTAATGGGTATCAAGTATGTTCCAACACAAATTTCGAAATGCTGTCTTTTAAGAGTGTAATAATATAACTAAATTTTATTACATAATATTATATTGGTGATTTTAAAGTCCATATATAGCAGTCCATATATCCCTTTTAGCAGAGAAAAAAATATATTACTTGAAGTCTAAATTTATGTTCAGAATTTCTTATACAGTGCAACCTAGCAAGTTTCAAATGTGTAGTGCTATTTGTCTATATTATTATTCATTACTACGTAAAGCAGAGAACATAGTGAGAAGTCATTGCTTTATCTACCTAGCAGTTTGTAAAGATGCAAAATACTGAACCAAAAAGTATAACTTTTAAAATGTTCTTCAAAGTAATTATTAATAGATAAGATATATTTTAATTACATAAATATGATTTTTTAAATTTTATATTACAGTTAGGGGTTAAGTGCACTGTGTATGTGGTAAACAAAACTGGAAATAATTGTGAAAAACCAAACATGCACAAAAAACCAAGCAAATTAACTGAGTACTATATTTAAGTAATATAAGTAAATTTAATACTTTATACATTATATTAAAACTTCATCTCAAAAACACAACATGCTATATACTAAAAATAATAATACATACAACCATTATAATACTTGTATATAATTGCCTTACTCGATATTACACCATTTGCTTCTGTGGCACAAAATTAAAATGACATCTGTATTAAAAATTTAATAGTTCAAACAACTTTCAATTATATTGTTTTCTGATAATTTAAAATATAAATAAAATATAAAGATAACATAAAATTGAATAATATCATTTATACACACATAAAAAAAAAACAATATTTTATTATTTCTACACTGTTTTTGAAAAATATTATGAGTTGTTCGTTTTGCTTATTGAAATTTCAAATCTATACATATAATAAAATTGTAAGTAAGCCGAATCTGTACATTAAATATTTTTTGGAAAATCTTATTGAAATAAACATTATTATTGATACAGAGGACGAATCTGTAGTTTTTAGAATTTTTGTCTGTCTGTCTGTTACCGCATCACAGAAAAACCACTGGAGTGATTTTGATTAAATTTGGTATGGTGATAGCTGGTTATCCGGGTCAACATATGTGATACTTTTTACCGCGGAAAAATATCTCATTTCTGAGAAAAAATACAAAAACTGCAATGTAAAAGTATACTAATATGTAAAACCTAAGAATTTTGTTTTTGGTCACATGAACGCGGGCGGAGCCGCGGGCAATGCTAGAAACTGTTATAAAATCACTTTATCATAATATTCATCTCATCAGCGGTTGTGAAACCCTGATCTATGATAATTTTTCTAATTATTGTAGCATATGATAATACAGAAGTAGATTGCAATTCATAGAATGATCTGACTTTATTATCTAACTTAATTTGAGATCTAATTGTATTATATTTTTCAATATCTTAAATATTTCATATTTATTAAAGTTTCAATTAAAAATGTGTGCTCTTTTTTTTTTTTTATAATATAAGCGAGCAAACGAGCAGGCGGGTCTCCTGATGTTAAGAGATTACCGCCGCCCATGAACATTTGTAGCACCAGAGGCACCACTAATGCGTTGCCGGCAAATAAGTTTTCTAACTGAAATTAAAAATCCACTATTTAAGCTATGTTGTACCAATTACCAATATGATATTTAGGTTAAATTCGTCATTTACAAATATTTTGGAAATATGAATATTTTTAGTTTATACTAACCAGGGGGTGGTGGACCACTACCTTCTTGCCTCAATTCAACTTCCAAAAGTTTTAGTTGATGATATTTATTCTGCATCAATTTTATTATTTTCTTAATAAAACCAACATAATCTGAAAACAGATTTAGAATTAAAAAACTAATAGCTTACAAGGTAATATCTTTTTTGAAATGAAATACAAAAAAATGTATTTTACCTTTAGGAAAATCTTGAGGGCTAACAAGTTCACGGAAAAACGCTTGAGCCTGATAGGGACATTCATCTCGAGATACTTCAGGTTTGAACCAAAACCTTAGACCTCTTGCCTCTCGTGTATGATTACCAGTCACAGCTGATACTAAGTATACACAAAACTCTAGTTGGGCATGACAGGGTTCTGTTACACCATTTTCTGAAGAATAAAATGTTATAAATTATTTTTTTGTAATATATAGATATCATATTTTAAAATAGTAAAACCTAATAAATATGGTGAACTAATTTTTTTTAATTTAATCCTTGAAGGTTCCAAATAAATTTCAAGACAACAATTTTGTACCTCAGTGACATACCTACTTTTAGTAGAAAACACCTAAATCAAGAAATAGAGATAAATATTAATTGTAGTTTTTGCTTTCTACTATTGAGATAAAGCTTTCTATGTGTACAATTCAGGCTAAACTTAGCCTTCAGTCTAGCCTAAAACTATGTGAACATGCATCATTTATAAAAATAAACACTTAACATTTATTATTTAAGGTCATTTAATTTTAATACAGTTTTAAAGTTTGTTATTATTTCCTTCAGATAAGGAAAGACCCAATTAGAGCTGTTCAAATTTAAGTTAACAAATACCTTACTCTTATCTATAAAAAGGAAAATTGTTATTAATTCTATGTAGTATGTCGAATATTCATTAAATTTATTTGTTGTAAATTAAACACTAAAAAGGACTTAATAAAAGATTACCATAGATTTTTTCCTTGTTTATTATTATTCCTGTATGATCACCTCCAGCTACATGTATCTTATCACTTGGTTCAGCTTCAGCAACTTTTCTTTCCACTATTAGTACAGTAGATGTGGGTGTTTTACTCTTTGGAGTCATTATAACTTTCTCTTCTAACTCTGCCATGATTACTGATCTTGAGATTTATTAAGAATAATTCCCTTAGCTTTAAATTCGTATAGTTACTCCCTTCTGTATGGGCAAGAAAGATGACTCATAAAATCTTGATCCTTTTTTTAAAACATCTTAGCAAATGACAACAACACAACCTACTTTAAAGTTGAGCTACAAGGTTAATACTGGCTAACCTTAACAACCGAGTCACTTGTTAGATCAATCGCTTTTAACTACAGAAAAAGGGCGGGTATGATAAATACAACAATAACATCATATTTTATTAAAAAGCTATATGAGTAATCTAATACGTAATGTTATTTTATTTATTTTCACTATACCTTACAAGTAAACGGGTGTAGTTTTCAATATTTAAATTCTATGCTTATTATTTTTATTTTGTCATGTACAAAACATATGTCAATTTTGATTAGGATTGAAGTTTATTTAAATCATGGATGACAAATTTAAATCACTTGTGATGCGGGTGACGGGTCTACGTCCGCTTAATGTCAATTTAAAAATCTTTAAACTACATAATTAGGTACCTACTTTATTTGTCATCCATGGTAACTGGTAACTACCATGGATGAAGTACCTACTAAATACTAATCAAAATATGAACCAATTAAATTACGGTTTGTAAAATATCGTTTAATTTTGTCTTATTAACCAAACTAAAATATACGTAGTTCAGTTCAGAGCAGTTATATGTAGTTGTTTCTGAATTAAATACATTATTTTAAATTCAGACACCATATATTCAAATATTAAAAATATATGTTAAGTATTGTTATTTACATTTTAAAACTTATGCTAGTGCTAGGGGTAAAGACAATAGGCAAGCTGTATGTATATTTGCGTCAGCATCTGGCACTGCATACTGGAACTAATAAGTAATAAAAAAATACAATAGTAATTGGCTTATGTATTAGCATTAGATTTAAGAGTGTTTTCGTAAAGCATAAAGTTTTGTATAGGATGAGAATAGTAGGATTAGTTTACTCTATAATAATTCTACTACTACTAGTTTACTCTATAATAATAATAATATAATTCTACTATTACAATTTGTAAAATTTGTGAAGATGATTGTTATTCAGGCCCGCATATTATTGGTTTTACTTTTACCTTATTTCACGTAAAACGATCGCTCAGGCATAGTGACAGTGGAGGAGGATATGTGTCTGCGTACGATTACAGTCGTGCCCTAAAGTACTACGCTTTTGATTTATAATATAAGTGTAATAATTGTTATAATATATAAGAATCATAATATTAGGCACTCCCCAGTCGTACCCACTTCATACCACCAATTTTATCGATAAATCGCTCAGTGGCCAGTGCGCAGGTAAACGGCCAGCGTACTTTTTACATGACGGGAACTATAAACAGATTTGAATGAAACTTGGTAGTTGGTTGGTATTTTTCGAAATCCATCCCTTAAAGGGGTAAAAGGGCGTGATAAAGTTTATATGGGCACAGAATTATTTATGGTCAGAATTATTTGAAACTTGGTATTAATGCTCTTCAATACAATTAAATAAATACGTGTTTTATCATTTTTTGAAATTCAATCCCTTAAGGGGGTAAAATGGAGGATGAAAGTTTGTATGAAACTCTGTAATTAATATATAAAAAAATACAAAAAATAAAAAGAAATAACCAGCTCTAGACGATTTAAGAGTTTTAAATTCACTTTATTTATAATGATGTCCACATAGTAATTAAAACTATCTTTTTGGATTTATTCGATGATTTATTTGGATTTTTGGTTTCCAATGTTTCGAATGCTTTACAGCAATAATGGTCACGCGAGAGATGTCCACATAGCCTTAAATATAAAGATTGTGATTTCGCCAATTTTGGTTATTGCTTTAGCCCACAGTTTCTTCAGTTTTTGTCTTTCAAGAACAACTGATATGCGCTTTTATTGCATCGTGGCACTGCACAATTTGTCATTTTTAATTAATTTTAAATAAAAGAAATCCTTCCACGCTATAGAGCTTTACAATATACTGAGGGCTATAATGATTACGACATCTGGTGGGAAGAAAAGGCAAAATTCTTCCCCATCGGAAAACAGGGAAGATCTGGTCTTCTAATTAGCCTGTGACTATTGCGATGACGACACTGCACAGTGTACTATGTCTGTCACTTCATTCAAAAGTCAAACTTTGGTCAATCTTCAAAGTTTTCACTGACTTCCAAGTAATTAAAATAATTTTAATTATTAACATAATTAATTCATACGTTATTGTGTAGCTGTATTAACATGGACTTTTTTTATAACTCGTTATATTTATGAAAACGGTTAATTGTTTAATGTATTATTACTTCATAAACTAAATTATTTTAGTTATATTTAACCTACAGAAGAAAAGTTTCAAAATGCGTTTACAATATTATTGTATATTTATTTTTATTATTTCAAAAGTACGATGCCAAACCTTACAAAGTGTAAGTGATGATGAGCTACTTCAATTTATTAAAGAGGAAGAAAAACTTATTGTTTTATTCTGTAAGTATCATGTGCAAGTGTGGTTATATTGTTGTTGTTTTTTTTACTTTGCTTGCCGTATAATCTCAGATAAGAACCTGTGAGCTTAGCCATATCTGACATTACAGTGGAATTTTGTGATGGGTAAATTAGTAATGAATCTGATTTAAAAATATAATTAGTAAATAACAAAAAGAACTCTTTTTTTTAATTTTGCTTACTAATAATATTTAATTTAATTCTTATTAATATGAAGATTTGTTAATATCTTTAAATTACTTTGTACATAATTATTTTTTATGTATTTATTTTCAGCAAAACCAAATTGCAAGGTGTGTGATAAATTTGAAATAACTTTAGATAGTTTATATGAAGATTTTCATAAACATTTGAATGCTGCAACTGTGAAAGCAGTTAACAGTCATCTAGCAAGGCTTTATAGTCCAACAAAAGAGCCAGCTTTAGTGTTCTTCAGACATGGTGTTCCTTTATTATATGATGGTATGTTTTTACATTAATATATGTACTTACAAATAAGAATATTGTAATGTAATATTTCTAATTAAGTTGTGGTATTAAATTAGATCTCAAGCTTCATATAATGAAACTACCTTATTATGGAACTTTTTAAAACATAATAATGATATTACTTTAGTAGGTTTAAATAATTATTATAAGCTGATAGTGCCCAACTAAAAATTTATGTTTTTTTCTAGATAAATAAATAAAAATTGTCATCATAATATGCATAATGAATTGATTATTCACCACAGATTCATTTGCATTGGTTTTCACATGTTCTTCTCAACTTGACTGACTCTCAGTTTTCTAAAATGATGAGGGCTCAAACAGACATTCTCAATCTCATCATTTTTATCATACATTTCCTAATATAAATTTTTCATGAAAATATCATATTCTCTTGACTGTAATATTGTATGTTAAGGTGAACCAGAAGAAAATGAAGTGTATGGATTTCTTGAAAAGAATCAGTCTCCAGCTGTAAAAGAACTCAATGATAAAATATTTGAACATTTGACTCAAGCAGCTACTGGAGCTACCACTGGGGATTGGTTTGTTATGTTGTAAGGATGAAGTTTTAATTTTACTAGACATAGTCGTTGACTTATTTATTTAATGATTATTTATTATTCCAGAATAACTAAGTAGTGTTAGTCTCTATATTAATTAAAAATTATGAGTTAAAATTATCTAGGTAACATTGTATTTTAATTTTGACTAATATGTTTAATATTTTGCAATTACTTATCTAAATATAATATATTACAGTTATGGTGCATCATGTGTAGAGTGTCAAAGATTACATGCAGTATGGGAGGGTGTTGGTGCAACTTTACGTGGGAGAATCAATGTCGCTCGGATTGATGCGAACTTAGCTGGCTTAAATACAGCCAAGAGATTTAAAATTTCAAAACTGCCAGCCTTTCTTTTGTAAGCTTATTATTTAAATATATCAAAAGGTTCTTTTACTCTATGAAATTAATGTATATTATATTACTTCCCTTACTTCACTTCATGTTCGTCTCTAGACAACAACAAATCTATCCCATGAGAACCGTATATTTTTTGGGATAAAAGAGTGCTATGTGCTATTTCAGACTATAATCTATGTGTGCCAAATTTCATCCAGATCTGTTCAGTGTATTGGCATAAAAGAGTAACAAACGTCCATCCATCTTCACAAACTTTCACATCTATAATTTTAGTAGGATATGGAACTTTTATATTACATGCAGAACATTTATAGCAAACTATATATTTGAAATTCACATTAATTAGTTTTTATTTATTGCAATATCTAAAGTAAAAATTATTCTTTTAAAATTCCAGCTTCCGTTCCGGCAAGGTGTACAAATATGATTTACCTAAAAGTGATATAAAGTCATTTGTTTCATTTGCCCAGGATTGGTATAAAAATTCAAAAGCGGATACTGTGCCTCTTCTGTCATCACCATTGTAAGTTATATTTTGATATTAAAGGAAACAATCAATTCTTTTGTAATCTATACATATAATAAAATCGTAACTAAGTCAAATCCGTACATTAAATATTTTTTGGAAAATCTAATTGAAATAGACATTATTATCAATACAGAGCCCGAATCTATAGTTTTTAGAATTTTTGTCTATCTGTCTGTTACCGCATCACGAGAAAACCAGAGGACAGATTTTGATGAAATTTGGTATGATGATAGCTGGTTATCCAGGTCAACATATAGGATTCATTTTTGAGAAAAAATACAAAAACTGCATTGTAAGAGTATACTAATATGTAAAACTAAGAATTTGGTTTTTGGTAATTTGAACGCGGGCGGAGCCGCGGGCAATGCTAGTTAAATATAAAATCCCACTGTATAAGACATTAAGTTGATAAAATATAAATAACTCAACTTGCTCTTTTAATTTTTAGAGATACACATATTTTTTTAATTTATATTTAATTGCTTTCTAGTGATGAATTAGTAGATTGGTGTGTCGACATTATTAAATATAGTGTGGCACTTGGATTAGAGATCTTGGCTAAATATCCATGGATTTGGCAAATAGGTCTTGCCGGCTTTGGTCTGGTTGCCATCACAGCTCTCATCGCAATCATTAAAGCAGGAAAATCAAAACCAAAAGTCAAAAAAGATAAACAAATTCAAACCAAGAAAAGCAAATAATGAATTTTATATAATTAGTAACACAACTATATACAAACTTCCTAATCTACAATGGTAGATATTTTATTAATAAATCTTACTACAATCCTTTTCTCTTTCTCTATAAGTAACGTTAAAGTAAAGAAATTTTATTACATATGTAATAAGGTAATTTTTTTTACGTTTTTAGTATAGGTTAGCATTTGCAGGGTAAATAAAATGCATTTCATAACTCCGTCCACAATATCTTTGTAACTTGACTTAGCAAATAATATTATTTTTTGGACATATGAAATATTAATGTAATTAACACATTTTTAAATAATTTATCCTATACTGAGATGTTAAAAAGGGCTGAATAAGTCCTTTCCTTTGTTATAAATTAATAGATCTTACAAGTATATTTAAACAATGTTTTCATTCAATTGATTAAAAAATGCTAAAACTATTAAAATGCTTATATTTCTGAGATTGTATTATATTTTTCTATTGTACATAATACATTTATATTTCCATATTTCTAATAAAATTTATTTAAAACTAGCGACAACCTTATTTTGCTCAGGCGCATCCCTACATCCTAAATAGTAGCTCTTATTTTAGGTCCATAATCTGTTGTAATCTGAATCCATCCAGCTATCTTAACATGAAAGAGCATTAATAATTAATAGTTTGATTTTAAAATAAAATTACAGTTTGGTGTTTTCATTTTTTAATTCCAAATATATCACAACAACATTGAATTACATACTTCATTCTTGGTCATTACTAATGAACATCATGGAAATGTATTGTTTATGTGCAAAATTTAATATTTAAAACCTAAAAATGTGCATGCTTACAACATTGTATACAATATAATAGTATAATAATCGTGAGAGTAAATGTCACACTAAAATATATAGCTCAGTAAATGTAAAAAAATATATGAGAACTGTTTGTGTAACATGTGAGAAATTTTGCTATCAAGTTATAAAATACATTTAAACTAAATTTTTATAATAACTGAATTAATTTCTTAAATATAGCTATATAACCTAAAAATTGCTTTGTAAAATCTTGTATAAACAACAAACTAGAATATTTAATAAAGCATACAAAATGTGCATTATAGTGTTATAAATAAAGTGATATTTTGACTAGTCTTTTTTATATAGTGTCAACTTCAATATTTATTCTGAACACTGATGCTGGGTCAGCTAATTCAGTGCGAATTGCATTTTCAAATTTCTTGAAAATTATTGAGAATTCCATCATGTTTTCAGGCTTTGATTCTATCCACAACTTATCAAACTCATAAAATAAGTAGCAATAAAACTTATGAAATAAATTAATACTAGGCAAATGTTGCTTGACATTAAACATATAAGTTTTTGCAGAACCATCTTTAAGAAGATAATAAGCCATTGATGTTAAATTGATGCCAACAATTGCATAAGTGTAACCATATTTTGGATGAACAGAATGGCTTAAAACATGCCTCGACACCTCTGGATATTCTGTAGAAAAATATAATAAATTTTCCAGGCCAAGAAGTCCCATGCCACGAAAATCAGTTTTTGGATCATCACCCTGCAAAGAATATGTTTATTATGTAAAAAAGTATGATTTTGTGTAACAGCAATTTGTCCTTACTTCACTGTGTCTCTAAATTAACTTAAACATACTAATATCCCATGTGAACTTTTGGCTGTACCAGGTTAAAAGCTAACTAACTGCCTTTGTTATATTAGAAAGATTTTTAAATTTACCTGAAAACCAATATATTGCCATTCCTTTGTTATTCGCGCCTGTAAAGGTTTATCAGGTACGAGTAAGGTCCACAATTTCAATAATTTATCTTCATGATCTAGATTGTTGCTATCGTATTGCGTTCTACGTAACTCTTCAATTTCGTCTTGGAGTTGTCTGTAACTCCAAATTTGTTGCAAGCATCGTCGAAAAGAGGGAATAAAGGCGTCGTGAAGTTTAGGATTAATCTTTTTAACTCTTAAAATAATGTTTATAGATGGATCAAGTATTTCCCGAAAGCTTGTGGGAATAAACTTACGTTCTTTTACTACAGCATCTAGAAATGATACAACTTCCTTAACGTCCCGAGTTCTTGACAACATCAATGATTGTTCGATGTTACATGTTCTTTGAGCTCCAACTCTATCACCATAGCATATTCTTTGAAGTTCGCATAGTTGTGTAGTCTTTCGTAAAAACCATTTTATGACTGGCCTTAAATACCATTGAAGTACTGACCAAAAATTGAAAAACACCATTTTTAATTATTAACTTCACGACTTTCACATGTTTTTGTTAAATCGTTATCGAGTTTTGCTTAAAGAACCAAGTGTTAAACTCTACAAAAAATTGGTTTAACATTACAAGCTAAAATTGTCTTGTCAAATTCAAATTGATTTCAGAATTGAGATTTCTGATTGATACCTTAGTCCCATAGAGTATATTGCTGCTTAATCCATAACATGATGTTGCCAAAGGGGAAGAATATTGCCTTTTTCTCTCGCCAGATGTCACGTTCACTACGATCCTCCGTATATTGTAAAGCTCTATAGCATATATGGTTTTTTTTTCTATTTTATTTAAAATTTAATTATGTTGTTATTAACAAATGGTGCAGTACCAGGATGCCAAGAAAATGAAGATTGCCACAAGTTTAGTAATACGCGGCTTCTGGAGAAGTGTGTGGTATTTTTGGATAGGGAAGGATATAGGGAGTCCAGATAAATAAATATTATTTTGAGGAAACGAAGGAGTCAAAAGTTATGGAGAGTTAAAGTTACAACATTTCCAATCATTACTATACCTAAATAAGTCATTACAAAAGATAAACATACCTTATAATGGATAGTAAACATCCTTTTTCGTGTAAAATCCATATTTTCAGAACAATTAAGGCTTTTATTGTATTAATATTTTAATAATTTCACTAAAACCATATTCTAAAATCTAAACAAAATGATCTTAAAATTTTGACAAAACTGTAAATTTCAACAGAAATTGATTGCTTTCTTGATAACAGATTATCGCTTCATAATTATATAAGAGTTATATATATTAAAAGTGAAATTTGTCATCAGTTTACTAAGATTGTAAAATAGAAATATGTTATTTCCAATTCATGCATGCATTTACGACTTTTTATTTGATTTATGTAAAATATTAAGTTATATAAATTTTTTACAAGATTTCGGGAGATTCGATTCGGCGCGCCGCGACTCGTCGCTAATGGACGCAGATTCATAGTAAATATGTAGGAGGCGAATTTCTGCGGTTCGATTCGCCTCGACTCGGTGCCCTAGTGGACGCCAGGCATTAGACTGGATTCAGCGCGCCATAATCGACGTGGGGAATCGCATGCGCACCAGCGAGCTTTTTGTATTTTATTTAAAGAAAACTTATGTATCGTGAAAAGAAATAATAATTAATTAATATATTATGTTTTATTATATAACTATACTATTATACTACTGTATACTAAAGATTTACCCTCACTTCGCTCGAGTTCATCCCTAAGTAGTAAGTACGTTTTAATTTTTTTATCGAAACCCTAATTCTTTTTATAAAATAAAAGTAGACCAGGTTACTCCTTATAACATTAGCTATTTGCCAGTGAAAGTCCCGTCAAAATCTGTCCAGCCGTTTAGGAGGTTAGGCGGAACTGACACAAAAATTAAAAAAAAAATGTTTTTCTTTTATGTACCGGTACCTATATAGTTTCATGTTCATTTAGTGAAACTGTGAAAAGCTGTTATTTTGAGATTACAGACACTTCAATTTTATCTATCTGTATAGATTTATACCATGAACGAATTAGCCTATTAGCATAAGGAATAATTGCGACTCGAGTCGACTGGCTTCGATTCGACGCGTTTCGGCTGTAGTCGACATCTGGTGTTATAGGTATTTTCAGATTGGTTCAAATTAGCTTAGAACAAAAATTTAGCCTTTTTAGAAAAATGTCCATTTCAGAACTTATTTGATTGGACTAATATGTTGTGTTCCTAAAGTATACATGTAAGTATACTCTAAGGTTGTATTTTACTTTAAAATCTGTTTCCACTACGAGAAAGGTAACTAAAGGTAAGGTGTAAGTAAACCGGAAATGTTAGGTCAAATGAAATCAGTTAAATCTGAAATTGTGTTTTATTTATTTTGAAAATTGTAATCATAAATACTATATTAAAATTATTTACAATGCAACGTACAATTTGACATCCAGTCATCATTTATTTACACAAGGCGATGCGTGAATTGCGAACTTTGCTTATCATTACTTATTATCTTAAGTAGGTAGTTACCGATTAATACTAGGGATGGCGATACTTAGAAAAATATTAAAAAAAAAACAGGTACTACCATTTTTATATTATAATGCAAGTTGAACGGGTTTTTTGTTGTATAATTATTCCTTTAAATTTTTAGGAAGGTATAAAAGTTGTAATCATACGTCCGTAAATTTCATGGACATGATTTCGAATATAACTATTTCTATACAGTGTAAGCAAGAATTTACACTTACGTGATTATTGCATTACGTTACGTTACAAGAAAAGAACTTGCTTAACAGAAAAATAAAGTCATCATCTCTATTTCTGTTTTAGTTGCTCAACATACCAACTACAAAAATACTTTAGTAATTTAATTGAATACTTAGATTATACAACTTCAACTTTTCATCTTCACTTAAACTACAAAATATATTAGAAAATTTACTCACTGAGGCGTCGTAGGTAGGTACTTCATTCGTACATTTAATTTCAAATAGAATATTAACGGGTTACGCATTATTTGTATTATCTCACTAATGTCTTTTCGTGCAACTTAACCCTAGTACTAAACCTATTTATTTACTTATACATATATTATTTACGTCGTATCTATCGAGAAAGCAAAATTTTAAAACTATTTCGAATATACATACATTTTATAATAATGCATTCTCACTAACGTGCGTACCGGTTCTGAATAGCCTCAAAGTTCAGAGTAATTGTTTAATATATAACTGTGTGAAACTTGTGTAGGAAATTATTTTAAATTGAACGAATAAACTAAGTATAATGAACTAGGGTATTTTTATATATCCAAAGTTCCTATTTAATATCTAATAAATATAACATACATATGCTTAGGGATAATAAGTTTATTAATTTTATTATAAAATTGTGTCGAAAACAAAATTCTTCGTTGATGTAATTAAGATAGAAAAATAATTTAACATCTTAAAGTGGAATAATGAAAGTAGCACATATTGAAACCCATTCACAGGAACTCACCACACAGGAACCAGCTTGGAAATAGTGGACGGAATACATTGAAAATTGAGAAAATGCTTGAACTTTTCGATTTATAAGATAATATAATGAATTTGTGATAATTACATAAATAATACAGATTACTCTGTTCTTTCAGGCATCATAATTTTATAGGTAACTAGAAAAGTTGTTGATTATGTATCTAAGTTGAATATTACAAGGTCGGTAGAGCTATCGACTACAGATGAAGCTGACTCTATTTCTTATATTTTGTACTTTATTAACATTGAAAAACACAATTTATAATAAATAATATTACCTATATATTAATTATAAAATAACATAAAAATACATTAATCAGATGTAAGATAAATAAAATAATCGAATATAATCCGATTGATAAAAATATTTCAACAACTTTTCTTTACCAAATATGAAACGATAAAGCAACATATCGGGAGGCATTCACTAGATTTAATGACTACTTGATTTATTGTTTCCAAGTTACAGCATATTTACTTATATCTAAAATATATTGAAATCGTATGGTAACGTACCTACTTAACACGTAAAATAAAGCAATTTCAACGTTTATAATTGGGCAAAGCATTATTTCTAAAATTGAATGTGGAAATGCAGTTTTGCCACAGGAGCGTTAATGTCTTTAATAATATTACTAGCCACTAAGGTAGGGTAAGGTAATGTATTTTCAGCGCATTTCTAGAGTAAATCTACTTAAAATAAAAGCCTACTAGGTGACCTTAGCTAATAAACAAAAATAAGCTGTAACATTTTTATGGTACTTTGGACATAGTACATAGGAGACTTTAATGCAAACTTTACATAATACACCTACCGCCTAGGTAGGTATAGATATTTCACTTTCATATTTAACACGTTTATAAGTTTTTATGTATTACTTAAAATATTAAATATGATAATATAAATTCTATGCAGTGCAATTTTAAACAAAACGTTCCTATATAATAGGCAAAGGTTTAGGCAAAGGTAAATAAATCTCTTTCATTGTGAAAGAGTTTACCTATACCTGTATGATAAGAACGATGACTTTATAAAGCTACTGAACTGAATAAATAATAAATTAAGGAGCTGGCGAAGAACATGGTGTAGTTGAAAATTGTTAAATATCTTCCATAATTTCTAATTTTAGAATCAAGTTCTAAGCATATCTTTTCATTTAATGCAACCAAAAAATAATTTGAATGTAGAATAAAACTAAATAAAAATTTTATGATTTTGTTCACATCAAGTCTCAGGGTTATTTCAAAATCTTAATTATGAAAAATAAAATCAATATAATAAAGTGGAGGTATAAACTTTATATTTAACCCTGCACACGATAGGCAAAAGCCGCTGTAGAAGTAGACGAAGAAGTATTATTGCTTTTTTTTTCTTTTTTGTTCTGAAATGGTTCTATGACTAGTGACTGTTTTAGTTTAAATAACAAGTTTACCATAGCCTCAAGTTTTTATGCGTCTCTATCTTTATATGTAATTGGAAGAATTAGTACATAAATCTAGTCATTAGGTAATATATTTTTTATTCGCCATCTCCTTAATTGTAATATATTTATATATTTTTATATTAACTCGACATATTTAATATGTAAAGTTTAAGTCTAACAAAAGTTTGTTGTCTTGTTTTTAATTGTTTATACGATACAATTTATTAGTTAACATAATAGGTACTGAGATCTATGTATCAATAAAATGTCATCATCCCAATCATAAAGATACCTCTTTGCATAAATTCTGCTTACAATTGTTGAATTACAAAACTAATAAATGGATTTAAAATATAAGCTTCTGTTACACAGTAAGCTATTTAATATTAAACTACTTACAAATGGTAACGGAACTATAACAGTGTTTTGTACTTAATTACTTTGTTGATAAATGGTTACAGTGGATAACATATTTAATTTCATATGACTATTTTAACTCTATTCGCATATGAACTTATTTTGATCGAAATATAAGAACAAAATATAATATTTTTATTCTATTACTTTACAGGTAAGTGGGCGATTTACTGTTCAAATTACATACAAAATAACATTTTTTATAAGACACCAAGATATTGAAATATAATATTGAAATACCAAGCATAAACAAGGTCAAAAGTTAGAAGATTTAACAATAACTAGGTAGTTGTGATAACGCCAGAATATAATTTTATATATTTTTAACAGAATATAGCGTAAATTTATATTTTTGTCTCTTATAAAGCGAATGATATGTTATTTTATCTTATAATATTTAACAGTAGATAGAAACCGCGAATTAAAATAGTATCACGTTGAAAATTTTTATAAAATTTGGGAATGGTTAAATCTAAAAGGATTAATGACTTAGGTATTACATTAGATTTAACTCTGTAACAGGAGAGCGTTTAAGGGTTGGTATATATTAAAAAAAAAAACATTTAAATCTAATACTTGCATTGTTCTTAATATTTTTAAGGTTGTGTAATGTTAGGCAATATTAATTTCGTTTTCGATTGGTGTCTATAATAAGATGTGATCATATCTAGGAATAACTATGACAGGCTATGAAAATAATTCATACATAGACTTTAATATTTAAAACTTTAATGAACATCAATTACGGACGGCGTAGAGATTATAAGAATTTGTAATCTTCATCTACTCTCGAGATAGATATGCTCATTGCGCATTGCTCACGTGCTCGAGAAAGCCAGACCGTTGAAGTACTGTTACTATTGTAAAACAAGTATTATTAGGCCAGAAGGGCCAAGGGTATTGGGGTAGCTTTAAAGATTGTTTTTTTAAATTTAAGATATTTTCGTATTGACGTAAAAAATGTTGTTCACATAATACATTAAAATCCTTTTAAGTAATTGAAACAACCAAGCATTATAAAGCTAACGAAGAAATAGTCATTTAAGTATTATTTAAACAGTCATTAAAATATATAATATTGATCAACAAATAAATAGACGACTCAAGACAATAAACATATAAAAATTAACTTCATAATACTATACACTTTAATTTACCATATTCAAGCACAGCCAAAACGGGTTTCTTACGATAATAATTATATACGATTTAACTATACATATTATATTTAGATAAGGTATATATTAATAAAAGTTGACTCGTTGGTCCGCTTTTTAATAAGCAAAAGGCATAATATCGTTGACTCTATGTGGTTAAACATATGTGTTCTAATGGAATAAAAGCTTAGGATCTACAACAGTCACTATGTAAAATGGACAAATATAGGATTCCACGCATTTATCGATATAACATGAAGCGCTAAATTATTAGATTTTTAATTTGGGGAATTCATGAAATATTATGTTCACAATCTCATCCGTATGGATATTTATAAAAATATTGTTAAATATTTTTAAAATTACCGCCTGCATGTCATGGAATAGATAATATTTGCTTATGTCAATACAACAAGCTGTTAAACTCCAAGTATTTGGGCCCCTAGAATTACTAATAGTTATCACAACACATAATATTTGACGTCTTTTCGATCTTAAAAAAAAAATGCTTTGGAATCGAAAAAATTTGAAGTTAACCCAATGGCAAATCATTTTTTTGTTAACGTTTAGTAAGATACTTACACCAGGAACAACTACAAGCATCAAAATATTAGGCAGTTTGTATTTTCTTTGAGAGGAGAGCAGATCTATTAATTAATATTTTTCAGAACTAACAGTTCTTGTTATGAATTTTAAATTCTACGAATAATATTTGTCATCAACATCGATATATTGCGAATAATATGTTAATATGATTATGTATATTTTTGGGAATTTCAGACATATATTAAAAAAAATAATTAAGTAACATAAAAAAATATTAATTTGTGTTGCCATCTAATTTGTTATTTTGGGGTAATTTGTTATATAATATTAAGTATCAAAACACTTTAGAAGGTCATAATAATTATGTATATACAGCTTAGTAACAGCGACAGAATATTGTTTAACTAATTTTAACTCTTAAATCAACTCAAATTTGAACATGGGGCAACTTTAATAAAAGCTCCTGCTCTGTTTTCATGTTTGGTTCCACTACCAAAAGCATCGCATAATAATTATAATAATTTAGATTTTCAAGGCACACTTATATCTATTTTTTCTTAAATTAAGCTTTTTGAGCTTATGGCGCCTTAAAGTACAAATCACACATGTATGTCATGTTATAAAGAAAGTAAATAACAATGCACAACATATTGAATATTACCCACTTACTATTGTACAATGTTAAGCTTACATTAAGTATCAGTAGTTTTTCTGTATATACATCAACTATTTTATTCTAACATTAATCAGGCAAATAAATTAATATTTGAATCGAACAATAGAAGGCATGTTCATGGTTTCCCATCAAGTAATTAGATTAGTTTTTTTATCTAATACACGAAAACATTGTATTTATTATGTGTGTCTAACTCTAAAAAATATCTATTTGAGCTTTATTATCTACAACTAATTTTGTTTAATTTATTTAATCTCAAATTAATAAACACACCATTTCAATACTAGCGTGACATGTACTCTCCTATAAGCGACTGATAAATGGTGGTATCACAACAAATGTGGATGTGTATGAATATATCTAAAGTGATTACTCTAATATGTATATATATAAAATCTATAATAATATTATAATCTTAAATCAGGTTTAAATAACTTTTTATTGGACTGTCTTAAGGATTGAAATAGATTCGTTAAACGGACGAAAAACGCACGCAGATAAAGATCACAATAATGCATCATCTTCCTAATTAAAACACGCATAACTCTGAAATTAACTATGTGAATTGTTCCCACTTTAATCTATCATATTAAGATTTTGATAGTTATATAAAAAATCTTTCTCTGATATCAGCTGTAGAAGAATTTTGAACCTATTTCAAGTCCTGAGACTTGCCGTGCGTTTTCGATTGGCCATCGTGATTCATAGATTTTGGATTTCAATACACAACATCGTCCAGATTTCATAATATTTCCTTGGACAAATATTATTAAATTGAGATAATTTTTTTTCAACTTTATATTTTTCTTCAACGATCTCTACAAAGAGTTTACTTTTTATGGGTCACCTATGTATAACCGCGAACAGTCAATCGTAAAGGCAAGGCTGCATCACGACTGCTATTAACTGTGTATCGTCAATTAATAATCTCAACGAGACTTTAGTATATCAAAGTCCCTATATCTAAGTTCCACTTAATTATTTCAAGTAAGATACAATCACAATTTCTAAGTTGAATGAAATTCATCAAAAATATGTATTTGTTCACAGTGGTTCTTCCTAATATATAGCTGTGATATAATACGACGTACAAAATACGAAGCTGCATTATAGTCCGGTTCGTATAAGAAGAGTTTGACTCTTTATAAATTATCGACATCTATCATGTGTCTTGGAGTATACCTATTTAATGAGAATAATTAATCGACAAAAATGTAAGATTTTTTTTAACACTATGTCAGAACTCTTCCAATAGCGATCGGAGTATAGCATCCGAACAAGAAGCTCGTAGCGCGTGGGTATTAAGAAAAGGCCTTGTAGTGTATGAAGAAGAAGATAAGAAACACGGCGTAGGCAGTGGGAAACGTGATGCGAGCGATCACGTCGATCGTCTTCGCGACTCGGATCGGGTGAGGTGGCTCCTTTTTACGGACCTGGACGAAACATGGCTGAAAATAATTTTGCGAATAAATGATGATGGCGAAATAAAAATACATACTACATTTTGACACTAATAACAATAAGCAATGAAAGAAATAAACATTAAATACTTAAACTAAAATTTAAAAGGTTGTTTCTCTGTAAACTAGGCAACTCGTTGCCTCTGATAGAAATCACATACAACTATCATAATATTATCTTCATGATGAATTATAAAAGAGGATTCCCTAAATTATCTGTGCCCAGTGCACAATATGGATATAAATTAAAAAGGTTTCTGAAGTGCTTAAAAATCAGTCCAATGATACGTCACAAACGCGGCATTTTTACTGTAAAGTCGATTAATTAATACAAAAAAAAACAATAAATAAAATTATGTTCATATTTTATGATATGTTGAATGTTTTATTACATGTTTGTAAAAACGTAAAAAGTAATTCAGTCTTAGCAGTTTCAGAACAGTCCACTTTCCATATTTTGAATTATACGGCAAGTACTGATATACTATACTACTTAATATGAGAGAAAAATTAAGCCCAACCCCACCTGGATCATCTTTACAAAAAGTTCAATATTTTCTATAATGTTTGGTTCTTCTGCGTGTTATTATTAACTATTTAGATATTTATTACTTCAATATCTTCTTTAAAATTCTAGCTAAAAAGTGGCCTAGTAATAATTTTATTACGAAAGTTGCCCAGTTTAAGAGAAACACTCAAAAACTGATATACGTGTGTCGAAGAAAGCTTGATACTTTCAGTGGATTGAAATTTCTGACGCGAAAAAGTAAAAAGTAAAGAAGTCAATATTTAAAAAAAAATCTTTCCAAATTAAAATACATTGGACAATTTATTGCATATTTTTCTAAGTAACACAAAATAATTGGTTTTTGAATCTATGATTAGAAACGATATATAAGAAGATTAAAGAAAATGGTATCAGTGAAACTGACGTATACAAAAAATTATAAAAAAAGCAAATATTCTCAAATATATGTAGGTATACATGTTATATAAATCATAAGTATATTACCTCTGAAACACCACCATTATTTGCCGTATGCGTGCACGATCCTGGCGCTCCTGTGCACGTCGTACACGTCACCAGGTCAGCTGCTCCTGTTGACTCTCGTTTTTTATCTCCCTGCGGTCAATTTGTTATTTAATCGTAATACTAAGGTGTACCAATACTAAGGTGTCTACAGTCAAATCAGTTTTAATATCTAATGTTCTACAAGCAGTGTTGGACTTATAAGTTGATAGCATCGTTAAAGCATTTATGGTGGTTTTCATAGATAATTAACTATTACATTTTTGAACGATTTTAGTAAGAAAAATAAAATCATAATCTAATCCATCACTGCTGTCAGCTAACTACATAAATTAACTTTATAAGATATGAGAAACTGTTTAATGAATTGGAATGATGTTATGAAGGACTTGTTAATGCTATGGGAAATAAATATTCTACAAACTATAGGCTACTTACAGGCTGTAGCGATCCGAAGTGGCATTAAAAAAAAAGTATGCGTTAGAGATTTCGTGATATCATATCTGAGATGGTATGGTGTTTGACGGAATGTATTTGGACGTTGTGACATCACTTACAGCACCGCTAGACTCCGGCTGGGGCGTTTCTGATTTTGCCCAATTGAGGAATGCCATCGCCTCCTACGTGGATGAATATTATTATTTACTTTAGCCGAAGCATCAGATGTGGTTTTGTAATTGTGATTGCAAAAGCTGCGCAATGTTACTTGATGGTTACTAAAAAGCAACGTCGTTTGCAATATTATGTCGTCGATCATTTCAGCTTCGACATGATTTACTTGATTTTTCGATTTGTTACAATAACATACCTTAATATTATAAAACGCGATACTTAGCCGTTATTTCCGATCCTTAATTAAGTATTCCAATTAATGATGACATAAATTGGGTACTGTCAAATAAGAATTAGCTAAATTCAATCCAAATGCTACTACACCTACATACATATTACAATAGTGTATGACACAACTCTACTTAACATATTATCTAATTTTGTTGAATAATAGCTATATCTTTTAAGTTTTGCAGTCTACTCATGCGTTCATCAAATGATTTTGTGCTGTGATTGCAATGGAGTCCTACACTGTTACATTTCTTAATTTTTATTTAGTTTTTTTTTTTACTCAGAATTGTTATAAGAAATATAACAGTTCGTTTCAGGAATGTGCCAATGATAATGGCGAATGTTCTTACCAAAGGGCTGGCCAGTATAATGCCAATTCTGCTGAGAACTGCAGGCAGTCGCTGTGAACACATTATACAGACATATTGTTCACTTGTGACAGATGGTCTACTGGAGTGCATCGGTGAACACAGACTAGATTGATGTGGCCACACTTAAATACGTCTATTAAATAGTCTATCAAATATTTTTATTAAAAATTTTACGTCGTCATTTGTATTTTTTCTTCGAAACTCTATAGATTCTTTGCAATGTTTTCTACAATAACAAAATTGTCTGATGTCAATGAATACAAGAAAATAAGATGAGAGGATCGATTATGGCCACACAAAATAGTCCTTGTATTTTGGTGATTAGATACACAATTGCTAAGAAAATTTTATCTACTTGGTGTTAATATGATAAAAAATCCATGCAAGAAAAGGAAAAAATAAAAATCATGCTGTATTAAAAGAGACATAATAGTTAAAAAAAGAAACTTAAAACATGCTTCAATTTTAGTGGTTATGAAAGAAAACATTGCAAAGACTAAAAATAGAAATCCTAAGATACTGAGACAATAATAGTATAATTAATTCAGAGCATAAACCTTTTATAATTGATACAGCGCAAGAGATTGTTATTTATGAATTGGGAATTCGTACTCAAATAGGTAAGCTAGGGGTAGTTTATAAGCAAAGTTATTTCTGTAACTCTTTTTATGACTACATATGTATATACATCTGAAACTTCTTCAGTTATTCAATAAGTTTAACGAATAAATTAGTTTTAAATAAAAACAAAGTAATTCTGATAAAATGGTAGGCTTATAAAAATAGAGCTAAGAATTTTATTTCATTTAAGCTAGAACACTGTTGATTTAGATTAGTTTCCTTGAAAAGTTTCAATATAAAAATTCGTTCCTTTTTATGATAATATGCCATATACCTATGTGTAGATACTGCAAAGTTGTGTTTTGATTACAAAATTGCCACAAGTTTCAAAATTGCTTGCATATCATGTACCTAAATACTTAATCTATATTAAAAGAGATATAAACATAATTTAAATAAGTAATATAAATTTAACTTTTTTTAAAAGATTTATTTAGGTAGGTAGAACACTGCTATCTAACATTTAAATTAACTTAGTTATTTACCAACAACTACATACGACTTTGAAAATGTAACGACGAAATTAAAAAAAAAACGGTCATATTAATACTACACTTTGATAGCAAATAATTTAGAATGTATACATTTATTACGTTTACCCAAATAATCATTAATTGAACAAAATACGTCGCTGTTAGGTGCAGTCACGACAAAGCATTGCTATGATCCATATTCACACTTTATAAAACACGTAACACGGAAGTGGGTAGTTGACAAACTCACCTGTGTAACCGGGTTTTCTCCCGGTCGGTAGACCACGTTGTGTAGAGGCCGCTTGCGTCCCACGTAGTTCACGCACACAAACTCTAGTAGCGACGCGTAGATGAAACACATGCACACCCCGTCCCAAACGTTCATAGCTGTTAAGTTCGATACCACGGGCAAAGTTGAACGGAATCCGTTGGATGTTGTGAAGAAATTCAACATAGTCGTTACACCTGTTTCAAGAAATCAACATTAGATCGACGTATTGATTCAGATATGAACATTCCAGCGTAATCGCGCTTTTATCCTCCACTATCTGTGAATATTTTAAACTGCGCCAACTAACTTGAAGCTTTGAAGCGCGTCAGTAAGCAAAGCTGCAGTTACTTAATAAAGTTTTAGATTTATTTATTTTTCGCCAAATAAAAGTCTAGCATAATATACATGCGAGAGCTCTGCTGGATGTTCATATCTCAGAAATATTTAAAACTAATGATATAATTTGTCCGTTAAGGTGCCGGTATGAAGCTGTAAGTGTGATATTTTAAAAAATTGAAGTTATTTAAAAATACCTAATTGTACTTCTTCTACTAAACTAGTAAATTTAAAAGCGTGCAGTGTTATAAATAAGTCTTTGAAGTACTAAAATTGATATGCATTTTCTAATAATTCACTTACACTAATTTGAAGAAGTTTCTTTGTTAAATAAACCTCGAGTCGTAAATATAACGTTATAAAATAAGGGTTATAAATACTTTATAAATATAGAACTTCCCACATATAAACAATGTGGTTAGGTATGTGAGATCATTTGCAAATAAAATAGTTGAAAACTAACCTATCATAACTCTAGCAGGCACTGCATTCCATTCCAGCCAAAAAGTAATAAAAGACGATGTCACCAAAATGATCCCCGGAATGAAAACGGTTGTGAAGTAAAATGATCTATCTCGCGTGAAGATGAGATCCACTTTGAGGCAGCTGTAATTACCTAAAATGTCAAGCATACTCTAAAAATAAATCATAATAAAGTAAGCGTTCGTGATAGATGATTCGTCGGCATACATTTGAAATCTACATTGCCAACGTAAAGCGACAGTAACCTGCAAAGAAGAAAGTTAGCGTGTTATAAACAGCCGCAGCCACATCTACGAAGAGAGGGATGCAAGATGCAAGACCGAGAACATTCCATTCGCCAGCCAATTTTACCTATCATAGAACGGGCTGGAACTGCGTTCCATTCCAGCCAAAATGTGATGAAAGAAGAGGTCACCAGGATTATGCCAGGGATAAATACTGTGGTAAAGTAGAATGCTCGGTCTCTTGTAAAAATAAGGTCCACCTTTAGACAGCTGTAGTTACCTGTGAAGTTAATATTACTCGTAACGACTGAACGTCATACAACACGCGTTCTCTTTAACAGGTGTTGTGTTGTATTCGGTTGCACAATGAAATAGGTGATTAGGGCACGTTTGGACATATTCCAAGTAACTCTATTCAGTGGCCTTGTAAATTATTTACAATTACGGTAGTAATTTTTTTCTATACTACGACCCGTATGCAGGAGTAATGCGTGTTGTGTACCAGTGTACGAGCGTAGTGTAACGACAGTTCAAACAGCAAAACTGACTAACCTCTATCACGTGCATCCAAACAGTTACGTGCAAGAGTAACACAAATCATAAGTAAATGTTCGATGGTAGTGAATGATGGAGTTACGGGCTTAAGTTCTCTTAGCATTTTCGCTTTTCTATCACACAACAACGCAATTACTCACACATAAGCGGAGAATACGGTATAAATACGACAATACCGGACAGGACTGTCAGTCATCCAGTTCAACTCAAGAGGTAGGTACCTTGCTCCTCAAAGCGTCTCTGGCAAAGATTACATGTCAGCTCTTCATCGTCCTCGTAAAGTGAAATACCATCAGCTGCTTGCAAAGACGTGAATAAATTCTTACATTCTACATTTAAATTTTATTATTAAATATGAAGTTTTAAAATCACAAACGGAAGCTGATACCGTACAACTAATGCAAAATGTGTGTTTAAAACCAATAAAAAATGAACATGCCACATCTACGACTAGCTACTTCCAATTTCATCTACTATAAACTTATTTAATACACTTTAAATATATCTAACATATAATATAAGCTGAATATATATTTCTAACATAATATTCTAAGACAATTTTGTAACTAGACAGCACGAAAAACTTAAAGGTATGTTTCGGTAAACCAAGACCAAGCTGAAAAGAGTTAATCAGAATTTGTTTAAATCGAGTATATAGGATTGTGCTCTTAACAAAAGAATGTATGTTGGGGTCACTAAGCTACAAAATTTTGGCGACCGGTATGCTGGCAAATATACAGGGAGTCACGAAAGTAGGTTTATTTTCAAAATTAAAATTGTTTTAATTAAAGAAAAGAACCAAATGAAGGGATTTAAATAAAACCAACATTAGGAATAAATTTTCACTTAGAAATTGATAAAATTACTTCCTCCATAACATTTGGGAAAGCTAATAAAATAAATGAATTTTAATGGGTAACAAGTAACTCACTTATGTACTAACAATGCTGAATTTTGTATTGGAATCACGATGTTTTTAAATATAATAATAATTATTATTATTACTTAGAAAATCTTAAAAATAACACAACATTATGCATAATTTCTATATTATTTGAAGAGAATTCATTCTGCAGGATCTGCAACCAAATTAGAAATATAAAAGAAATTTTAATTATCTGTACAGTTAAAGTAAGTTGGTTTTAGTGCCCTTTACCTTTTTATTGATTCGAAAGTTTTGTTAAACATCTACCATAAAATTTAAATTTGTTGCCCATTTTCATCGACACCCTGTATACGTATTAATTTGTCAGTAATGTCATAGGAAGCGATTAAATTTAAAATGAACTATATATTACCTCTCCAGCTCGCTTTGATGGGACACGGAATAGTTTGATTCTGTATGAGGTAGGCATTCAGTGTTGTCAGTGATGGTGACTTTCTCAATGTATCTTCATCGTTCTTCCACACGTAGGTTATGGCTGATTGCTCGTAAGATACTAAAAGCATTTAAACATGTCTTAAAGTAGTCGTTCGAGTACATTGTGAGATCTTTTGACAACAAGATTTCACAAATTTATGATATGTTTTTTTTTAAGTAAATAAAACACACTAATATAAGAATAATGATTAGAAAATCTACAAACTAATTAATACATACATCAACACTGTATAAGGAAATTTCATGTTTATTAGCATAACTTTAAAAGTACTGGCCATTTGAAAAATATTTAAACGTCAATTTGTTCCGGGCACATTTATTTTCTGTTTTCTAAATTCAAATAAAAAAAAATAATAATGGCAGAAACGGGGCAAAATTTAATTAACTTTATTAGTATACATTTTCTTTCTTGTGTGTGTGTTAAAGATTTAACTGTTTTTAAAGAAAAAAATAATTTATTCGCACGTTTTATATTTAAATGTTTAAATGAATACTATATACTAATGGTTTTTTTTCTATACTTTGGAACACCGACATTTAAACAGAAAAGAGATTTTGAGAGCAATAGGCATGCTGGAAGCTGGCGCGAGACAACGCATTATTGCAGATGCCATTGACATCAGTCATATCAAGACTCTCGTCTCGTTATCGGGACACTGGCGAGGGGGCTGAGCGGGTCACTGAGAAATAGACGGGTAACCCAAAAGAAAAGACCGATTTTTTTATTAATTTTCCTATTAGGGTATAAAATACTGCGCATTTTTATCTTAGGATGCTGCAAGAAATTTTTTGTAGTTTCTTTTCGGTTCATGAATAAACTAAAATATCCCTAGATTGTGTTGATGTGCATATATTCTGGTTATATTAACCACGACATAATATATAGCATTCAGTCTATAAAACATTACTCACTACTCTCTAACGCAAATGAACACAATGGGTCATCAAAGGGGAAGATGTTGAGCCGTCCCTGACAGGACAGAATGAGATGACGCCGCATTAAATAGTTGATTGTGCCATTCCGGTATATGCGTAACGCAAAATGCATGGGGATTATCGGATCCTGAAATATTACAATGAAATCATAAGTACACTATAACTATTTTTCAACAACTACATACACGTTTACACATATTTTCGCTAAAGCTAAACTTCAAAGTCGAATAATTAAATATATAATTACATCGAACGAAAATAGTTTTATAGTACTAGAAAGTATCGATTAATATATTTTTTATTGTACGCATGATGAGAATAGACTAAAACGTTAAATTAGAACATAAAGATGATTACACTGTTTACAGCACCATCTTACATAATATATACAGTGGGCTATAATAGAGAACGGGTCACATGCGTACGCCGTACAATCGCAGCTTGTTTGGTCAGTTAGTATGTTAACGAATATATAATACAAAATACTCAGTTAAGTGTTGGACGATAGAGTTTGATAAAGTTTTGGCATGAGGTTGACGTTGATTTACTCCTTATTTTTCGAAGTAACAAATGTACAGTAAGATTCCAGAGCGAAGCTGAAATTTTAAGGATTTTACTTTAATGGTACGCGTTTTTGAAACATTCTTGTTTTTTTTTTAATTGTTTAAGCATTTGTAATTCATTTAAAAGACCATGTTAGACTAGGTATTAATTTTAAAATTTCAGCTTTGGCTAAATGACCTAGTTCTGGCGGCTCTAGAATCTCAGATCAATGCTTATAAGCGTTACGTATATATACTTATTAAATGATTTTTACCTAAATCCTTTGAGTACTATAATAATAGAGATAATTTCGGCTTATACCATGGAAGTACTTAAATAAAATTATATTACCTATTAATGGAATACCTAATGTAAAACCTCAGAATACAGTTACAATGATTAAAAATGTATGAAAACATGTGGAATGTGCAGAGAATATAAAAATATTATTTTTTTTAAACAAACAGGGAGGTCTCTTACTATAACCTAATTATAGATTTTTTTATTTCTGTTCTATTGTAAAAACAGTAAAACATACAAGTGTCAAACTTAGCGTGTTTAAGTTGAACACGTTATGTGAAATAACGATTAATAAAAGAATGTGTGCTGTTAAGAAAACTTTAGTTCTACTTGCATTTGACATTTGATTAATATTATTTATAAATATTGCATTTTTTAATAAAATAAGTAATATCTTATGCGATCATTAATATTTATTCACTGTAATTGTATTCCGTGGTCAAAATTTCTAGACGCTCGACTAATTATAATATATACGGTATTATATAAACATATCTAGTACTATTGCATCTACAGTAACGATTTTTTTTCTATTTGAAATAATAAATAAATTATTGATTTCAATAAGTAGCTTACTTTGAAATCTCCATGCATTATGAAATACGTGTCGGGCAACCAAATGTCCTCGTGGTGATGGATGGCGTTAAGATATTCGTAATGCGACTGATTAGAATATCGAAGTCGAGGATCATACCACTGCTGCTGCAGGAGAAATTCAACTTCGTATTTCTGAAAAATTTCCATCAATCATACAATATGATGAAAAATAAACAATACACAACAATAATGCAACAGCGAAATAGATAGAAGAATAGAAAAATATATAAGTTAGAAAGAGAACAACTTACAAGACTAGATTCATCTGGAGATGCTAAACTAAGAAGTAGCACGCTAACATTTACGGTGAGGACACCTGCAAACCAATATTACGATTTGTGATGATTACAGATTGCCCCATCCATGTATATTTTTGGGAAATAAAATACAAATATTTTTGACGTGAATAAGTTTGATAAATGAAATGTTAAAGTAGGTGAAATGGTTTCTTTCATAATTACACTTTAAAAGGCTTTAAGTTTATAAATCACCAAGCAAGCAAACTTTGTGAACGTTGCTAGACATAATATGTAGCTAGATTAGAATTATCAGGTAAACAATATTAGCATACTTGAAACATTTACTTGACGTAGTCACGTTAAAAAAATTAAACAATAGGATATCCCTTTTGGTACATTAATTTATATTGACAATTAAGAACACAGCAAAATAATGGAAAAGGCTATTTTTTAAAATATAGCAGAAGATCTACTAGTTTACTGTTTGACCTAGTCAAGCGGACACTTATTTCACACAGAACATGCTTGAACTATAAAGAAAAAAAAAACATCAAAGTGCACAGTTAACATATAAATGTCAGATGTTTCTTCGATCTTAAATACTATTATCATAAAGCCGACATAACAATAAGACATTCTATATTCCCGCCAACATTAAAACAACAATAGATGATACTTTAACACATATAAACGAATTGTGTTGTGTTTGTGAAAAGAGAAAATGAAGGCTTTATTTGAGTAAGTTTAAATGATATCTAAAGTATTTTTACTTAACAAAGTTATTAACAATATGTAAAAGCTGTAAGTACTTACGTAATATTGATAATATTGTCAGATGTAACTAGAATAAGAACGTTGCGTAACTTTATAAAGTTTTCAACAATTTTCCCTTAGCATATACACATGTTCTTTGGATAGGTTGGTAAGTGCTTATACTATAAATAATACTTAAAATAATAATCACGTTGGATGTGCTCTGATGCAGAAGTATGTGATTCAAAAGCAAACTACAGTTGCATTCATAAAAAACTTAAATAAACCATTTTCATACAGCCAGCGGTTTCTCGGTTCTCCTTGGTTTAAATTTTGTCTTCTGTAAAATAATTCAGTCAATCTGTTTATAGTGCAAGGTGAATCCGAGTGCTTGGTTGGTGTCACAACTAATTTGGTGCCAAGGTTATTTATTACAGTGGTGAACAATAAACATAAAATTATAGAAAATGAATAGGGAAGACAGTTTGAAGGATTTCTCTTTTCAAAAACATGAACACAACCAACCGCGATTGTGCGACCGAGGCCGGAGCGATGGTAGCCCAATATTACTTTCATTCATAGTGTCATTCGGCGAAGTAAGACCACAACAAAAATCTGGATCTGTAAGTTAATACAGCTTTATAGCTGAAATCTTATATTTCCCTATCGATTTTTAATTTTCTAGTTTGTATGAAAAGCTTTTTTATTACTTTGTTTAAGTTATTTGAGGTCAATTAATGACTTATGTAACAGTAGTTTTTTATTAACTTACCATCTACTGGTGGAAGCAGTCTTTTGTCATAGCGGGAATTTTTCAGAAGATTGTCCAGAATCTCTTTGTCCGACTTGCCCGCCGCAAAACTACAATGAAATAAAAAAAGCTGCTTGTAAATCTGGTTTTATAAATATATTGTTGGTAAAGCCCAGACGTTGATTAATGTTAAAATTATGAAATTATAGCTCAAATATGGCACAAGAGACTTTGTAAATGAAATTGGGCTGTCAAGTTGAGAACTTTATTTAAGTTACAAATAATATTTGCAAACTTTAACAATGTGATTGTAGAAGCAGGATTGGATTTAGTACAGAATTAGGAACAAGACAATACTATTGTAGTTACGAATAAATTCGTATGTGAAAATTATGAAATATTTTAGTAGAAATAATAATTAACATTAAATGAAAAACATACTTTTTATGTTAGATTAAAACGTTATAGAGTAGCAAATTTAATAATAGATTCTATAAATAATAATTATTCTAAAAAAAGTAAAATTCATTTCTTGAAACAAAGAGTGTTTCAAGAACGGTTCTACGATATCAAGCAAACATTATAAAGTGCAATGTATATGTATACAACAATACATTTCACAAGTTTCAGAAGTGTCCACGTAGCGTGGTCTATAAATAGAGGGAGTGTTCACGCCTGAACAGATATTTACCGTGTTGCATCCGCTCGGGCGCCCCAAGCTCGCTCCACAAACCTTTCTCATTTATGCAGTGGAGTGCTGTTTAACAACAGCCTTCGACTGGAGTAACATTTGCTCCATTAATCATTTTAATCCAATTTTCTTTCTATTAAATATGAAAGCTTTCAATAGCGCCTAAGTATCATCGAGTGTCTGGGTTTTCGCAATCTGTTATTAACTTACTAATATAGATTCGTAAAGACTAAGCATCACAAGAAGAAAAGTAGTTAAAATAATTTTCAATATTATTAGGTAATTATTGAAGTGGCCGGTGCCCGGCAGTGAGTTATTAAAAAGGGCTGAATACAAATTAGGATTTTAGTATTCGTAAAGGTATCGATTTGTTTTTGATGTTAAAAACAGCGCATTCAACAACAGAAAAATGTAAATACTGAGATACTTCTCAGAATATATTTTTTTCATAAATGTAACGACATGTATACCTACCTACATAATATATTCCGAGTCTCGTATAGGTAAATAAAATAATGGGTTTTTATGTGTTCATCACTTATTAAATGTTACGACAGGTTTTTCGTTTGAAATTCGTATTTACTGATGCTGTTTGTATTTTTGGAGTACTCTTTGCCGTAATGATTTGGATTAAAGCGGTTCGGTTTCAATATTTGGGTTAAAGTATCTGTAATATTAAATTATGTTACTAGCATTGCCCGCGGCACCGCCCGCGTTCATATGACCAAAAACCAAATTCTTAGGTTTTACATATTAGTATACTTTTACATTGCAGTTTTTGTATTTTTTTCTCAGAAATGAGATATTTTTCCGCGGTAGAAAGTATCCTATATGTTGACCCGGATAACCAGCTATCACTATACCAAATTTCATCAAAATCCCTCCAGTGGTTTTTCTGTGATGCGGTAACAGACAGACAGACAGACAGACAAAAATTCTATAAACTATAGATTGAGCCTCTGTATCCATAATAATGTTTATTTCAATAATTTTCTAAAAAATATTTAATGTACAGATTTGGCTTAGTTACAATTTTATTATATGTATAGATATAACTATGATATAAAGTATCCTAGGTCTCTCGCCGAGTACCTTTAAACACATCACATGAACGCGTTGTTTTATTGCCGAAAGAAGGACAAATAAAAAATAATGAGACACATTTCCGCAACTATAATATTATCACATAAGTAATGAAAATTTTAAATTAAAATAGTAAAACAAAACGTAGCTAAAATTATAAAAAAATAAATAAATATGAATTAAATGTTCATAACAATAGAATAATTAAGTATACAATTTACATAATGGATACCCAAGCAAACCAGCGAGGTAGTTCAACTTAGCTAAATACGACTTCAAAAGTTGTTTCAAATTTAATTACAAATACAAACAGCATGTATGTACTCGTATCATACATATTTAGGCTCATAACTTGGTGTTGTTGTATTGTGATTAAAACGTGTGCTGTATTCATTGAACAAATGTAAGTTTTGTAAGTGCTGTTTAAGTCTAACTTGTTCCTCGGCACAGATGAAAGCTTGATTATACAATTTGATGTTACAATTGAGAACAAGGTGTACTCAGTACATCTGCATGTATATCGCGTTTTCAAAAAATTTAATGGATACAGCAAAGAAACTATATAAAAGTATTTCCAGATTAAAAGCTTTTAGCCAGAGGTTGTTGTTGGTTTTTAGGTTAGGTATGTTTAAAAAAATATTCTAGTTTTAATTCTTTGGTCTGTTTTAATATTTTACATCTTCAGCACTCCAAAAATAGCTTTTGGTTTATTTTGAAGAACATTTTTAAATTTTGTTATTCAATGTTATTTAACATTTAAAAGTTAATTGATAATGTTGTATAGTAACATATACTCTCTACTATATTCTTTCGCCAGTTCTTCTCAGGTCTGAGGCTTCTTCTTTCCGAACTAGTAGTAGACTCATGACGTTCAGTAAAAATTGTAATAATTTAATGATGAATAAAATATTTTCATTTGATTTGATTTGACTCGTACATAAGTTGTTAGTACATATAGTTTGTAGGTAGTATTTTATTAGCGCTGAAATATTTTTTACAACCAATAAGTTTAAGTTACAGTTTTTTAACCCCCGACGCAAAAAGAGGGGTGTTATAAGTTTGACGTCGATGTATGTCTGTCTGTCTGTGTGTGTATGTGTCTGTCTGTGCCATCATAGCTCTAAAACGGATGGACCAATTTCGATGCGGTTCTTTTTGTAATAAGTGTTTATAGGTATTTAAATAACACTAAATAATATAAACATAAAAAATCGTCAAACCGCCGTTCAGTTATTATAAGTTAAAAGCATATATATTTGCTAATTTTTCTAAATAATATTTTCTATATAATAATTTTTCTATATTTATTTTCCTATATAGGTACTAACCTACTATACTTACATGTCGGACGTAAGCGCTGATGCTCTGCTGAGCATAAGGAGAAGAGCCACGGCGCGTGCCACCACGCATGACCAACCCATATTAGGACATCTGAGAAAAATATTTAAATATTTCATTTCAAGTTTATCACTAGCATGTAATAATACTGCAAGAGATACATAATTACATATAGGCATGAGATTGTAATGCATCCGTATAACTAAGGGTACTTAAACATAAGGTTTCTTTTCTCGAATTGATAATTCTAAATAATGATTTGCTTCAATGTTTATATTGTTTGATTGTGTATATGACATATAAAGTTATATAGAATTAACTTTTTGTTTTTTTTTCAAAACAAACACGATTTTAATTATAAAATTTGACAATTTAATGCAATGTTTAATCTATACATATGATTATGTTCTCCTAGCCGATTCCGGCTACGGCGGCCAATCTCAATGAGATTAGCCAACTGCGCAGGAGATATTATAGTGCTCAAGTGTACGCGCAGACACAAGTGCACTCTCTATTCCTATCACTCTCATACTCCGGTGGGACGACCACTCGACACGACCGGTGAGAGTTAAGGCGCAGGACCGACGGCTTTACGTGCTCTCCGAGGCACGGGGGTGAAACACATACAGGAAGACTCAATAACTAAACTTGGTCCGTACCGGGACTCGAACCCAGGACCTCCGGGTGTGCAGCCGTACATGCTAGCCACTACATCACCGAGGCAGTTATCTAATCTATACATATAATAAAATTTTAACTAAGTCGAATCTGTACATGAAATATTTTTTGGAAAATCTTATTAAAATAAACATTATTATCGATACAGAGGCCGAATCTATATTTCTTAGAATTTTTGTCTGTCTGTCTGTTACCGCATCACGGAAAAACCATTGGAGGGATTTTGATGAAATTTGGTATGATGATAGCTGGTTATCCGGGTCAACATATAGGATACTTTTTACAGCGAGAAAATATCTCATCTCTGAGAAATCGATACTAAACATTAAAACGTAAGTAGGGACGAACGCGAGCGAAGCGAGGGTGAGTGGCTAGTATTATATAAGATGTAATTTTTAATATTTTATAAGAGCTTTCTTCGTTAAAAAGCTTATTTTTTTAATACAGTAAATGTTCTGAACTAACTAAACTTAAGGTTTTAAAACGTTATGGAAGTCGATAGATAGTATAACAGCTTGTTAATTAATAATTATTAAAGTAGGTACTAGATAAAAAGACAACCAAATAAAACAAGTTATACATTAACTCATTGTTCCCGATATTGATTATGATATTAATGCATGATCCCCAAGTAAGTTAACACTGTAAGTCATGCGAATACATTGGTCGAACTAACGTGTGGCGAGGCCACATCGTAACATGATTTTTTCTGACAGCCTGAAATTAAATAAGTACATGACCTACATTTCACATGTTATGACGTCAATCAAGTTTTTGTAATGAAATTATTAACATGGATAATATAATAGCAAATATATACTTTGAATAAAACGATATTGTTTTATAGATTTAATATACAATATTATGTAAATAATAACTCTAAAGTAATATGTACATGTATACTATAAGTACATAAACGTAATGTAAATGAGTAGAGTGAGAGTCGATGTATATTTTTATAAACATTTTATTTCAATTTAACCTACAGATAAATTATTGAAATAGATATACTAAAAAATACGGGGTTTTCATCTAATATTATTTTCAATAATCAGCTGGTAAGATATGTCTACTGGAGTACTGAAATATTCTGTATACACATCTCCGTTCTTTAGTAGCTTCTAGAAGTGTTTTTTATAATCGTGATACAAATTAAAGAGACAAATAGACAAGTTTCTTTTTATTTAAATATGAAAAATACCTTTATTATTTTTATATTGTAATTTATATATTACCAGCATTGCCCGCGGCTCCACCCGCGTTCAGATGATAAAAAACCAAATTCTCAGGTTTTACATATTAGTATTATCTTACATTGCTTTTTTGTATTTTTTCTCGGAAATGAGATATTTTCCCGCGGTAAAAAGTATCCTATATATTGACCCGGATAACCAGCTATCACCATACCAAATTTCATCAAAATCCCTCCAGTGGTTTTTCTGTGGTGCGGTAACAGACAGACAGACCAAAAATCTAAAATCTATAGATTCGGCCTCTGTATCCATAATAATGTCTATTTCAGTAAGATTTTCCAAAAAATGTTTAATGCACAGATTCGGATTAGTTACAATTTTATTATATGTATAGATAAATCAGTAGAATTATTTACTGGGATGTTTTCAATGTACGTATAATATTGTGCAAATATCCTATATATAAAGGCTATATATAAGGCTGAGTTTCCAAGCCACCCTTGCTGCAATATGCTGATTCCTTTGAATCCCTTGGGATTGTGAGAGCACAACGTAGCGTATAAGAGATTAAGTTGAATAACTGTACAATCGCAATACTAATCTATTATGCAAATGTAATGTACGTACACATTGACCGATCGTATGTGCATTCTCATACTCCATTATAAGTACAAGTGTTTTTGGATTAGGTAAGTATTTTATAATGCTATTAACATTTGTGTCCGTTTTTTTAACCTCCGACGCAAAAAGAGGGGTGTTATAAGTATGACGTCGATGTCTGTCTGTCTGTGTGTGTGTCTGTCTGTGTCAAAGCTCTCAAACGGATGGACCGATTTCGATGCGGTTTTTTTTCATTTAAAAGCCAGTTTCCTTGCGGTGGTTCTTAGCTATGTTTGGTTAATATCGGTTCAGCAGTGTAAGAGTATCTGCCCTTTTGAAAAAGGATGTAAAGCATTTTGGCGTATGATTACTCGATTAAGTGCTTCACGCGTGCCAGTGTAATCATTAAATGACAATTAACTACGTAGGAGTTTTTTAAAAATTTTCATTTATTAATCTCGTTCTTTGTACAAATATAAATTAAAACACAGGTAAGCAATCACAAAGCAAAATCGGTCACAGCACTTTTTTCCTGGTTTTTGGAAATTATATTGCGCTTTTTATGTTTAAACATTATACTTATAGATCTTTTATGTAACTTATATTATGATATCTACTTAATTCAATTTCACAATTGTTAGCTGAGCCTATACTCCAAAAGTCATTTTAAGTTCTCTTGGCCTCAATAGTAAAGCTCTTGAAGACGACGATGCTATTTTGAATCTTATGTCTAAATGGGATATCCATTTAGTGCTTTTTCAGGAATATTAATATTGGAAAAATTAAAAATAGTGATAATATCCATACTAATATTATAAATGTGAAAGTGTGTTTGTTTGTTTGTCTTTCTTTTACGTCGAAACGGCTTGGCGGATTGGCGTGATTTTTGATGAGATAGTTGGAAGGCTGGCGAGTGACATAGGCTACTTTTTACCGCGGGAAATTATCTCTTTCCCACGGGAAAACACGTTAGGATACAACCCAAAAAAATATTTATGGTCAGAATTACTTGAAACTTGGTATTAATTCTCTTCAGTACAATTAATTACATATGTTTTCGCATTTTTTGAAATTTATCCCATAAGGGGGTAAGATAGCGGATGAAAGTTTGTATGAAACCTACCATTTTAGAGTTCTTTTTGTAGTTTTAGCGCAAGCGAAGCCGCGGGTTCTGCTAGTTTCTTTATAATTGGTTAAAACTATAAATATTGCTCAGAAAGGAATTTGTCATAATATTATAAAAAGGTAAAGTTTGTGAATTTGTGACTTTGTGACGTTGTAGGGGGTAATCTCTGAATCTACAAAACCGATTTAGATGAAATTTGGTAAAAAGATAGTATGAAACCGTGGGAAGGACATAGATAATTTTTATCCCGGAAATCATCCCTTAAGGAGGTAAAAACGGGGATGAATTTTTGTATTGGGAAGCAAGCTAGAGGAACGAACCCGAGCGAAGCGAGGGTGAGTCGCTAGTGAATTATAAAAGAGAATTTCTTAAATTATTATCTATGCGCAGTGTACAATATCGATATAAATTAAAAAGGTTTCTGAAGTGCTTAAAAACCAGTCCCCTGAGTATAGTAGAAGTACAAGTATTTGAATGCTAAATTAAAAAAGTGTTTTATAAATACCTTTCTGCTGACTGCAGAGTGTTGTCGGCATGTGGAGAGACGCTCAACTTGCCCGTGCAGCTTTAGTCCTCCCCCACAACATCATGAGCTCAAAATCTGAAATAAAAGAAAATTCTTGAAATTTTGTAAGCTATATTTAATCTTAATTCTAAAGCAATGCCAAAATTGCCTTTAACGAAAGACTTTTACGCTAATAATGAATTTAATATGACATTTGTAACTGAAAATTTTCCATCGTAATTTTACCCTTTTCGATTTAACAGTAAAAAGGATAAATTTATATTTAGTACTTTCAAATGTAATTTTAACAAACCGAAAATTTATGAAACCGATTGTAGCAAATACATATTATATTATTCTCTATTTAGTTATTTATATTTATTTATTTATTTATATTATACATATACGTTTCTTCTCTGTAGACCTTTATCAATTATCGCAGACAAGCTTTATGCATGACTGTATCAAAGTAATATATCAGAATTATTGAAATTAATTAAATTTTATAAATAAACCGACACATTTGGCTCAGTTTGTAGTGACCTTATATGCTCTGCCAATATCGCGGGTTCGAGTCCCGCTAGGGGCATTTATTTGTGTGATGAGCACGAATGTTTGTACTCCAGTCATGGGTGTTTATATTTATAATATGTATGTATTTATAGTTATTTACAAGTATAAAAGCACCAAAAAACTAATCAGAAAGCTGGAAGGAGATTACAACTACCTGCTTCACTTTTTCCTACATTTTTGTATGTTTCTTTTTAACTTGAGTTAGGGACGATTAGTCCATTTCAGAGGCTCTATGTCCATTATGTTCCCACGTATAAAAGAATCAAGTATATAAGTCCAAGCCTCCAAGGTTTTAGATTGGTCATTGATACGTTATTCATTAGGGTCACAGCTTGTTTTGCACACAGTTGTTTCATAAAAATAAGAGAACATATACAATTTTTAATTAAACCACTGGGGTTAGTGTTCCAAATTTGTATCCATTTGCGTGGATTGTTTAATTTTCCGGCCGTGTTTCAATTTTCTGGGGGTTGTTTTATAATGAAGTAAATTTTAAGGTTAACTTTCATAATATAAGCTAGCTTTCTCTCTATATAACTTTTTATTTGTGAGATTTCATTAATTTGTCCAAGCGCTATTCAAGTAACTGGCATTTCTTAAAATTAGAGTAAAACTTTTCAACGTTTCACAACTTCAGATAAATGGAATTGTGTAAAAAATCTGCATAATTTTTTAAACAAACTAAGATATGATATTTTGTAAAATATTGTCTATATATTTTGCAAAACGAAATATAAGAATAGCATATCTTACTGTGCTGTAGTTCGATATATGCGACTCGGACATTCCTCCAATACTATAATGATTACAACAGGATGTTTGTTGGTTGATCAATAACGCAGTACGTAATGGTTTTTATTGATCGTGTGTGATATTAGTATATTGCAAAAAATGTTTTTTAATAATATTAAAGCCACAATGTAAAGAATTAACATTCTTATAATACGTAATGTAATATTTTGAAGACGGACAGCTAATAATATTTCTACTACCTACACATGTTATGTTACGTAGCTTGTAAGAACTTGGTTAAATTGATATTGAACAATAAGCAGGATGTTAAGTAAAGTAAAAACGGGACTAAATTACGTAATATAAAACAATAGGGCGCAATTATAATGTTTTCTATGACATAAGTTTATTTTCATACAAAATCCTATGAACGAAGTTATAATTCCATCGTTTAAACAAATTTGATACAGGTTGAATATGTATGTATTGTTAAATTTAACCAAATTTTAAACAAAGGTATATTTTTTTTTTAAATCAAAAACATTATTTTATATTTGTGTTTTAGTTACATGTTGTATGTGTTGTTTAGTTTCCTAATATTTCCACCAAAACCTATTCTCTCCTGCGTGATGTCGTGCTTGCGTTTTAATTCGAGTTACACGCAAAATCGATTTTTACATTTTAGTATAAAATGGTTTAGTAACGAGTTGTTAGCCTAAAGTCTAAATAAAATTATGAAACTATTTATTTTTTATAAACTTCAAGTACCACGTCGATTTTGTTATAAGCGAATTCTACTGTATTGTTTTTCGATGAGAATATAGAGAAAAGATATTAGATTATACGCCCTTAAAACTGTTTAAAAAAATTAAATAAATCAATGGAGTTTTAGTTAAGCTAGTACATTTTGTTATTTATTTTAGGATATATTAGAATGGAAATGAAAATTGCTTGCACAGTTTATTTGATTAAGTTAAAACAAAATTTGTTTGTGCAACTGCTCCTCGGTCCCATTTTAATTAACAAAAACAATTCCCTGATCAAATTAAGTCTAACGTCATAGAACCCTCTGGACAGTGTGATTATATTAACAAAAATAACACATTTGTGGGAGCGAAAAATTATTAACTCTTTTTATAAAAAAAACAACTAATTTTTAGGTGTTTTATGTATTACGTCAATAATTATATTTTTTCCAATATTTTTAAGATTAAAATAATAAAGTAAAAGCTATTAATAAAAATATTTCAAGAACTATGATACAAAACATCAATAGGTATTTGTAGAAGTTATTACCAAATTATTTTAAGGTGGCGTGGCGTGAATGAATGGTTCGTATATAATTTTTTTTAATATTTTTTTTAATGTACTTATTCGTGGTACATACTTTTAAGTTAAAAATATTAATAAATAATATTTTATTACTTACATTTGAAGTTTTTTTGAACCGCTTATATTGATAATTGAATTGAACTCTATTCCTAACTAGGAAGAGTTTTTGACAAGCAACAATAAAAAAAAAGAGTTTTGAATTTGAATTTTTGAATACGTAAATGAATAAATAATGCTCGTAAATGCAAATAATATATATATATTTATATAATGTGTAAATGAAAGCTTGAAAATTAATATTGTATTTATTTTGAATATTTTTCATAAAATAGATTGGAGCAGGACAGGGAATAAAAATACAATAATAAATAAAGCAGGTCAAGGGCAGTAAGACTTGGACTCGTGCATCGAGGCATCCGAGTGCACGGCTGACGGCACCATCACAAAATACCTATATTTTTCTTACATGCATATATACTAAGCAATAACGGATAATAATATATTCAAGATTATTTTGAATCATTGAAGCGCATCTGCTTACACTTTTGCTACTTTTAGTAGTTATACTTTTTATCCTGATATTTTTCAGAAGTCGTGGGGTTAAATCGTAAACAATGAGAAATGATGAGAATCTTTTCAGTTATTTACAAGGTGTTCTTTAAGCGAAATAATTTAAGTTCTAAAGGAAATCAAACATTGACCCGTGCAAACAACGTTATTGATACTTAAGATATTTAATAATTGCATGCGCAAAAAGTAGAGGCTAAATGAGCTGAACGCTTGCCAACTTTATGAGGACTTGGTTATGCATGAAATAGAAAATCGTGCCAACTATTACTCGCACTTGAAGAATGTACTTCCTTCCTATGAAACGGAAGATTCAGAACTGGGTGAAATTTAATTGAGTTCGTGTGAATGAGAGCACTTTCAATTTGTGTGCAAATATTAGTTGAATACGCTTTCGCTTACATACGAGGAGTAATGAACTAACTTCTTGGATGATATAATTATGTTTTAGTCACACATTCATTTAAAATTATTAAAGGTAAGTTAATAGATATGTAATGACACATGATGAGGTCCCAGAAAGACAAATGGACTAAAGAAATAACGGTATGGTATCCAAGGAACGGAAAGAGGCGCAGAGGAAGACAGGTGATGAGATGGGAAGACGACCTTCCACAGGGGTGGAGAAGGTATTCCCAAGATCGTGTTAAGTGGGGTGAGCTAGAGGAGGCCTACGTCGAAAGACGACCTGACCATCGATGAAATATTAAGTAATTTTAATAGTCATAAGGAAATTTTACTGATCAGAAAATAAAGGCTATTTTCATTTCATTTCAATAGATATGTAATATTTTGAAAAGATAAAAGAGGACTGACTTAAATTACAGGATTTATAGAGCTTTCATAAAATATTACACCAAGTAATTATATTATTAGAGAATACTTTCAAAATTGTTGGTTATTTTATTGTAACATATTGAATACTTATGTGTGATACAAGTTTAATTATATTGCGAAGCCTTGTCGTAACGAAACTTACGTAGCTATCCAAATAAATATTTCAATTCTACAAAAAGCTTTAAATATAAAGAACAAGATTCAACAAAAATATTATTGAAATAATTATTTAAGGCAATTAAGTGTTACAAATGGCTGCCAAGTTCTATTTACTTAAGCTTTCACTTTAACAAATTGTTTAGTCGACATTTTGTTTTTCTGGATTTATTAAGTACAGATATAACAATGTATTATTGAAAACCCCAGAAATTCTAATTAAAACGAAAATAATTAAAAAAGCATGTATTTGTTAACACTAAACTTTTATTATTATTATTTTAAAATAGGTATTTTTCTGGTCACGAAGTAACAAAACGCTTATTTGAAAAGCAGCTGTTCCTACTTGTCTAATGGAGTGCAGTTTGGCTCAGTTAACGCTTTTCATGCCATATTTCTGCCATTATTAAGCATCTGTGAACTTCCATCATTTGTAGTTTGTTGCAGTTCCATTGTATTGTATTCAGCCCTTTTAACGTCCCTCTGCTGGGCACGGGCCTCCCTTCAATACGAGGGGGATCAGGCCATAGTCCACCACGCTGGCCAAGTGCGGGTTGGCGGACTTCATATGTCTTTCGAAAACTTGCTAGGTTCTCTCAGACATGCAGGTTTCCTCACGATGTTTTCCTTCACCGTAAGGCAAGTGGTAATCATGTTAGAAATGATTCGCACATGGAAATACCAGAGGTGCGAGACCCAGGATTTGAACACGCTTCACTCGGTTTCCCAAGCGAGCGCGTTACCACTGGGCTACCACTGCCTCCACTGTTTCATTATGTACTTGTAATGTTTGTGTTTTCTCCCTTTATATGTATATTTTTATTAAAAGCCTACATATACATGACTTGCCCACGACTCTGCTCGCATAAAATAAAAACAATATTCTCAGTTTTATAATATTAGTACGGATATATATTAAAAAAATCATAGTTATAATCAGATGCGTTACGTGTACCTCGGTTGAGTAACACATTATGGAAATCAATTGTTATTGTAATTAAGTTTAAAGGCTTGCGAACAACATTTATAAAACATTTAACGGGGCGTTCATTGGTGAAAAAGAGATTCAGGTGAGGGTAACGAGTATTTTATCTACGTTTAGGGAAAAGAAAATGTACTCTCAGTATTTTCGTAATATAAAGGAATGAATGGATGATATAAAGGGTATAGGATGGTTTGATTAATTTAAAAGTTTCTTTGGTGTGTTGAGTATTCAGTCAAAAGTATATAGGTTTATTAGTTTTTACCTGACATTTCGTGAGAAATTATATATTTATAAGTATTCTATACTTAATTAACGTATTAATAACAAAATAGGAATTTTTTTTTAAATATATTTTTTAAACATCTTTTGATCGATCTTTCTTCTGTTAGTATTTTAAAAGAAGCAAAG